CCCCGCCACCCCGCCACCAACCCTTTTTCAACACAAATCAAAAGCAGCTTTCAAGTACCCCTTTGGAGGATCAACAATCCCTGCACCTCCCTGGATAGGTTCCACCATGAAGGCTGCAATTGTGTCATGATCTTTCTCAAGTGCCTCCCTGAGTGATTCAATATCGCCATAGCGAACAGGAACTCCGGAAGGAGAAGAAAAGCCAACCTGTGGAACATAAGGTCCAAAAAGAGGATCAGGTTTGACATCAAACGAATGAGTTGAGATTTTAAGTCCATGATAGCATGCACATGTGGTCAACGCAAAAGCTTGATCAATTGGGATACCTTTCACTTTGTACCCCCACTTTCTTGCAATTTTCGTAGCAGTGTCTGTTGCATCAGCACCACTCAGCATACAAACGACTCGTTCATAATTAAGGACTTCCTTTAATTTTGCTCCGAGCCTTGCATCACTTGGACTCATAAAGACTGTGTTTGCAAGCGGACAGTTTTTCAGTGCAGATCAAGATGCTTCCATGATTTTAGGATGAGCATGTCCCATGTTCACAACTGTTAAAAAGGACAAAAATTCGATATACTCGTTTCCATCCGTATCCCAGACAGTACCATTTTTTATTCTGGCAACAGGCACTTTACCAGGGCAGAATCTGCCCCTGCTATGTTCATAAAATGACTTGATCAATGACTGAGTTTCCAAAGAGAATTCCTCTATCTTCATTTTTGTTAATATAGATAAGCTGTCAGCAACTTGAAGGAGATTTCAAAGTAGGAAGATTTTCAACTATATACGCGTTTCAGTGTCTCTCAATCATTTTCCCAGCTACTTAAGAAATCACTATTCCGACTGAGCGGTAATAATTCGGTGAAAGACTGAATAGTGATTATGTTTGATTAAGCTTCATTCCGGTAAATGTCATACCGCTCTATTGTTATTTCCTATTGTTGATAGGAAATAAATATTATTGATAGGAATTGCCAACGGATTTCACTAATGCCGGGGTTTGAGGCAAAGAGTCCTAAAATATGTAAACTAATATTTTTCGAATTTCTATGCGTATTCCAATCTACAGAAATAGATGCTATGACCAATATTGACACACTGGAATTTTGGGATCCAGATGTTTTGATTCCGAAATGAATATGAAACCAATCTCCTGCTAATTAGTTTATTCGTCTAGATAGATAATTACAAACCTTGAAATAAACTCTACTGGTTAAACTATCCTAAGACTCTACAAAAGTGTGGAAGGGTGTGACCACGAATCTCTGTTTGTTTTTCATTCCAATATCGGTAATACAGGCTAAATCTTCCTGTGTCAGCTGAATGAGTTTATGATTCTGAAGTAGCCTTTCTTTCGAAGATGAACGGGGAATGACGGGCCAACCTTGAGCAACCCCCCAGTTTAATAAGCACTGAGCAATTGATGCACCATTTTTTTCCTGCTAAGTTCTTCAACCCTTGATGATTCAGGAGAGGGGATCCAATCGAACCCAAAGGACTATATGCCACAAGCTGAATTCCTTTGTCTTTACAGTATTCAAAGAGTTTTTGTGGGTTGCAGCAAGGATGAAGCTCAACTTGATTGACATCTGGAATAACACCAGTCGCATTTATAATCATCTCTAGCTCCTCTATACCAAAGTTTGCAACTCCTATTCTTCTAACTTCAGCAGGTCTGCGGTCTTGAATATCAATCATGGATTTCCAAGTCTTAATGATATCCCTTTCCGTTGTTGATTGTCGAGTTGATGATAAAACCCAAACATCAGACAATACTGCACTACTGGGCAAATAACTGGCTGAATGCCTCATAATAAAAATTCAGGGTCCTTGAAGTAAGAGCTTTTTTCAACGGTCGCGTGGATTCGGTTTATCAGTCCTTCACTTTCGTCAACCAGTCATTGATAGTCCAAGTTTCCCAAGGGTGCTGCACAAGCCAATCATTGGCTCTGGGTGAGAATTTTGGTAAGTCTGTTTCCGGTACTGACTCCAGCTGCTTAATCAGAAAATTGATGGACAATCGATTCATGTAATTATCAGGCTGAATATTTCCCCCAAATATATCACGTATCTTTTGTGCTAGAATGGGAATAGCTTCCATGAGTGATGAACTTTCTGATGATATACTTTGTAGTGCGTCATCAAGCTCTAATAGTTTGTGTAGAACTAGTATACCTTCCTTCACAACCTCTGTTTCAATCTTAGAGAAACGAATCAACTGCAGATCTCTCAGAACGGTTTTGGCATCATTCCTGAGCTGGTCACTAGTTGGAGGCTTCTCCACGATCATAAATATCACTTGAGCAATTGCCGCTGAAAACAAATTGTGTGCTTGAATAAGCATCCACTCTTTGAATATACTCCAGTCTAGTAGGCGAAATTGATGGTAAACGGATAAAATGGATGATCCTGCATCCATACACGCATCAAGTGAGTACTTGATAGGGGGATTCAAAAATGCGCGATGCATTCGAATCCTTTGTGTTTGAATACATGTCCACGTAATGTGATAGGAAGAGAAGTATTCGGCTTTCTTATTAGGAGAAAGATTTGCTAGGAACTTTTTTATAAGCTTGAAGTAATTCTCGTTTTCAATGAACATATTAATTTCCTTATCCAGAGAAATGACCACAGCAGGGTCATTATAATAGGAGCCATGATCATGCCAAAGCTTTCTGCAGAGCTTAAGAAACTTGATTTGAATAATATTACCGGAGACTTCTGTTATCTCTGTGCTCGAACGTGAGTGTATTCTGTTCTCTTTGAAGTCCATCTCAATGTCATTACAGTTTGTTGGTAATGGAAGATCATAAAGTTTTTGATCAATCAATGGCTTGATATACTGACATATTGCTTGATAACCATCACATGTGACAATATCCCACCACACTCTTCGACTTTGCTCTGCAATGAAACTAGATTCTTCTCCTACAAGATGAAGTTTTAGACCCTTGGCAATCTTCATTCTATCAGGGAGGAATTGCAATAATGGTTTCATCATCTTGGTGGAGTATAAGTATGATTGAATAACCGAAAGACTCATAAGCGAGACTATAGAATGATTATCTTTATAGTTACCAATGTGTAAACACCTGATAAAACAACGATAATAGTCGCTGGAGCTTCTATGTGTGGATTGGACATCAAGTGAAAGATATTTGCATCTTGCCTCTGATATTTCTTGCGTACTCACGCAAAGGATAGCAAATACAAGGGACGCAAAAAAGGGATCTGTCTTTAACAATGAGTCGTTCCAAAAAGAGTCGTAGTAGTTGTAAAACCATTGAGGATGGACCGTAATGTACATATGACCAAAGTAAGTAAAAAAATTATCCACTAACCCATCAGTTTGATGTCTAGTAGGAAGATGGTAGAGCACTTGCAAAAGATCAAAATTAATGGGTTGTAAAGTTTTCAAACTCTGAAGCGTCTGTGTCAATGACAGATCCGCAAAGCACCATTGTGAGCTTTGATCAGCAATTGGTGTTCCTTTTGATGGAATCAACTTTGTAGCTCGAAATTTTGCTGAGAATGTGATCTTACCCGATGTTTTGTGAGCTCTCGATGGAGGGTATTTAAGGCAGAGATCTTCGCGTCCTGCTTTTTTACACGAGAGACATGGTAACTCGTGGTTACACTTCCTTTTAGTTTGTCTACAAGGTAGACAACTTGATCCTCGGAAACCTATTCCCATTGCAGCCCTTTACAATATTTTCTCAGATGTGGTTGATAACTAATCGATTTTTTTTATCTTTTATCAGGAATTGATACCGCGCGGAGATCTAGCTTTTTGATTGGAGAAACTCCGAGATCAAAAAATTAGTCAGTTATATTTAAATGCTGGACCCATGCTACCCACCGCTTACCAGCGATGGCCTTTAATATCACTGAAAAGTTGAAAGTTCCTGAAACAGAAGGCTCCTCTAAAGCAACTAGATGGATCAATAGAGATATTGCTCCCCTCAAAGTTTCCAGAAGAACATGGAACACTTGGACTTATCTAGGGTTTTGGAATACTGGAAACTTTACCGCAGCTAGTTATAGTGGTGGATCCTCGCTTGTGTCCTTAGGCTTATCCATTCCTTCAACTGTTGGAGTGCTAATGATTGCAAAAGTTTTTACGGTTATTGCAGCGGTTTTGAATGGATGGGTTGGTGCGAAGTTTCACATAGGTTATACAGTTGGTCAAAGACAGGTATTTGGTGTTTTTGGATCAGCCCTTGGAATTTCTATGAGAATTATTTTAGGTGTTGTTTGGTATGGGAGTAACGCATGGATGGGTGGTTTGTGCTTGGGTACGATTTTATCGACAATTTTCCCAACCTTTCAAAATATGAAGAATACATTCCCGGAAGGTGTTAACATGACCACAAAGGAGCTTGTTGGATTTCTACTTTATCAGCTGCTCTGTATGGCTCTATTGAGAATTAGACCAGAAAAGGTTGCTATCCCTATTGCCGTTTCCGCAGGATATAACTTTTTTGTTATGCTTGCAATAGTGATCTGGGCACGTGTTCATGCAGGTACTATTGGTCCACTGGTCCATACCACCACCACAGCTAGTGGCTCTGAGCTTGCTTGGATATGGTTGTATGGAATAACGAGTACATTCGGGGGTATTGTTACAGGTATTGCCAATCAATCAGACTTTACAAGATTTTCGATCAAGCGTACGGATCCCATCTTGGGAACGTTCCTAGGATTATGGTTCTTCTCTACTCTTGTTCCAGTTATTGGAATCATTACTACATCTTGTCTACAAAGTACTTACGGTGAGCAATACTGGAATCCAATATACGTTGTACAACTATGGCTTGCTACCGATTACTCGGCAAAATCAAGAGCTGCTGGATTTTTTGCCTCGCTAGGATTTACTATTGCACAAATTGGTAATAGTGTTGTTGAAAACGGTATCCCTGGTGGAATGGATCTTGCAGGTTGTTTTCCCGAGTACATCAACATTTTTCGCGGATCAATCATTATCGCTCTTCTTTCATGGACTGTGTGTCCCTGGACATTCTACAACACTTCTTCGACATTTGTCACTGTGATGGGCTCGTTTAGTGTCTTTATGACCCCACTTATTGGAATATTGATCTGTGACTTCTGGATCGTGAGAAAGAGGAAAATCAAGCTTGCCGATCTTTACCATGGAGAATCTTCTGGGGCATATTATTTTACCTATGGTTGCAACTTCAGAGCCCTAGCTGCTTGGACCGTTGCTTTCACTCTTAACTTACCCGGAATGATTCACAATATCACACCATCAATCAAAATTGGCTCTGGAATGTACAACTATTTCAGAGGAAACTTATTTTTTGGGCTTGCCATATCTGTTAGTGTGTACTATGTTTTATGCCGAATCTGGCCTATCGAAGAAGCAGGTATTCTTGATGAGTGTGATCATTTTGGTACATGGACTACGGAAGAGTCGCAAGTCCTTGGAATCATTCCTTATGAGCAAGTTAAGGGCACTCCGGATGATTTCTGCAATAAGGTCACTTTTGACCGTGACTCGGAAGTTAGTGAAATAATAGTTAGTGTGGATCAAAAATAAATTAAAGTCCTATCCAGTTTGTTTCCTCGCTCACAGTAAACCTTGCTGTTTGATAAGAAGATGAGTTGGACGAGTTGCCAACAAATACATTGTACTGTCCAGGCTCTATTGTCCACGACTTGCTCCTTATATTGTAATAAGAGCATGCCAGCTTCAACGAAATTTCAATACGACACAGTTTACTTTCGTTTGGATTCAGCTCAACTTTGGTAAACCCCTTGAGCTCTTTTGGTGCACGAGATACCCTGGAGTCTGAGTGGGCTACATACAGTTGGACCACTTCTTTTCCACTTTTAAATCCTGTATTTTGCACCCTGACTGTCGCAACTAAATGGCCATCTAGAGTAGAAACTTGCAAATTGGTAATTTCAAAGGTCGTATAGGATAACCCAAACCCAAAAGGAAATTGGGGTTCTATTCCCTTCTTCTCATAATAACGATAACCCACAAAAATATCCTCACCATAAAGAACCATTCCATTGTTGGAGGAGAAATTAATGAAAGTTGGGTTGTCTTCGCATTTCTTGGGAAATGTCATACTAAGCTTTCCTGAGGGATTAACATCTCCAAAAAGAACATCAGCAATTGCATTTCCACTTTCAGATCCATTTATCCATCCTTGAATAAGAGCAGGTACTTTTGAGACCCAATTCATTGACACTGGCATACCAGAAAGGTTAACGACAACAACATTTGTGTTGACCTCTAAAATCATAGATAGTAACTCTTCTTGGGCTCCTGGTAAGCTCATTGAATGTCGATCAAATCCTTCTGATTCCCACTCGGCCGATGTTCCCAAACAAAGGATAACTTTATCTGCCTTTTTAGCTGCTTCCACAGCCTCACACATCAATTCCCGGTCACTTCTTTGGCATTGCACAGTAACATTTAGGAGTCCTCCGCCATTCAAGCCTACTAAATCGTCAGTTTCTAGCGTGAAAGTTGGTGAGGAGCTAAACTCAATAGTGTACTGTAAAGACTCCCCTTTTTGAAGACTGAGGACTTGCTCCCCTCCAACAGAGCTCGCACCTAATGTCCCTGAGCTTAATTTTTGATTTGACCTGTCATCTATTAGTACCTCACCATTAATGTATAGCATTGAAGTTCCAAGGCAACTAGATTTGAACACATAATCACCAGCTTCCTCAGCCACAAATTCACCATGAATTGTAACATAGAAGATATTAGATTCCAACAACTCATGTTTGTATCCAAAAAATATCAGCCTTGTAGAGTCAATGTCTGCTTCTTCTATTGGTTTTCGTGATTTGACACTTGGGGGCTCCCTGTAGATTAGACATTTTACAAACTTCGAGTTCCCACCCAAATCATCTAGTTGCTTATCAATTCGACATCCTGTAGCATGATCTATATCTTTTCCAAGTTTTGATGAAATCCCCTCATATACTCCAATAGTGTAGTATGGTTTCATAGCTGCGGAACCTCCACCAAAAGCTCGTGAGTGTTTTGCATTGGGGCCGATAATAGCTAATTTGTCTGACCTATTGAAAGGTAGAAAAGAATTCTCGTTCTTGAGTAGCACAATTGATTCTGAAGCAAGCTTTCTAAGAAGAGAAGATGTTGAAGAGACATTATTTTTTGAATCTTCGGGTGCGTTTTCATGAATTCCGCTTTTCATGGAATATTGGATCAGTTTTAGAACGTTTCTAACTCGATCATCGATATCCTTCATAGACAGTTCTCCAGAGTGGATCATTCTCAACATTGTCTGTTTGTTTCTGATAGTGGGCGGTCCAGGACATTCAATATCTAGTCCAGCTTTGATGGACTCCTTAGCAGTGTATGTTCCAAACCAGTCTGAAATAACAGCTCCCTCAAAATTCCATTCTTCCCTAAGTATCCGAGTAAGGAATTTTTTGGACTGAGATACATGCTCACCATTGACTTTGTTGTATGAGCTCATTACTGAGACAGGTTTAGAACCTTGAAGAGCCATCTGAAAAGGGAACAGATAAATTTCCCTCAAAGCTCTTTCTGACACCATAACATCAATTGAGTTCCTTTCGTGCTCAAGGTCATTGCAAATAAAGTGCTTGATGCATGCTCCTATTCCCAAACTTTGAATGCCGTTGATAATAGATGTTGCCATGACTCCTGATAAATATGGATCTTCACTAAAACTTTCAAAACCGCGACCGCCCAACGGTCCTCGATTAATGTTAGAAGTTGGTCCTAAGATTAAAGAAACACCCTTATGTTTGGCTTCCAGTGCCATGAGAGCACCGATTTCGTATAGTAGATCTTGATTGAACGATGATGCCATTGCAGTTCCAGAGCTAAAGCAGGCGGTAGGTGTGGCAAGAAACCATTTGGTTCCTCTTACACCATTAGGTCCATCGCTTAGTCTAATCGATGGAATTCCTAGTCTCTCGATGTTCACTGTGTGCCAGAAGTCTTTAAGTGATAGTAAAGAAAGTTTTTCCTCTAGCTTGAGCTTTGAAAGGATATCCACAATATCAAAGGACTGTGTCATTGCCTATCGATCGAAATTTCAAAGAATTGGGACCATTAATGCAATTAATATACTGTTTGAAATGATTTCTTGTATGCGGAGTTTTTTCGATTTCATTGGTGGATCTCCTATATGTGAATTTTGCGCATGCTCAGTATATAGGTGCATGTAATTGAAAACTGCTACCTAATGTTGAATAACTATGTCAATGCACTTAGATTATCAAGATCAAATCCTTCGTTGAACTTAACAATACTCTTAATCACCTCGTAGATTTTGAACGTAGCATGTTGTATTAAAAATTATGTCTTTTTAAAAACATTAGCAATTTTCAGCATTCCTCTCTTCGGCTGGCAGAAGTTTAATGATTGTCAGCATGAAACAGAAAAAGTCAGATTTTTCGCAAAAGTATAATCAGTAGACTACACTACACTTAGTCAAACTATCCACGGTTATTATGGTAAGAACTATGAGTAAAGACTAAGGACAACACTATACAAAGCATTACCGAAATTAATTCAAAGACTTTTTGTAACTATAACACTCTTCTGGTGATTTTAGGTCAAGAATTTGAATGATGGATCATCATCACCATGTTTACGGGATTTTGTCCTATTGTCAACTCCAGATTCCAAAATTTCCTGGTGTAGTTTGTTTTTTTGCTTGTAGCCCCATGATTGAAGAGCAACTGCGAAAAGACAAACAACTAGACAACCTAGTGTAAAGGCGTGACCCAAAGTGTAGTCAGGGGCGTCTCGGTAAACCTGCGGACTAACTGCACCAGCAACGTTGCCAAGAGACAGATTGAGGGAAATCGAAGTCCCTCTCTTAAAAGCCGGAGCTGTATTCGAAGCCAGCCAAATCTCGTTCAAACCTGTGCCAAGATAGAGAGTAAAGCATATGAGATAACAGGCAAAGTACTTCACTGCAGAACTTTTAACAGCCAACAAAATAATATAACCAATTATGGCAATCGAAGTACCAAACATTAAAACTGGTCCACGTTTTCTGAGCCTGTCAGAAATTTCAGCCTGAACAAGGTAAAGTCCTCCTGCTAAAAAGTAAATGGGAACAGTCAAATACTGTGCCTCCATCTTGTTGAATCCCAATCCTGACTTCAGAATAACTGGCAAGAAGGTCGAAAATCCATAAAGACAAATATCCTGGCAGAACTGAATAACAATTGAAACAGCAAGTCTCCAATCTAACGCCGACCACAATTCAGGTTTGCTGAATTTTGTATCACCCATGTAGACAGCTTTTCTGCGATCTCTGTCTGCTTGAATTTTCTTTTCGGTCTCAGTAACTGTTAGAACGTGAGGACTATCAGGGAAAAGTATAAAAACCCATATACCAGCTGCCAATGATAGAAGTCCTTCAATCAAGTACAAATACTTCCATGATTCAAGCTTGCCACTTTTAATAGCTGTAATTCCAGTTGCAATTAAACCACCAAAGGATCCGGAAAAAGAAGATGCAACAAAATAGTACGCACTTCTTCTAGCAAGCTCATGGGGAAAGTAATAATCAGTGGCTATGACTGACATGCAACTCAAGTAAGAACCTTCACATAGCCCTATTAAAAGTCTCACAACAATCATCGCACCGTAACTTTTCACAAAAATGGTGAAAATAGTCACAAGAGACCAAGCAATGATCATAGTTCCAAGATAGTATTTTGGTCTTGCAAATCGTCTCATGAACCAAACGCCAGGTACCATGAACGGGATATATGTCGCGTATAAGACACTTGCAATGTTAGAAAACTGGGCATCAGTCATATTCAAATCGGTTGCCATTCCAGCGACTTTTGCATTACCAATGTTAGAGCGATCCAAAGACGAAAAAAAGTACGAAACACAAAAGAAAGGCACTAATCTGTAGTCAAACTTATGTATCAGTTTTTTTTCAGCCTTGATATCAATGGGCTCGTCCAAAGATTGAACATCAACTTCGATAGGGGATTCCTTATCTTCAAATGACATGGTTTACTAGTACTGTACTCAAGCTATGCTCTTCCTGCCATATTTATCTAATTTTAATTTTCCGCTCTGACGAGAATATCTATCGAGAAATCTTTGAATCGCGGCTGTTGACCTCCTATCAATATATTTTTTCAGGCGATAAGATTTGGAATCATGCAGGTGTGAGGTGTGGGTTCTACATGTTGCCCCAAAGTTTTGATAGCAAATTCTTGGCGATAAAAGCCGCCGGCCACTAATTTACAGTATGAATCAGCCAAAATTTTTTGTGATTTACCACTTCATATAATTTGGTCTCTATTTAGACTATAACTAGTTTTCAAGTTGAATCCTTTGTCTCTGGGAAACGAAACCCGTAAAACCGTATTTGTCTTCTTTTTTGTCCACAGGGACTGATTCTTTTGATGACGGAGAACCCCATCCACCTCCTCCTGGTGTCAAGATTCGGATTCTATCACCTGCAGATACCTCAACAGATGCTCTGGGGCCTATGTTGAGTACTTTATTGCCATTTTCGGTGATCCAGAGATTCAATCCTCTCTGGCCATTCTCACCACCTGCAAGACCTCGTGGTCCATTTACACGCCGATCGGAAAGAATGGAGGCAGTTACTGGCACACGGAACTCCACATCTCTAATCACTCCATCACCACCTGGATGTTGTCCCTTACCCCCTGAGCCTTTCCTGATGGAAAATTCTCTTAAGATAATCGGATATCTCCTTTCAAATATTTCTGGGTCAGTGATTCTTGTATTGGTCATGTTCGTATGAACACCAGATTCCCCAATCCAAGATTTGGAAGCACCATGACCTCCAGCAATAGTTTCATAATATCCAAATCCTTGAGTATAGCCTTCGGCATTGTTTCCACCAGTACCAAAAGTGAAATTATTGCAGCAACCTTGACAATCGGCCATTACATTGAAAGCCTTAAGGATGGTATCGGTGATTCTCTGTGCAGTACAAACATTACCTCCAACAACTGCACAACTGAAATCTGGACACAGAAGAGACTTTGGTGGCACAATAACTTCAACAGATCTCAAGCATCCCTGATTCAATGGGATTTCCTCTTCAACTAAACACCTTAAGCAATATATAATTGCCGAATGAGTGATTGCAATCGGTGAGTTAAAGTTGTTATAAGTCTGCTCTGATGTACCAGTGAAATCAAAAACAACCTTGCCATCCTTTCTGTGAATTTTCAGCTTAATAGTGGATCCATCATCCATGTAATCCTCACATTCTGCCTCTCCATATCTTTCCATCAGCTCATCCAGCTTTTTGGTCACAGTTGTAGCTGCATTATCCTGAATAGCTCTCATGTAATACGTAATTGTATCCAAGCCAAACTCGTCAACCAATTTGCTAATAAGATTGATACCCTTCTGATTTGCTGCTACTTGAGCTTTCAAGTCTGATATATTATCGGACAACCTTCTGGTTCCTGAACAGCCAGGATATGATGCAGGGTCATCCATCAGATGCTTCGTAATAGCTTCTGTTTGAAACACGTGATCTTTGACTAATAAGTCAGAGTATATAGTTGCACCCTCTTGCCATAGGAAAGTGGAGGTGGGAGGCATGGAACCAGGAAGTATACCTCCAATATCCGCATGGTGAGCTCTGGATCCAACATAGAAAATAATTTTATCATTGAGCCAAGCAGGGGTAATGACAGTGATATCCGGGAGATGCGTGCCACCAGAAGATGGGTGATTTGTCACAAGAACATCTCCTGGTTTCAGTTTGCCTTTCCAGATTTTGGCTTGCGCGGTCACACACGTGGACATAGAGCCCAAATGCCCTGGCAAGTGAGGAGCATTGGCAACTAAATATCCATCGGGGTCAAAAAGAGCACAGGAAAAGTCAAGTCGCTCTTTCACATTAACAGAGACCGAAGTCTTTTGGAGAGACAGACCCATTTGCTCAGCAATGTCCATAAATCTGTGCCCAAATATAGAAAGCATAATAGGCTCGCTCAGAGCAACACTGGCGGTATCATGTCTTGTTATCACCACATGAGTTCTGAGAATCAATGCAGTTGATAAAGGAGGAATCACGTTTGTTTGTGTTCCATCCGCAATAATAGCTGGGCCAGCAATTTGTGCACCAACATCCAAATTCTCAAGTCTATAAACTGGAGTATCCAAAAAGCTCTTTCCCCAAAATGTCTGTTTCACAAACTCTGCTTTTTCAGCACTAATTGCAGTGATTGCTCCTGACTGTTGCAGCTCCTCAATTTGATCATCAACATACTCTAGTTTCTCGGTGAGACCCTTTCCAATGGCTCTGACCCTAATATCATCGACAATGATTTCTTTTTCAAAAACAAAACCAAACTCACGTTTATGGAGAGCAACAAACTTTTCTCTAAAATTCCAGCCTTCATCTTTGCAAACCATAAGTCCAGATTCTGTTCCCTGGTATCTGAGATTTAGATACTCTTCGAAAATAATGTCATCAAGCCCTTGAGCTTTAAGTGCTTTTGATGTAACCTCCTTCAGATGATCAAGTCTGGCTGATATTTCTTCCTTTGTAGTGTCATTTAGTAAAAGAGAGCTTGGCTCCTGTGCTTCCTCAACGACACTAGCGAGAGCCATTCCATACGCCGACAACACTGAAGAATACCTGTGGATCAGAATTGTGTCAATTCCTAAGAGCTCTGCAACATCACATGCACACTGCCCTCCTGCTCCTCCAAAGGAAACTAGTCTATGTTGAGAGGTGATATGGCCCTTAGCCTCAGTCAATTGTCTGACAGGTCTGGCCATTGTTTCATTAGCAAGCTTCAAAAACCCGTATGCACACTGCTCAACCGTCATAGGCAAAACGTCTGGATTTGTGTCATTGATTAATTGGGTCAATTCTGCAAATTTAGCCTTGGAGATCTCCGAATCCACCGACTCGTCTTCATTTGGACCAAAGATTTTTGGAAAATATTCTGGAACCAATCTGCCAAGAACCAGGTTGGCGTCTGTAACCGTCAGAGGTCCACCTTTACGGTAGCATGCGGGCCCTGGATGTGAGGAAGCGGACTCCGGACCAACAGCCATTAAGCCATTCTTATAGCTCAAGATGGATCCTCCACCAGCGGCAACCGTACTGATGTCAAGTTGAGGGGATTGAATTGTAACACCAGCCGTAGTAGTTTCAAAAACATGATCGAACTTACCATCGCCGTATCTTGAAACATCAGTTGAGGTACCGCCCATATCGAAACCGATCAGGGGAATTTTGTTTTTAGGGTTGTAAGATGTCATCGAGTAACCAACAACACCTCCTGCCGGACCTGACAAAATTGCACGCAATCCTGAAAAATAATCAGCATCAACAAGACCTCCATCAGACTGCATGAACTGACATTTTAGGGACTCAGGGTTCTTAACACCGGATTTAAAACCATTAACATAATTTTTGATCTCAGGAGTGAGATAGGCATCTGCCACGGAGGAGTTAGCTCTTGGAACCAGTTTAATCATAGGGGAAAGCTCACATGACAACGAGACGTGAGTGAAGCCTATTTCTTTGGCAATATCTCCAACAAGTAGCTCATGGTCAGGAAAGGTGTACGAATGCAAAAAGCAGACGGCCAAGGATTTGATTCCCATATCGAATATGAGCTGTAAGTGTGTTTTTATGGTTTCTGGGTCTGGCCTCTTAAGCACTCTCACTGTTTCCTTTGACAGACCTTCAACAAGATCTTCACCATTAGGTGCGGTGAACACTCTTTCAGGATCCTCAACGTAGTCTTCTAAGGTGACTCTTTCGTCAACCTCAATGACTGTGTCGTATAAGACGCTCGGTCTTTTCACAGATAAATCAAAAATATGAGGTCTAGACTGGTTTCCAATATGTAAAATGTCTTTGAACCCTTTGGAAGTGACCAATGCACATCTTTCACCCTTTCTCTCCAATAAAGCATTTGTAGCAACAGTAGTACCCAGCCTCAGTGACTCAATCTTTGAGGTATCCAATGACTGGCCTCTAGGAATTTTTTCCCCTGTGAAAATTTCCATCAGTCTTCGTATGCCTTCTAAGTTTGCGTCAGCATAGTTCTGGGGATCAACCGAGAGAAGCTTGATAATAACATCTTTCGACCCATCACCTTTATTACCAACACAGTCAGTAAATGTCCCACCTCTATCAATTGCAATTCTAATACCAGTCATTCTGATTTAGATGTGAATTTGCAGAAGCTAGGAAACTGGCTCCAATTTATGGAGTAAAATACTGCGGAGGATGACTCCCGCATAAAGTTTTTGAACAGACCAAATTTCTTATCTACAAAAATGGCATTTCTATATTGAGCGAGATCCCAATCGCGCAAAATGATTTTTTGGCTTGCCGAATCTACTCCCTAAAACAACCTCCGATTTGTTTTTATGTTTTGAGTCCTATGCATAGATAGCACAGCCAATAGTGTTTCGATCTTTGTAAATCATTATATCTACACATTGACTGATGCAAAGAACTCATTTTGGTCCTCGAAACCTGAAAGCCTGCCAACGTTGTTTCAAACGAAAGATCAAGTGTGTCAAGAATGATACCGACAAGAAGTGTACATATTGCACAAAGAAAGGTTATCATTGTGAAAAAAGAAAACTGATTGATATCTACTATACAAAGTCTACTCATGTGCCCGCGTTTCAGAGGAATTTCAAAGCGTTCGAAGCTTTATCAAACTCGGTCCAGTTCTTTGAATTTGTGTGTCAAGGGCTTGAGGCAACTTTTTCCATTGATGCAGGAAAAATTGAAATTCCAGAGCTCAACATTAACGAGTCATTTCTTGATTATTCGTTTTTGAAAAGGCCTCAGTCAATGGGGGCTCTCTTTGCTTTGGATTTTCCAGATGAGGCAACCGGGTTTGCCTTGTTCGAGCAGGCAAAAACTGTGATTTCCTACGATACTCAGGTCATGCTTCATAAGTCAACAGCTGATTTTCTTAAGAAAGTTTATGAGCCATCTCATATTGTCAACGTGAGTGATGACGAAACTAGGCTTGAACTACTGAGAATATTTGGAATCTTTGCAATCGGAAGACTACACACTACGGGTGAGGTTGTCCCAGAGGAATATCCTGGCCTGGGTTATTTCAAAATTGCTCTACATCTTATGACTGACATTTACGATAACCCGTCAATTTCTTACATTGAATGCATTATCATTCTTACTTTGTATTTAGTTGGTCTGAACAAGCTGAACTATGCCTACATGTACTCTGGAATGTCATTGAGGCTCTCTATTTTAATCAAACTGGACGATCCACGAACATATTTGCGACGTGACATTTCAGAGCTTCAAAAGGAGAGAATGAGACGACTGTGGTGTACTGTGAGAAGTATGGATTTTTACATGAGTGGTTGTTTAGGGTGTCAGCCTCAAACCAAATTTGATCAAGTTTTCGAATATCCCTCAGATCAAACATATGGTGACGAACTTCCAACAGGTCTATTTATCAGGGAGCGAGCGCGTCTGGGAGAACTTAAATATCGTATATTATCAGTGATACTAGAAACTGGGGATCCCAAAATTCAGGATGTACTAGATCAGTTCCACGAACGCTCACAAGCTATCGCATATGCATTCAGTGAGCTCTCACATCAATTTGAGCAAACAATTTTCCGCAGGTTGGCCTTTGCCCTGGTGTTTAGGCTCAATGAGTGCATCATTTTGGCAACTTTACCAGGATTTCTTCAAGAGCTGAGGCCAGAGTCTCTTCAATTATTAAAGCTTAGCGACAGTTCGAACATCTCTACGACATGCATAATTGCTGCTATATCCAATCTGAGAACCTATGAGTTTCTGTTTAAGAAAGCTAATATTTCGCTATTCGGCTTTATTGACACGAACTTCTTGTTTCTTTCTTCAATTATTCTTTTACTCGCACGTTATTTGTGGTCCCGTAAACCGCAAAACATAGACATTGAGGAAGCTTGGGATGATTGTATGACCCTTTTTGGTGAGTTGACTAAGACCGGAAATGTGACTGCGAACGAATATCTTAACAAGATTATGCACCTGCGAAACCTTCTTTCCATTTTGGAGAAACATATCAAACCTATGGAGTCTCTTTCTGAGGGGATAGATCAAGAAGAACATGTAACAAGTTCACCCTTAGATACTTCACGCTTTTTTCACTTTGAGATAGTTCAAAGTCTAGCTAGAGAATAGCGTCACACTTTCATGGTACTCATGGCTGAAGTGGCATATTTTAATTTTTGGGATCGGGGGGTTGTTAGGATTTTTACTATGAACATATTGAACTATCATTGAGCAATTCACATATTACAAACATTTGAGCTCACTCAAATTGTATCCTATCTGATACGCGATAAATCCACTAACACTACTAATCACTTTAGGTTTGATCTGAATAGAATCACTCAGCAAGGTATAATGTACAAAATATATGGTTTAATGGATAAGGTCAATCAAACCTTAGCGGTGATTTTCATAATCTGCTAAGGCTCATAGAGATAGGCGGGTGGCTGACATCGTTTTCGGTTCTAAACTATAAGTTCCGGCACGTCAACATGCTGGCGATTGCAGGGGCGATCGGGACGGGGCTGATTATCGGGTAGGGGACGGCCCTGAAGCGCGGCGGACCCGCGTCCCTGTTCATCGGGTACCTGTTCACGGGCGGCATCCTGGTGGTGACGCTCCTGTCGCTGGGAGAGATGGCGGCGTTTTCGCCGATGGACTGGGCGTTCTCTGGGTATGCATGCCGGTACGTGGACGCTGCGCTGGGGTTTGCGACGGGGTGGAACTACTTCATGAAATACGCGATTGTGTTTCCAGCGAACCTTGCTGCGCTGAGGATTGTGATCCAGTACTGGCGCGAGGACCTGAACCCGGGGATTTTCATCGCAGTGTTTCTGGTGGTGATTTTGTTTGTGAACTGGATAATTGACCCCACTTGTGGTCCTGCCTGAACACACCGGTCGTGCACCAGGATTCTTGATTACGTTCCGGTCAAGTAGAACTCCACTCTACCAAACAGGCAGTCCTAGACACCACAAAGATGCTTTACTTTTTTTGCACTGATATGTCTACACCATCTCAAAACTATTGATCTTTGCAATACACATGCCAAGCCAAAGCACCAGCATATTTGTAGGGAGCAAGACCTCCATACACCTGACAATATCCACTGGCCTCACAAGTCCGACAGCTGGCCGGATACCTGCTCGATGCATAGTCAGGATAGTTTGGGAACTAGTTGAGCAGCTTCCCATTGGGAGAGCAGGGCAGGAAAAACTCTACCAAGGTCACATTTTTTCCCAACCGCAGAAAGCGCTTGCTTGCGGAAGGGAACAAAGTCGGGATAGTAATGGACAAATTTAATACTAAAATACACCTATCAAATAGTGAAGCCACTAGCAATGCCGTGATTCGCATAATCTTCCTTACTATTGCGACGAGTTTAGGGCACTTTGCAAATTTCCCACAGTTCCAGAAGACACTGGAATATGCTTGTATTTGCTCGTCTCAACTCCCACTCCCCAGAACTCATCAGTGTCGTCAACTTTGCCAAATCCACCTCCACCTGGAGTCAACACCTTCACAATGTCTCCCTTTCGAATTGCAATCTCAGCAAGTGACGGCAACTGGATCCATTGGATGACGCCATTGCCTCTATTTCTTCCAAGATAGTTCTCTCCCTTCTTTCCATCCTCTCCACCGTAAATACCCCAAGGAGCAAAAACGCGTCGTTGTGTGACCAACGACACATGAACAGGGGAGTTGAACTGAATCTCTCTTATCAAACCGTTACCTCCATTCCATTTACCACGTCCACCGCTATTCTCGCGAATACAGTATTGAATGAGAAGACATGGATATCTTTGCTCAAGAATTTCCGGATCTGTGATCTTGGTGTTAGTCATGTTCGTCTGCGTACCCGAAAATCCGTGGAATCCGATCCTAATGCCGTCTTTTTCAACAATTCCAGCGCAATTGCCTTGTCCAATCGTTTCAGTGTATCCAAAGCCCTTGATAAGCTCACCCTTCTCATTTTCACCGCCTGATCCAAAGTTCAGACCGTTCATGCACCCTCCAGTGGCGGATGTTGCACCAAATGCCTTGAATAAGCAGTCTGTAACTCTTTGAGAGGTCATACCGTTACCGGCGCAAACAGCAGCAAATCTACTTGGGTTGATTAGGGAATTTTCTGGAATGATCAGCGTGCAAGGGTCCAAGCATCCCTGATTTAGCGGAATATCAAGATTCACCAGACATCTAAGAACGTAGATGACAGCAGATGCAGTGACAGACTTAGGGGCGTTCAAGTTGCTGTAGGATTCAAGAGATGTTCCAGTAAAATCAAACACCGCGGATCCATCTTGTGGATTGATGTCAATTTTAACCTGCACTTTTGTTCCATCGTCGAGGTAGTCAACGGCAGTTAATGGCAGTCGGTCAGCATTTTCGTTAGCAAATTTCATTAAGAAATTCCGAACTCCCATTTCTGCAGTCTTTTTAACATTTCGCATGTAGAAAAGAACTGTCTCACTGCCATATTCGTTAAACAGATCCTTCAAAAGATTGATACCTCTCTGGTTAGATGCAATCTGAGCTTTCAAATCTGAAATGTTATCATCAATGTTTCTTGTTCCAGAAACTCCATGCTTTCTAGGAGCCACGTTGAAATGATAATCCAGGCCCTCGTAATCTAGTTTTCCCTTTTCCACAATCTTCCATGTTTCAATGTTAACACCTTCCTCGTAAATCTCTCTGGCGTAGGAGGATGACGAGCCAGGAGACGATCCACCAATCTCCGAATGGTGTGCTCTAGCTGCAACCACAAATTGGATTTTGTTCTGGTAGAACACTGGAGAAATCACGGTTATATCTGGGAGGTGCGTTCCTCCAACGCTCGGAGAGTTTGTGCAGAGAATATCGCCTTCGTGAAGGTCGTCCTTCCAATATTCGAGCTGATACTTGATAGCGCTGGACATTGAGCCAAGATGGACTGGCACATTAGGTGCGTTCGCTGTCAAGTTTCCTTCATTGTCGAATAAAGCACAGGAGAAATCTAATCTTTCTTTGATGTTGGCACTCACAGCAATTTTTTGCAATGTACGAGCCATATCCTCCGCAATGGACATGAATCTATTGCTGAAGATCGAAAGTTGGATAGGATCGACATAGTCTGTGCTGATCTGGCTTTTCGACTCGACATCGACGTCTAAGACAACATGTCTTGGAAGAATGGTGGCACAAGAATCGGGCGTCACCACAATGGTTTGAGTTTCGTCTAGAATAAGTGCTGGTCCAGCCACCACAATTCCAGGGGCTAGCTTTTCCAAAAGATAGACCTTGGAATCAATAACACCTTCGTCGAAAACAATAGGAGTGGTTTTCTCTTCAACTCCTGACTGAACGGCAACTTTTGTCACTGAATCATAGTCCTTGTATGGAGACCTCTCGTTTGTTTCGTTTGATGTATTTCCAGTGCTTCTGACTCTGACATCAGTGATCAGGACAGGCTTGTCGTAATCGTTAAAGGCAAACTCCCTTTCGTGAGTCTTATAGAATGCAGACAAAAAGTCATCATCAACTGGCCGTGCAACCATAATCTTGGTATCTGAGCCCTTATAGCCCATGTTAAGGTAAACTGTCGAGGACACAGTAACTGGGTTAACACCTTGAGCCTCCAGCTCCATGACAGCCTTTTCCTTCAACTTTTCTGACTCCTTGAGGAGTTCATCTCTAGTGGCATCGGAGTAAACTTTGGCACATGGAATCTGCTGCTCGTTGACCACATCGGCCAAAGATATACCGTATGCCGATAAGATCGAAGAGTGCTTGTGAATAAGCACCTTCTTGATCTTCAAAATCTTGGCAATCGATGCAGCATGCTGCCCTCCGGCACCACCAAAAGAAGCCATAGCATGAGCAGACGCGTCATGCCCTTTGGCCTCAGTCAACTCCCTAATTGGCTTTGCCATTTGATAATTGGCAACCTTCAAAAATCCAAGAGCAATTTCATGAGCCGTTTTAGGGAAACCTGGGTTGTCGCGATTGATGATCTGCGCTAGTTGCTCGAATTTCTTTTTGGTGATGGCATAGTCCAGAGGTTCGTTTTCGCCTGGACCAAAAATCTTAGGGAAAAACTCAGGCAAAATTCTTCCTGTGAACAAATTAGCGTCAGTCACGGTTAACGGTCCACCTTTCTTGTAGCATGCAGGACCTGGATGAGCAGAAGCAGACTCGGGTCCAACCTTGAAGACACCATTGACGTATTCAAGGATGGAGCCGCCTCCAGCAGCGACAGTGTTGATATCTAATTGTGGAGCAGCGATATTGATGCCAGCGGTGATGGACTCAAACGAGAATTCATACTCGCCCGCATATCTTGAGACATCTGTTGAAGTTCCACCCATGTCAAATCCAATCACAGGAATGTTGTTGTCGCGATCGTAACACGTCTTTGCCTCACCAACAACACCTCCAGCAGGTCCCGAAAGCAGCGAACGTAGTCCAGAAAAGTTTCTCCAGGAGCACAATCCACCATCAGATTGCATAAACTCAATTCTTGTGTGTTTCTCAAAGCCTGGTTGAAACCCAGCCAAGAAGCTGTCAATATATTCCTTCACTACAGGAGTCAAGTAGGCATCGACAACTGTTGATTGGCCTCTGGGAAGAGTTTTGATAACCGGTAGCACCTCATGAGAAAGAGAGATATTTCCAAATCCAAGACTCTTTGCGATCTCGCCGGCCTGTTTTTCGTGTTCCTGATAGTTGTAGCCGTGAATAAAGACAATGGCAACAGAATTTATTCCTTGCTCTTTTAAATCTTTCAGATCACGAGTCAATTTATCGGTGTCTAAAGGCTTGACTATCTCAAAGACTTCTCTTGTTTTACCCTCAACGTATTTTTTACCGTCCAGAAGATCACGTGCATCATAGCCAGTTGGGTCAACCAAAAATGCTGGCATAGTGACACGTTCATCTGCTTCAACAACCTTTTCGAAAAGAACGCCGGGCTTCACAATGTTCAGTGCAAACAAGTCTGGACGCGATTGATCACCAATATGAAGCAAATCTTTGAAACCTTTTGTAGTCACTAAAGCACATCTTGAACCTTTGCGCTCCAGAAGGGCATTTGTCGCCACCGTAGTTCCCAGCCTAATTGAAGAAATAGACGAAGTGTCGAGAAGTTGATCTCTTGGGATAGATTTCCCAGAAGTCAGTTCCAACACTCTTCTGATACTCTCAATGTTTGCGTCTTTGTAATTCGAAGGATCAACTGATAAAAGCTTGAACGTGCCTTCCTTATCACCCCATTTGTAGATCACATCTGTAAATGTTCCACCACGGTCAATAGCTATACTGATACCCGACTCAGAAACTGTCATGATTTGAATATTCAGTAGTCAGAAACTAACCCACTATCAGCTGGATCATTTAATATATTTAAGCTGATACAGCAGATAGATAAACATGAGCAGGCAGCTCGTGACGAGCGGAAAACAATAGCGCCGCGCGGGTTAGTAAAAGTTTTTTCAAGGCAGGTCGAGACGAGCTAGCGGAACCGTTCATAATAATTACTTCTGGTCATTCAGATAACCAACTAGCATTATCGAGTCACTTTATCTTTTGGTTCCCCGGATCGACAATGAGTATTTTAAGTTGACAAATTGCCCTTCATCGCTTATCAATTATTCAGAATGACTTCGACCGATTTGCCTGAGAAAGATGCTTATTTGGCAGTTACCACTCAAAAATCAATCGTTGATGACCCTGGCGCAGACAGAGCTCTTCAGTTCCTTGCTGAGCACGCTGGTAAGTTTGAAGAGCTTACTCCAGCCGAGGAAAAATGGGCTATTCGGAAGACCGATATGATTCTGTTGCCAATACTCTTCTTCACAGCCACCATGGGTGCTGTTGATAAAGTTTCGTTGAGTACGGCCGCTATATTTGGATTCAAGACCGATAACCACCTTCATGGACAACAGTACTCTTGGTTGGGATCTATTATTTTCATTGGCTCTCTCGTTGGGATGTGGCCGATGTCTTATCTTTTGCAAAGGTTCAGAATCGGCAAAGTCATTAGTTGCTGCTCGGTGTTCTGGTCTTCAACTACTCTTTTGTTGTGCGCCTGCCACAATTTTGCTGGTCTTGCTACTTTGCGTTTTTTGATGGGTCTTGTTGAGTGTGCAATCGTCCCTGGTTGCTCGTTGATGGTTGCTTGCTTTTACCTAAAAACTGAGTCTCCGCACCGGACAGCATTCATTTTTATGTTTGCATCTTCGGTGATTAACGGAGCTCTGTCAGCTCTTGCCACAAAGTTTGGTCACGCAATACCTACTTGGAAGTATATCTACCTCCTAGTCGGTTCCATCTCGTTCGTGTGGTCCTGCTTCTTGTTTTGGTTCTTACCGGACTCTCCAATCAATGCCAAATTCTTGACCGAGCGCGAGAAGGTCTTTATGGTTAGGCGTGTTGCTGATAATGCCACTGGAGTTGAGAACAATTCGTGGAAATGGGAGCAAGTCAAGGAGGCATTTATCGACGTGCGAGTCTATTTGATTATGCTTTTCAACTTTGGTATTAACATTCCTAATGGTGGATTGAGCACTTATAACTCTATCATCATTAACAACTTGGGTTTTACTCCCGTCAAGTCTGCTCTTATGGGTATTCCTACCGGTGTGATCGCTTCTATTGCAACATTCTTTTGCACTTGGCTTGGTGCCCGCTGGAAAAACAGAAGATGCTTGGTTTCCATCGTTACCTTGATTATTCCACTGATTGGGGCTATCATTCTCTATGCTGTTGACCAAAAAAAGGTCGGTCCTCAACTGTTGGGACTCTACCTGATGTACTTCTACTTTGCGCCATATGTTGTCATGATGTCCTGTGTTCAAGCAAACACTTCGGGAAGCACCAAAAAGTCCGTCACCTACGGTTTCAACTATCTTGGTTACTGTGGAGGAGCTATTACCGGTACACAGACTTTCAGGAGCAATCAAGCACCTAAGTACACTGGTGGATTTACTTCGATGATTGTGGCTTACTGTGTGTGCATTCTGTTGTCTGCTGTCTACTGGTTCACATGTGTTGTCATGAACCGTAAGAAGAGAACCGTTCTCGATAAGGTCTCAGAAGACGCGCTGGACGTGTCTATCGAGGGTGTTGAGAATGAGAAGATGCTTGACTACACTGATATGCAGCAGCGCCACTTTTTCTATACTACTTAGTTTTGTGTAATTCCGGATAAATTGGTAATCCAGTTTTTGCCGGGCATCTGAACAGATTCAATTTTTTTTCTCAACTCGTCTCGAGCTTCTTATTTTTCGGATTCTTATCGGTATGGCATGATTGGCATGATCTCTCATGGCGCCACAAACATTATTTATAAGAAGCTATCTTCCTCAAATTTGAGGCAGTTAACATGATCAGCCCTGATTCCTCAATTCTGATTGTTGGCGCGGGCACCTTTGGCCTTTCTACAGCTCTACAATTGCTTCGCAAAGGCCATAAAAACGTGACCCTCTTGGATCCGTACGCCATTCCTTCCCCGCTTTCTGCAGGCAATGACATCAATAAAATTTTCCAGTCAACTGTCAGTGACGAGTTTTACTCTGAGCTAGCTTTGGAGGCTCTCGACCTGTGGAGATCTGATCCTGTTTACCGGCCAGCATTCCATGAAGTGGGTATAGTTTACGGAGCGACAGGAGACGATGCTGTGGCTGAAATCAATCAACGCTACAACCGTCTCAAATCCAAAGGAGAAGATATCCAAAAACTGGAAGCACCAGAAGACTTTGCCAGATTGATTGAATGGAAAGGAGATCTTGCAGATGACTTCTCATCACTGAATCTTGAATCGAGATTCAAGAACTGGAAGGGATATTTTCAGAAAAGTAAGTGTGGATGGACATTTGCAGCGCTAGCTCTTGAAAATGCATACAAAGAATGCAAAGAAAAGGGGGCACACTTTATTCAGGATGCTGCTGAGGAGTTGCTTATAGAAGGCTCCAACTGCGTTGGAGTTCGCACATTGTCGGGAGCAATTTTGAAAGCTGATCGTGTCGTTATATGTGCTGGAGCAAATTCAACAAAATTACTCAACTATAAAGGTCAACTACTAGCCAAATGCTGGACTGTTGGTCACATAAAGCTCACCCCAAGTGAAGCTAAAGCGCTGAAAAACTCGCCGGTTCTTTTGAATTTGGACGAAGGGTTCCTTTTTGAGCCTGACGCGAATGGAATCCTGAAGTTTTGCAACGAGTTTCCGGGATACATTAATCGAGATGGAACCGAAAATATATCGTCACCTCTTTATCGAAACCAGATCCCTGTGGAGGCTGAAGAGCAAATGAGAGGGTTTTTGAGGCAAGTATTTCCCCAAATCAGCACGCGTCCCTTCGATGCTGCCAAAATATGCTGGTGCACCGATACACCTGATCGTCACTTCTTAATTTGTGAGCACCCTGATATGAACGGCCTCATTTTAGCGACAGGAGATTCTGGACAAGGATTCAAGTACATGCCTATCATTGGCCATTACATATCCGACCTCGTTATGAAAGGAGAGTCCGGATTACAAGAAAGCCATCGCAAAGCATGGAGGTGGAGACCAGAGACAGCCGAGAAAAGAGATATATATAACCTTCAAGGGAGATTCGGTGGCTCAAACAAAATTAAGGATCTCAATGATTTAAGCAAGTGGACAAATTAATAAACTATCTTATGCAAGACTCAATGTACTTGCCTTCTCTCGAATCATATCTCTCCAACGTATGTGGTCACACCCTAGATCTTTCTCCTTCCAAACGCTCGTAACGACAGAGCACGCTGTTCGGACGCTTCCAAGCTCTCTTGTCTTCTGTAAAGTAGTGAAAGCATTCAGAACAAACCATCTATCCTCGTCAGCCACAGTGGATACAATCCCAATGACAAATAATGGCCACAGCAGAGACATGTAAATATCCGGCAGAGACCTCATGAGGGACACGATATGTTTGGAAATTTGCTGTGTATCCGCATGTCTCTTATAGAAGGATTTTGAGACTCTCCCATCGTGCTGGTAAACGGCTTCTAAGTCGATCCTAGCAAATAAGTAAATGATCGCTGTGAGACGTTTTATCTCGGCAATTGTTTCAATATAGTGCGCATCTTCTTCGCTAACTTCCGGAGTTGGTTCGAATTCCTGGCAAAGTTCCTCAAGCTCTCGATGGAGGTGTTCGCGTCTGATCCAAATCTCCGACTCAATGGCATCGCGGCTGGCTTGTGAGGTTTCCAGTTCTAAGTCCTCATAGCATTTACCGAGCATGGAAATCCGATGAATTATTGAGATCAGATACGCGCTGCAGCCAAGAACGAGATCGATTCGAGTATCACCGTCATTACGAAGTGTTTCCAAGTGAGGGTCGTCGAATATGGGTTGCGGTAATCTTGGAAGAGGCATGGAGTCGTTTGAATGGTTCTCCCCAACCCAAGCTGTTTCCCCCATCACCTCGTGGCTGATAAAGTACCTGGTGAAAAATTTAAACAATGGATTCTCACTATTGCGCATGCGAGTTTCTTTCAGTAGCTCTTTTGCCTGGGCAAGATGCGTAGTCCATTGAGCGCCAGAACCGCAATTGGAGGAAATCTCCTTGAAACAGAGCATTATGATCGTTGCAAGGATCTCATCCAGGTTATGTATATCTCCAATGGCGTGCGGAAGTTCTCCCAGCACCTGCTTTGTGTACCTGTCAGATATTTCTTCAAACTCTTTTTTTCCTAGAAGAAACAGCTGGTATGCGCTAGCGGCCAGGATTGAGTTCAACACCATTGTTGAACCTGCAGCCAGTGGAACAATTAGATAAAGGTACGGATTGGTTTCGGGGTTCAGCTTGTACCGAAAGGAATCAATTGACTCAAGGGGGTGGGACGAGATCTTAGACTTATCAGGATAACACACACAGACAGGGCAAATGGAGTTGATGAAGTACAACAGAAGCTCGCGTTCTTGGGGCCCCAGGTTGGCAAGCGATGACTTGTTCTTAGGTTCCAGCACAAACTCGCTGGGCGAACCTATGGAATAAGGATACTCAAATTCCTGCAATGCGCCCAGGAGAAAGGCGTCTTCCGATGGTGTGGGAAAAGTGCTAGGAAATGGGTGTGATATCTGCGGGCTGCAAGGTTGTTTGGGTGTTGGGGAAGGTGTGCTAGCCGTTTCATCATCGCGCTCCGAAATGTGGTTAAAGTCCTGCTCGGTAATATTGATGAACAAAATTTTAGTGTTTTGCAAGGGGAGCCATGGTACGTGATCGGACGCCACCCGTTGACTCAGAGTTTGTTCATACTCCTCACTTGAGTTTTCGATCTGTTGCTGTTTAATCCTTTTGTACTGTTCTGACCGACCAAAGGCAATCCCTCGCACAAATGCATCCTCTTCCCAAAGGACTCTTTGATCGTACCGGCAAGCTCTATCTAATCGTGCACAGTTATTGCATCTCGGACGAGTTTCTTGGGTTAGACCACTAATCTATTACTTACGTACCATCACACTTCACCCGCCTCTGACGACAAGTCAAACAGCCCTTGCGGCTTCGCTTATCCCTAGGCATTTTTTGAGTTCTTGCGATAGACCTGTAGGGAAGAAAATATGATAAAGATTATAAATTTCTTCAGCTCGTTCCGACCTTCCAAATTTTGATACCGAGCATTTTAATAATTTTTTCGCAGCCCTCACCTCCCCTCCCAACTCAGGAAACTCCGCTCTTCACGTGATAAGTCTTATCTCCGCACAACATTTTTATCTCATGTCCATTGCGGAGCTGTTTCCTGACGCCATCGCAGACGGCGAGGGCACCACTTACATACCGCTCAAAGACTCGGAGTACAGGAATAGCTATAGCGAGCGTCTATTCACAGCGAAACACTACGATTGGCGCGACGATTTTGTTAAAAACGGCTATGTCGTGATTAAAAACGCTATTCCACGAGAGCGCGCGCTGAAGTACCAGAAAGATGTCTTCCAGCTGGTAACAACATTCTCCAACGTCGACTTTGCGAATCCCGCCTCTTGGACACCAGAAACCCTGCCTCCTGTGCCGGGCAATATTTACAGCGGCCACGGACTCAACCACGAAAAAGTGTTTTGGGAAGCACGACTTGAACAGGGCGTTATCGACGCATTTGGGCATCTTTGGGGTACCGATCAACTTCTTGTATCTTACGATGGCTTCAATGTCACGCTGCCGGTTAAGCGAACCATCCAACCGTGGCCGCATTTCGACCAGTCGCCATATAAACAGGGTCTCCACTGTGCGCAGGGAATTATATGTTTGAGCGACCACACGGCTTCTGACGGTGGTTTAGTGGTTTACCGAGGCTCTCATCTTTTGTTTGAGGAGTTTTTCAAGACTGTTCCTGATTGGGAAAAGAACGACTACGTCGAGCTGACTCCCTCGCAGCTCGCCTGGTTCACAGAGCGTGGCTGTGAGGAGGTCAAGATTTCGTGCGAGGCCGGCGACCTCATTATCTGGGACTCGCGGACGTGCCACTGGGGAAGACCTCCGACCGAAAAAAGTGAGCATGTTCGCACAGTTCTTTATGCATCATATGCTCCGGCGGAACTTGCGTCGGCCGAATTTTTGGAGAAACGTAGCAGGCTATTCTACGCTGGAGAAGGAACCACGCACTGGACCCACTCGAATTTGGCGTCGTATTCGGCACATATCCCTGTGCTGGCCCACAGAAATCAGCCGAGTAGTCCGCCAGAGCCTTCCGACAGGCTGTTGCAGCTGGCGGGTATAAAAAGTTACTAATTCCGCAAGTAAGAATTTTTCTTCTTATCTAATGGCCAAAGAAAAAACAGCAGTCACGGTTGAAGAGATCGCGGCGGTCCGCCATGGCGACCCTGTGCTTGCTCAGAAGCTTCGCCTGATCAACAACGCCATTGACGAAATTGGCTTCACCTGGTACCATTTCCAGCTTTTCTGCATCGCTGGCTACGGCTACGCGGTGGACTCGCAGCTAGAGCTCATCCAGTCGTCGGTGCATTCGTACGTTGCGCTCCAATTTGGCGCAGACTACCCCACGGATACCCAGACCACGTACGTGGGGTACGTTCTGGGAGCCCTTTTCTGGGGTTTTGGCGGCGATTTGATCGGCAGAAAGCTCGCGTTCAACACGTCGCTGATTCTCGCCTCGCTGCTGGGCTTTGCTACCGGGGGGATGAACTCTTTTGCCACGTACTGCATCTTCAATGCGCTGGCCAACTTCTGTGCCGGCGGTAACCTCGTTATGGACGTCACTGTGTTCATGGAGTATGTGCCGTTCAAGTGGCAGTTTCTCAACACCATGATGGCTATGTGGTGGGGGATCGGACAGACAGTAAATAACCTTATCTGCTGGGGGTTCCTGCCCAACTACAGCAGCGGCTGGCGGTACGTGTGGTATACCAACAGCGGAATAATTCTGTTCTGCGGCCTGCTACGGCTGTTTGTGCTGCGGTTGGACGAAACTCCAAAATTTCTGGTGTCGACCGGCCGCGACGACGAGGCCGTGCAAGCTCTGCAGAGAATTGCACGCAAGTACCAGCGTCCCTGTTCTCTCACACTGGACCAGCTGCAGGCGTGCGGTGAGCTCTGCTCAGACTATTATTCGCCGCAACAGGGCTGGCAGCCGGCCAAAATGCTTGCTGCAGTGAAGGAACACGTGCGGATCTTGTACCAGAACAAGATCGTCGCCTACTCCACCACGTCGCTCATGCTCTCGTACCTGCTGGTCGGCTTCTCATCCAGCATCTTCTACAACTTCCTCTACATCTACATCCAGTCGCACGGCGGCAACACGGCGGCGCCCAGCCACATCGTGTACAGGAACTCGACGTTGTCATATATGACGGCGATTTTCGGGCCAATCTTCTCGGCGCTGCTCGTGAGAGCCTTCGGCAGACGATATACGATGCTGTTTGGCGGCATGGCCACCATGGCCATCATGTTTGGGTACACGACCGTGCGCACGCCGTCAGGTGACGCTGGCTTTTCGTCTGCAACGAATTTCTTCATGAACGTGTATTATGGCTGTCTCTACGCGTATGCGACAGAGATCTTCCCAGCACAGGCGCGCGGTACAGGGATGGGGCTGGCGTCTGTTCTGGGCGCCATCGGTGGTTCCCTCTCCCCGGTAGCATACTATTTCGGTGAGAGTTCGGGCACCTCTGTTCCTATCTGGCTGGCAGGTGCGCTTTTTGGCGTGCTTGGTATTCTGGCTGCTCTTTACCCATTTGAGCCCTCTGGCAAGGGCCTGAATCTGGTGCGGTCAGGAAATAGAAGTGAGGTGATCTAGCTCAGCTTAATACAATAAAACAATTAAGTTTCGGAGTTCGGTGTTATGAGGAGCTGCAATTTTACGGACATTCCTAATATAATCCGTTTATCCACGTCAGAAACTTTAGCAAGTGGTACAACGTCACTCTCCGTTAACACCTGCAGTGACGGACTTAACAATCTATAGCCCAGACACAGACTTTCAAGGGCCCCAGACACAGACTTTCAAAGGCACTATAAAAAGGCCCTGCTCTTCATTGATTCTCTCCACCATGCCACCAAAGTTCAACTCGTTCAAGTGGGATACCATTCCAGAAAACCTCTATACTCGGCTAGGAAAGTCCGGCCTCCAGATCTCCAGAATTGTCCTAGGATGTATGTCCTTTGGCCGGAAATCATGGTTTGACTTTGTGCTAGAAGACGAGGACGAGGTGTTCACGATCATGAAGAAGGCGTATGACAGCGGAATTCGTACTTTTGACACCTCTTGCAACTACTCCAACGGCTACTCGGAGATCCTCGTTGGAAAATTCCTCAAGAAGCACAACATCGACAGACGCACGGTCGTTATCTTGAGCAAGTGTTTCTTCCCTGCTAACGAGTCGGATCCAGACACAAACATCATTATCCCAGGAACGGCCGAAGGCTCAGAATACATCAACCGGTTCGGGCTCTCGAGAACAAATATCCTGGACTCTGTGGATAAGAGTATCGAGAGACTTGGCACTCACATCGACGTGCTTCAGGTCCATCGATTCGACAAAAATACGCCAATCGAGGAGACGATGGAGGCGCTGCACGACGTCGTCAAGTCCGGCAAAGTAAAGTACCTTGGAGCTTCCACCATGAGAGCGTACCAGTTCGTTGAGATGCAGCATGTTGCCGAAGTGCATGGCTGGACCAAGTTTATTTCCATGCAGAGCTATTACTCCTTGTTCCACAGGGAGGAGGAAGAGGAGCTGATTGCGTACTGCAAAAAAACTGGAGTTGGACTCGTCCCCTACTCGCCGCTCGCCGGAGGAGTGCTGGCCAGACCACCGGATAAGATCTTCAACACTACGACTCGTTCCAGTAGCCCTTTTTCGGCTTCGATGTTCAGGCTGGGCGAGATTACCGACAAGGACAAAGAACTGCTTTCCAGAGTCGAGGAGCTCGCAAACAAGCATGAAGTGAAGATGGCCACTGTGGCCATAGCGTGGTGTCTGTCCAAAGATCACAATCCCATTCTGGGCATTAACAAGGTGGAGAGAATTGATGATGCATTAGCTGCTGTCAACCTGAAACTCACCGACGAGGAAATCGCCTATCTTGAAGAGCTCGATGTCTCCAGAAAGCTGCCTAACTTGTACCACTGAAAACTGAGACTGAATTTAAATCTAAATAATGATAATTTTTTAACTCCACAACAGGGAGAGAAATTTATGTATGCCCCTTGGAGGAATGTCGTTTTCCGGTCTAGTTTTGTAGTCCTCCATCAGGGCTGGAATGATGATGTCCTTGAGGTCGATCAGCGGGGTGCGTTTGATGATCTTGTAAGCAAGACAGAAGAGCACAAACAGCATTGGGGAGCAGTAAGCAGACACAAACGTGGAGGTCTGCCAGTTCCCGTGGATAAAGGTGGTGAATCCACCAGTCAGCAGAAGAATTATCGACGCGATAAGCGAGATCCATGCTCCGGCAGGTGCCAACCTGTTGTGGTACGGAAGATCGGATCTCTTGTATCCCTGGGCTTTCAGGGCCCTATTCATTCTGATGTGGCAGATGGATATAAGGATCCAGCCAACCAGCAGGTTGGATGAGGTGATGTTCTGGAACCAGCTGAACACTGTGGCTGCCGTGCTGTTGACGCTCATATAGGACAAGGCCAGGAACAGCAAAGCCAGGGCAACGCCCACAAACGGAACGTTGAGCGTCTTGGTGGTCTTAAAAAAGCGTCGAGGTGCCTGTTTCTTTGCGGCAAGCGAAAACAGGACTCTTGCAGAGCTGGCAATACCGGCGTTGGCCTCGGACCACGCAGAGGTGAGGGTGAGTGCATTGACCACATGGGGAAGCACCTTGATGCCTCCTCTTTCGAATGCAACCACGTATGGTGAGTGCGCTGCTGTGCCGTCGCTCACGGCGATTTTTTTGTCGTTGTAAGGCACGATCAGACTCAAAACGAAGACTGCAACCATGTAAAGAGAAACGACTCTGTACAGGATTCTCTTGGCGGCACGAGGAATATTCGTGCGTGGATTTTGAGTCTCACCAGCTAAAAGCGCAATACCCTGAACTCCTCCGTAAGAATAAACCACCGACGAAAGAGCAGCCCAGAAACCGATAAACTTTCCAATATTGCCTGTCTTGACGAACTCTGCAAAAGGGCCAGGGTCCTTCCAATAGTGGAAGCCAAGTCGTTCCTGGCCCTTGACTCCTCCCAAGTCCAGCACCAGACCAGCTAGCACGAGGATAGCAATGAGACAGATCTTGAGCAGCGCAAACACAAACTCGACTTCTCCGTATATTCTGACCGAAAACAGATTCGTAATGGCGATGGGAACTGCCAGAACACTAATCCACACAGCAGGACTGAGGTTGCTCCAGTACTGGATGATAAGGGCTGCAGAAACCAGGCCTCCTGGAAGAAGGTTTTGCCAGAGCGAAAGGTAGCCGTACGCAAAGCCGACGGCCTCGTCGATGAAGATCTCCGAGTGCCTGATTGTGGATCCCGTCAGAGGAGCCAGAGCTGCCACCTCGGCGAAAGCGATCTGGTTCAGGCCCACGATGGTTCCAATAAGGGCGTACGCAATGAGGATCCCGACGGGCCCTGTTTTGGCAAGTGTTCCTCCGCTGCTCAAAAACAACCCCGTACCAAAAACACTGACAAGGGCAATCATGCCGATGTGTCTACTTTTAAGGGTTCTTTTCAGATGCGTGTCGTCGACCTCGAAAAGCTCGCTGACCGAGTCCTGAGGCACGATTTGCACGCTTTCAAGGTTGGCGACCGATTTTCTTTCTTCCTCGCTGTTGTCAAAGTTGGCTTTGGACATTATGGGTGAAGGCGCAGGCCTTCCGAGGATACCATTTTATAGTCGCAGAAGAGTGTCACAGCCATGGATCCACAACAGCCACATCTTCCTTGCAGATTTTTTCGAACAGCCAAACGGCATTTTTGACAGGGTTTGACAGAGGAAGGTAGCAATAGTGAAGAACAAGCTTTCCTTGGCAAGCAAGCACTGCTCTTCGTCCTGGAGTGAGGGCTCATCGAAGCTCTTTCCCTGCCCCGTTCCAGCTTCTTTGAGAGAATGTTGACGGTGTGGCTACGGAATGCCGTCTGTGTATTTGCTGTCCGGGAGTATTCCTGTGCCGAATGGCTAACTGGGGCGCTCGATTATATCACAACCTGTTAATTTATCCAGCTACGTGTGGTCCTGCATAAACCTGCACTGCCTGACAAGCACTGAAAAATTCTGTGAAATTTATTCTCGAGCGAGCGAAAATGACCCGGGACCAGCTCGAGCCAGTCCGGCCGTGGCATATTCTGCATAAGGAAAAGCACATCTTCTACCTCTGCGGTAAAGGAACACAACACAGCAAGGCTCCGCTGCTGCTGAACACCATGTTCGCGGCAAAAGGCCTAGATTGGGAGTACCAGCTCCTCGATACGGACGACGCCGAGGCCTTCAGCAAAATGCTTGTCTCCGGGAAAATCCTCGGCTGTGCTGTCACCATGCCCAACAAGGTGACTTTCAGCTCTCTTGTCGACCAGCTGACCGAGGACGCCAGAGTTGTCGGATCGATCAACACAGTTTTCGCGCGAAGAAACTCCGGAACCGGCCAGATAGTATATGTGGGCGCCAACACTGACATCATCGGGGTCAGAGATTCGTTCCTCTTCAACGAGACGGCAAAAAAAAAGTGTCTGGAAGTGCGGCCCGGTCTCGTGTATGGCGCCGGCGGGGCTTGCAGAGCGGCAATCTATGCGCTCCACACATATCTCGGCTGCCCTAAAATTTACGTCATCAACAGATTTGCGCACGAGGTGGAAACTGTGGCTAAGAGTATGAAGCAGAACGGTTTTGCAGGAGACATTATCCATCTGAGCACTCCGCAAGAGGCGCGCCGCGTAGAGTTGCCTAAGTTCATAGTCTTGGCGGTGCCGAACGTCAAGCCTCAGACTGCCGACGAGAAGCTGGCCAAGGCCACCCTGGATGTTTTCATCGAGTCCTCCAAAGGGTCTGTGCTCGAGATGTGTTACCACCCAGTGATCCGGACACTGTTGTACGAGGAGTTCGAGAAAAATGGCTGGAACGTGATTCCAGGCTGGGAGGCCATGATATACCAGGGCGCCGCACAATTTGGCTACTGGACCGGAATACCTTTGGAGGAAACTCCTGTCGAGCATGCCTCGCAGACTCTTCGTAAAAACCTAGAAAATGTTTAGTCGTTAGATACATTATGCGCTGATAGATGATGATTTGGTCATGTCCGTAGGAAGGACCTCGACGTCGGACTCCTCAACACCTTCTATTTTTCGTTGCTCGATCACAGACATGGCGTACTCTCGGGCCCTCCATGCAGGCACTCCTGGGGTGAACAGCAGTCCAACATCTTCGACAGGGACGTTCGAGGTTTCTGGGTAGAAAAGGTAGAAGATAATAACCGTCGCCACGACTCCCGAGCCAAAGAAAAAGAACACACCGTATGCGTTCATGCTGTTCACCATGTTTCCCGTGAACCTAGCAAAAATGAATGCCCAGAACCAGTTGGAAGTCGCGGCACAGGCTTGAGCAAAAGTTCTCACACTCTGGTCAAATAGCTCTGACGAGTACACCCACGGGATTCCAGACACCGAGATGGAGTACGCAATGCACCAGATGTAGAACATTGCCATGGTGGCTTTTCCGCCGGCATCCAATTCTGCATGCGAGCTGGGGTTTGCGATCTTGATGTACGACCCGATAAAGAAGAGACAGAAAATGCAGATCGGACAGCCGATGAACATCGACTGCCGACGGCCGAGCGGATCAATCAGGAAGAAAGCCCAGAACGTCGTCGCCACACCTTTCAGCACGCCAAAGAGACCAGTCGACAGCAACGCAGACGAGGTGCCGCTGACACCGATAGCACTGAACAGCGTCGGGCTGTAGTAGTTCACCGCGTTGATACCGGAAGTGTTCTGCAGAACAAACGTGCTTGTGGAAAGCAGCAGTCTGAATCTGAGGTTTTTGTTCGTGAAAGTTGCCCTTATCGGCGAGAGAAGACCGTCTCCAACCTTCTTTTCTGCCTCCTGAGCCTCGGCGAGCAGATTCCCAGTCTCGTACTTGAGGTATTCATCGTCCGGTGGCAGTTTCCGGAGGTATGTCAAGGCCGCTATCCCCTTCTCTATCTTGTGCTTTTGGAAGTACCATCTAGGAGTCTCCACGATGAAGGCCAATCCAGTCATGAATATCCCGGCAGGAATCAATTGCACAGCAATAGGAACCCGCCATTGCTGGTCACCGTGCAAATGTTTGTTCGTTCCATAGTTGATGAAGTATCCCACAATACCACCTACCTGCCACGAAAGCTCATAAAGTCCAACAAGACGGCCTCTGATGCTTGGCGGTGCGATCTCCGCAGTGTACATCGGAGCAATGTTGCTGACGCCTCCTATGCCCACGCCCAAAATGGTCCGGCCAGCATACAGCGGAGCAAGCCCTGTTGTGCTGTTCGCACCGAGCTGGATGGCAGATCCCGCGATGATCAAGATCGAGGCGATAATAAGGCCAAATCTTCGTCCTCGGTAGAAGTTCACGGGGTATATGAGCAGCGACCCAAAAAAGGCGCCCACATGGAACAGGGAAATGATGTTGGCCTTGACTGTTGTCACTCTAGACTTCGACATCGACTTGAGCCCGAACTCCTCCTGGAACGAGTCCAGCACAATGGTTCCGCTGATGAATCCTGAGTCATATCCACAGAGCACAGCGGCCCAGGATGCGAAAATGGCGCAGCGGTAGAGCCTCATATTGTAGATGCTGTCGGGAATCACCATACCGTCTTTCGCCTTCTCGTGCTTTCGTCTGAAGAGCTTCGCGTCGAACATGGCGAGTTTCTTTTACCAAATAAAATTTGTCTTGTCTGAAAAGTTCTCGGGGACAACAGGGGCTGAAGGAGGCTGAAGGAAGAAACCAGAAATGTGTCGAGGACTACGGTGAGAGAGTTGCTACAGTGTTTATGCTCGGCCAGTTTGTCGTGTCGGGCTCTGGTGCTCCAGATCGCTACGACGGCCTGAGATCTGGAGCTCCGTTACCGGCGTCACTTCCAGATGTGGGGAAAAATTTTCAACACACCCCTGCACAGACAAAAGCGCAGTGCAAAGGAGCAGCTGATTAAATATAGCAGCATGGTCGACAATTGCCGTATGTGAAGAAATGAGAGGGCTCGAGCCCAATCGGGGATCTCTGCCGCGACAAGCCTGCTGCTTGTTATTTTGTAGGCTGATGACTGAGTTGGCCATGTGCTATTATTATAATCTGCGCCCGATGTGTGTAGCAGAACTCATACGCTATTTGCGTTCGGCAGTTCTCGACTACAGATAGTTCCCATCTCGGTCCTGGATACGGCAAGGCTGACAGGGCCGTCAAGTCGGTGCTTGTGGCAATGACTGTACTAAAGCTGAAGCTATAAGCCAGAGATTAGTGGCAGGAATGGCAGGCTGTGCAGACCAGGTAACGTGACCAGTTGCGCGGACACGAAGGAGCCTGTTTCTTGCGTGTTATAGGGTCAGCGAAACGTGTCCGATAGACGCAGCAAATGTAACCTGCTTTGGTCGCACAACCAATTTGGATCGCACACCCTCAGACGTTTCACTCTTACCTGAGTCAAGCGAACGAGACCGAACTGGACGAGCAGCAGTTCCGCAAGAAGATGCAGCCAGCCAGGAAAACCCAGAGGACAGGGTCGTAAGTCGTTCTGCTCTTCTCTCTCGTAACGGCCCAGAAATATGGTGAGCCTCTGCCTAGCCTTTTTTTAGTTACGTCGCCGTACGACTTTTGCTAACGTGCATATCTTTTCCATCTAAGCATTAGCAAGTACTAGCAACTTGAACAAACACACAACGAGACGCAACACTGATGCAGCCGATTGTTGCCGTTGTTGCACGAACCCCCTGTGCAGATGCACTTGTTTTTGGCGCCCGAGCTACAGGTTCGGGGCTGTAAATTGCAGCACATGTATTGTTCACGTACGGCGAAAAGTAGCTAAAAACAATAGAACGAAGAAATCGGATTTTTTTTTTTGCTGAGACCCCCTGGAGTCCAACAAATTGGGCAGCACAGAGAATCCTGTTTTTGAGTCCCGTGGCAACTGTCTAGAAAGCACAGGGGTCTTGCACCCTTGCAGCCCTTGCTAATTGGTCATAGAGCAGCGCTAATTCGACCTTCTATGTAGACTCCGACCCTAGCTTATCGTAAAGATCATCATTGTATGCATGTCATGTGTGCACGCACAAAGGTGTTCAGAATATATCGGAACTAATACATTCTCATCCCAAGTGAGAATTTTTAGGGCTCGGCGAGTGGTTATAAAAAGACGTGAATGTCAGAGATTTCGTCTCAACCATGGTAGCACCATTCACCGACTCGCTAGAAAAAACTAGCAAAGCCAGCAAGGCTAGCTCCGAGCTCGACAATGAAACCGTTGAGCTGAGCAGGACCGTGTCGGAGACCTCCGCCACTCCTGTGGGCAGAAAACTCGTCCTTTCCGCCTACTGTGTGCTCGTTTTCGCGGCATTTGTTGAAACCTTTGCCGGCGACTCGACGTCAGGCCTGGACTCCTATGCCACATCCCACTTCAACGCCCATTCCCTGATTTCACCGCCAGTGTTACCTACAAAATCACCGCAATTGTGTCGTACCCTATAATGGCCAAGCTCAACGACCTTTTCGGCCGCAGCGAGGGTTTTGGTTTCTCTGTCCTGGTGTACACCAAGTCCTACGTCCTTTAGGCCGCGTGCCAGAACGTGCAAACTTATTTCTGTGCAGAGATCCTGTACGCCGTTGGAAGAATCGGGTACCGGGTGTTCCAGCAGGTGTTCATCGCCGATACTTCTTCGCTCATCAACCGTGGTCTCATGTCGCAGCTCCCTGATGCGCTTGCTGCCGTGCCTTCTCTCTACGTCGGATCCATCATCCAGGACGCTTTCATCGAGCACTCGACCTGGAGATGGGGCTACGGTATGTGGGCCATTGTCATGTTTGTGTCCTGTCTCGTTCTGACCACTATGATGTACATCGTGGACCGCAAGACCAAGTCCACCGGTCACGACAAGATCATCAAATCGCTCGAGGGCCTGTTTGAAGGCGGCTTCTTGAAAAAGGCCGGCTACTACATGTTTGTCAAGCTGGACCTGTTCGGAGGTGTTCTGATGGCCGTCGGACTCGTGCTGTTTTTCATTCCACTCAAACTGACCGGAACGTCCAGTCCGTATAAATGGCACGAGGCTAGACTGATTGCACTTCTGATCGTTGGATTCGTCATTTTCTGCCTGTTCCTGCTGTGGAACACCAAGATTGCCAGGTATCCGTTTGTGCAACACCAGGCCCTGCTGCAGAAAACCACCTTGCTCGCCTGCATCATCGTTGCCCTGGACTTGTGCGAAAACTCGGCCTTCTCCACGTATATGAAGACTGTGCTTCAGGTCTCCGACTACGTGACCGTGGGAGAGGCCAGCAGAATTGACAACTCGAAAAAGGCGTGTGTCCAAGTTTTCAGCGTGGTGGGAGGACTCGTCATGAAGTACACCAAACGCTCCAAACTGTTTGTCACCTCGGGGATTGTTCTCCTCTACCTCGGACACGTTTTGCTGGTGTGCTTTGTCAACACGGGCGACGGAATGGCCTCCAAGCCGCTTCTCTACATGGCTGAGGTGTTCATTGGCGCAGGCAGAGGATTCTACCAGTGCGCGTTGCAGGTGATCGTGCAGGCTGTGGCCGGCCGCCATAACATTGCCATGTCGACTGCTTTCTTCCTTGCGTTCAACTCTATCGGCTCGCTGATTGGCTCTGCCATTGCGGGCTCGATCTGGAACACGGTTGTGTTGTCCAAGCTCAAAAAGTACCTCCCCGAAGACTCCAAGAACAAGGCCACCAAAATTTAGAAGAGCATCAAGGTGGCCCTAAAGTACAAGAAGGGAACAGAGGAAAGAGACGCCATCGCCAAGGCCTACCGCGAGACGCAGCAAATCATTGGATGGGCCACTGTCGGCATCATCACCCCAATGCTCTTGCTGATGCTGTTTGTCCACAACGTTCAGCTCACAGATAAGGCCGATGCGTACGAGGGAGACATTGCTTCGGAGTCAGAATCTGAGGAGAACGTCACCGCAGAGGTCCGCGATGAGAAAGAGGCCCCTCAAAAACCAGCCAAGCTGACCCTGAGACAGGACATTCGTCAATCGCTGAGCAATTGGAGAAAGAAATCCGTGAAACAACAGGTCTTGGACGCAATTGGAATCTGATCGATTAGTTAGCCTTTTTGACCAGAGACTAATTGGGCCGAAAAGCAGCCCCTTCACTCAGTGCATTTCTGCGTTGGAAGCGAGTGTAGTCTTAATTTAATCATATATTTTCTTACCTGTATTTGGCACGGAGAGCATCCCAGTCCTTTCCTACCCTTTTCTCGTCAACAGGACCTGGAAAGGCGGTGTCTGTAACATTCTGCTCGTCTAATGCATGCATATTTTGCTAAAGCTAATCATACCTGCCTCATAGACCTGGCTACCACCGGTGCCACCATGAGATAGATTAGCAGAGCCTGAATTTATTCCCCTCCACGAACTATCCAAAAATCCTATCCATGAACTTTGCCGCTTTTGAGTCGTACTCCAGCTCCTCTTCGTCATGGGGATAGCTCAAGTCGATATCCTCCAGCGGAATCTGTGCGAAATTTCGGGTGCAGCATTTGTAACCAATCCAGAAAACAGCAAAAATCACCAGAGAGATGTACGCGGCAAAGAAGTTCTGAGTGTCCCACGGAATGAACGCCGTGAAGCCCTGCGTGAACGCGATTAACACCAGAATCGAAGCTGCAAAAATTGCCGAGTACGGCTGGAGAGGTGATTTGTAAATTGGGAGCCCGTCTCGGTCTATGCCCTGCTTTTTCAATGCGTAGTAGTATCTGATGAACGAGTAATTGATCAATGTCCAGCCAATGAATCCGAAAACGGTGGTCAGGTTCATCAGCCAGTTGAAGACCTGCTCGGCGGTGTTGTTGAGCGTCAGCAGCGCAAGAAGGCCGAACGCGGCGTTGCAGATCACCGAGTAGTACGGCACGCCGTTCCTGTTGGTGATAGTGAGGAATTTAGGACAGTAGCCATATTTCTGGCCAAAGAAGTACGTTCTGGACGGAATGTAGATCTGCGTATTGGCGGCAGACATGGCAGAAATGAGGATGCCGCCGTTGACTATCGAGGGAAGCACTTTCACTCCGGCATTTTCCACGGCAATGACAAACGGCGACTCTGCCCCGTTTCCTGCTCCCGCGTTGACTGCGCTCAGAAGCTTGCTGTCGTTGGAAGCAACCATCAAAGTGACCATGAACAGGGAACCCACGTTGAATGTGATAATCCGGACAACCACCGACTTCATGAGGGAAGGGGCCAGTTTCCTAAAACTGGGCACCTCGCTGTTTGTAAGAGCAACGACCTCGGTTCCCTGAAAGCCAAAACCGGCGTTGACAAACACTCTCCAGACACCCAAGAACTTTCCAATCGGCTTATCTGATAGATAGTGCACGAAGGGTCCGGGATCTCTCCAGTACTGGAAGCCCGTAGTCTTGTGCAAAGGGTTGCCACCGCAGGTAGCAATTAGACAGAAAATCATGCTTCCCACAATCAGAAGAACCTTGACCATGGTGATCCAGAACTCTACCTCCCCGTAGGCCCCCACGTCCACGATGTTGACCATGAGCACGAAAAACGTGAAAATCAGCACAATCGCATAGTCGGGCAGTTTTTTCTCCGTGTCCCAGTAACCGATCAGCAGACAGATCGACGAGATTTCAGAAGGCAGTGTCAGATTGAAGCCAAGCGCGTAGCACCACGTGTACGCGAACCCGGCCGATTTGTCCACGAATCGCGACACCATCTCAACGAAATTACCCTCGCTGCCCAGAAAAGAGCACATCTCGGCCAGCGAGAACAGGGTGCACATCGTGATAAAGCCCATGATCGTGTACGAAAGCAGCATCCCGACAGGTCCTGCGATCGCCAGCGAGCCTCCACTTCCGATAAGAAGCCCAACGCCAAGAGATCCGCCCAGAGCTATAAAATTGACATGTCTGGGCTTGAGGTGCTTTTTGAGCTTGTTGCCAGGGAGAGACACGATTGATGCGGCCTCGATATCCACCTCCGGTAGTTTCTCTTTCTCCTTCACTTGAGTCATGAAGAACGGTAAGTTATTTTGACGGTATCTTATCTTGGGTGGCAGCTGTCGATCTTTCGGATATCCATATCGGGTAGAAATATGCATGATAATAAATTAAGAGACCCCATAAATTTATCAGCTCTACTCAGGAAAAAGGGTAGCAAAAATGCTCCTATATGCCGCTCCTGCGAGGGAACCCGCCACACACCATCAGAAGGTTTGCCTGGACACGGTTTCAATCGCCCAAGACACCATCTATCTGCCCCACAAAACCTCTTATCAATGCCCTGCACTCTGCTTCGCACGGAGATGGGTTCCCGCGCAGCGGAAAAATTAGCCTGGTATTGACAATCCAACACCAAGTGGCTCCTCTTACTGAAATGCTTCTTATTACCAAAAAGAACACCATCCTATGTAGTGCTGGCAAAGGTTCTCCACAGAGGTGGCCTGCTGGATCAGCTTGTCGACCTGGCTCGGAACATCCAGCTCGCGGAACCGTTTGAAGTCGTTACCTGTCAACTTGTCAGTGATGCGCTTCAGAACGTACGCAGCACGCGCGTTCAGGATGTCTGCCTTGTTCTGCGCCTCCATCCGGGCGGCCTCCTCCTCCGTAATTTGACCGCTGCGCAGCAGCTCGTTGTAGTTTGCGTTTGGGAAGTGCTGGTTCGGATTGTCGACTATCTGCTTCAGCGGGAAGTCGAAACCCCAGTTGATGAGCGGGTCGTACGCAAAGGCGTCCAAAATGGCCATCAGCGACTCCTTGTTGTCCCGGAGAACGCGCATCACGTTCTCGCTCGTGATGCGGAACGAGCCCTCAATGCCGCTCACCTCCATCGCGTAGCTCAGCATCCGTGTCAGTCTGAACGGCACTTTTTCCGGGTACTTTTCTCTCAGAATAGCCGCTTCGAAACAGTCGCCGAAGTCGATGTGGATCACTTTTCCCGTGATTCTGTCCATCATCAGGTTCGAGGGGTGTCTGTCGCCGAGACCTAGAATGTATCCAACCATCGACATCACCGCCAACGAGCGCGTGTACGTGGTTCGCCTGTCCAGCCAGGCCTCCGACGACTTCGACTTGAACCACAGCACCTTGTACAGGTCCTGGCCCCTAGTTATATCCAGCGCGTACGTGAAAACCTCCACCTTCTCCAGCAACGTCAAATTGTCATAGTCCGGAGACATCTGCAGCATGATACGGTGCTCCACGTCCAGCAGGATCTTGCGCGGTTCTCTGTACTCCTTGATCAAAACGTGGAACGTGTCGGAATTAGGAACCCATCCTAGCATGCCCGAGCTAGGAGACAGCGGGATCGCAGCATACTGCTGGATATCCATGTGCCGCTTGAAACACTCCGGGTCGTTCGCCAGCAGCGTGTTCACCAGTCCAAACAGCTGCATGACCAAGTTGTCCTGCCGGATATCTTCGTGTCCCTTGAGCAGGTACTGGTATTTCTTGCCGTCGCTGCCCAGAACGTTGAACTTACGCGGCCTCTGCTTCGATGTGATCACAGAGAACACCGGCTCGAAACGCACAATATGAATCACCTCTTTTCCCGGCACGTACGTTCCAGGAACAGCAAGCTCGAGATCCTTGGCGGCCAGCAGCTTCGGAGAAACGTGCTGCAGGTCCAGGTTCTGCAGCTGCGGCAGTTGTCTGGAAATACGGCGGAAAACACCGTAGTACAGGTCCCACGCCTGGTTCAGGTACGCCGTGTCCTTTGTGCGCCGGAAGTTCATCAGCCACTGGTGCGCGTCGTTCAGCTCCTTGCCAAAAGCGTTGACGAACGAGGCCTCCCGGATCGTCTCGGGGCCTTTCTCGAGCATCCGGTGCAGAGGTGTCAGGATCTGGAACATCTTCTCGATGTTCTGGTCGCCAAAGTACGACCGCGACGCGTCCTCGAGCCCCTCGTACCACATCTCGTGCCACAGCACCGCCACGCGGATCAGCTCGTTGCTCACGAGATCTGCCTGGTCGACCAGCCGTGCCGAGTGCGCCCGCATCTTGTCGATGATCGTCAGCGCTGCTCTCTGCCGCGAAACGCTGTCAGATTTGATGGCCACAGTCAGCGGATAAATCAGTGCCTGCGGATGCGCGCGGCCCAGCTCCGAAAGCAGGCCCAGAAGCGACTTGCTCACCTTGGGGTCCGGCTGGTGGATCCTGGAGATCAGCTGCGGAATCACGTCCAGCCACGTGTCGATCTTCACCAGCTGGAAGCCTTCCTGCAACGCGTTGGCCACTTCGTCAATGCCTCCGTACTTGATCCACAGTGTTAGCAGTCTCAACGTGTCCTGGAGTGGATTAGACTGCGAGAGCGAGATTGAGTGGAAAAATCCCTTGACGGCCGGCACCACGTAGTGCAAGAGGCCGCCCAGACTCTTCTCGTCCATGTCGGCATTTTCTTCGTGCAGCTGCTTGGCCTGCGGCGAGATCACCTCGAAGTTCGCGAGCGCCCAGTTGTGCCAGGCTTTGTACCACTTGGGATCGAAATGCGTAGCCAGAAGGAACGAGCCTAAGATGCCGGTGGATTCCATCTCCGTCCAGTTGCTGTTCAAAGCAATCTTCCACTCACCTTGTTTGAGGTAGCACCTTGCCAGCAACATCGTGTACTTCTCGATATTGTCCGAGGCGCCGGGAATGGCGGTCGGCAGCGGCTGCGTGATGGCCTCGTTCTCGTTCACGCCCAGGTCACGTGACAGCTTCGACGCAAAATCTATCAGGTGGTTGAGCGCCTCCCGCTGCTGGCCTCTGGCCCACATGTATTTCAGCTGTGCGTACACCACGTGCGGTGGCGCCCTGGACGTCTGGTGGCCCGAGTTGCCCTCGTCCAGAAGCGCGTTGAGCGACTTTTCGGCGAGTCCGAGCCGGCCCGATTTCCGGCACAAGTTGGCAAACTTGATCCACATTTCCATGTCCTGTTTCGGCTTCACGACCAGAGCACGCACCTTGAGCATCCGCTGCCAAATGTCCACGTTCCGCTGGCACCCTAGAAGCCGCTTGTTCCACGTTTCGCGGATCTGGATGCGCTTTTCAGAGCCCTGGGGCAGACACTTGTATTTGATAATTTCCTCGAGCTCGGCCAGCATCTGCACTCTCACAACCACACCGTACGCCCTGTTGTACGACTCGCTCACCAACGCGGTAATTTCCGTCACCAGGAGGTCCCTGGCTTTCGATATTTGCTCTGCTGCCTCCTCAAAGTTGTTCCTGTGCAAACACAAAATAGCATTGAAGAACGCCTTATCCGGCGACTCCACCTTCATGACGCTGATGTAGTTGCCCATGCGCTCCCACTGTCCGAGTCCCCATGCGGCGGCTGCAGCCAGGGGCGCAATGGCCCTCTTAATGTCACCAGACGAGTTGTTCCACTTATCCTGAGCCAGCTCGCTCAGCAGCTCCCATTCGCCCAGAGCGTGCAGGCATCTCATCTTTCCCATAGTGATGTCGGTGGAGTTAGGCTCCTCCTTCTCGCGCTCGTTGTAGGCGCGCAACGCGTCGTCCCAGCGCTGGAGCTTTTCGTACCACGTTTCTTTGAGCTGCAGGCCGTGGTGGTCCTGGGCGTACTTCAAAATCCCAATGGCAGCGTCCGACTGCTGCAGCTGGTTGTTGATGCTGATCAGCGACTCGATTGTCGGCGTCGACGGCTCCTGGATGAACTCCAGCTCCTTGTAGTGCAGCGCCTTGGCGTACACGTGACTGCGCTGCGCGTACTGCGACAGCGTCTGAATTCTGATCGGTAGCGACTTGTCGTCGTGCTCGAGATACTCCGCAAGATTGAGAAGCGTCTGGTGGATCTCCGGCAGGTTGTTGGGCGAGGACAGCGCAATGCACAGCGCCTGGGCCAGTTCTCCTTGATACTGGATGTGCAGCTCGTTCCAGCAGCTTGCAAATGCACAATTGAAGAGATCTCTGGCTAGAGGCGAATAGACGGTAGCCAGCGAGGAGCAGGCGCGCAGAGCCGGCGACGGCGACTCCTTGAGCAGCTCGATACTCAGTCTGCGGATCCATTCCTGCCAGTCCTCCTTTGTGCGCATGCTATTGCAGTCCCACACGTAGCGCAGCGCCTGGGCGTTGACCGGCAGTTTGCGCGGCGTGGCCTCAATGTCGAAGTTGTCGTTGGACGGAGCATCCTGCGAATTGTCGTTCAGCAGAGTCGTTGGCAACGGCTCGCCATGAATTAGTTTATCGACCAGCTGGTCGTAGATGGGATACTGCAGCTTTTGTCTAGTCATGATGTTGGTTATGCCTGGGATGAACACGGAAAATTCGGCGCCCATCTGCAACAACAGCAGACAGATGGTGTGCACGGCAGAGTTCTTGACGTCTTCGGAATAGTGAGAAACCAGAATTCGTATCAAGGGCTGCACAATTCTGGACGAGTAGTCGTTCAGACTGACATGTCTAGACAGCTTTCCAATCGTGTCGATGGCCTCCTTGCTGACAGATTCCTCCGGCGACTCAAACAGTTTCACCACCTGCGGAATCACAAGATGCATGTACGGCTCAACGTTGCTGCCAAAAACGGTGAATGCCTTGAGAACACGCAACGTCGACATCTTGCGCGGCGAGTCGTCCTTGTCCAAAACGTCCAGAAAAATGGTAATCACTTGAAACATGTAGATTTTGAACTCGTCGTCCAGGGCCTTCGAAACCTGCTCTATCATGCCAATAATGGTAACCTGAAGATTCACCTGCGGGAAGTACTCCTCAATGAGAGAGAAGATGTCTGGCAAATGAGGCCGGATGTGCAGCTTGACGATCTTAATCAAATCGGCCAGCTGCTGGAAGTAGGTCTCCAGCAACGAGGGCGGGCACGTGTGGATCACGGTAGCAAAACCAGGAATAACCTTGTCTAGAAAGGGAACGCACTTGATGCCCAGCGTCTTGAAGATGTGCATGATAGCCTGAATGACGGCCGGGTGATGCGTGCTCAACGAGGCGTCCTTCAGTATGCGCAGCAGCGTCTTGATCACCACTGTCGGGAAGTAGTCCTCGTTCGACGGCGACTTGCCCTTCATCAGCAGCTCCATGTCCACTGGCGGTGCGTTCTGCTCTGCCACCGTTTGCGAGTCCTGGCCGTGTCTTTCGACCTCTCTGTGTTTGTAAGGATCGAGAGCGCCAAGAATACCGACAAGACGCACAGTTTCACGTCTCACCGCCAGCGACGTCTCCGACTTGAGAATGTTCACCAGCAGACCCAGAAGCTGCGGGTAATCGAGCAGCGGCTGGATGACGTAGCCCGAAGAGCCGGCGATCTGGCCGAGCGTCTTCAGCGCCGCGTCTCGCTTGAAGCTCATGCTCTGGTCCTGGAACGTTTCGATGAAAATCGGCATCAGCTGTGGAATGTACTGCACCATTTCGTCGCCAACCACCACGGCCAGCTCGCCGATGGCGGCAATCGCTGCTGCCGCTACAGAAGCACCAGGTCCTGTGGTGGCAGGCAGCAGCACGTCCATGATAGGCTTGAAATATGGCTTTGTGAGGTCACCTGTGTGCGAGATCAGCACCGAAAGCAGCAGAGCCGTGTCTTCTTTTTCTCTGGAGTTGTGGCCGCCATACTCGAGCGTGGTGAGCAGCTGGATGAGCAGCTTGCGCAACGAGGGCACTATATACGCCGGATTAATCTCTGCGAGTCTTCCGACCAGTTTGATGGCCGCCTTGCGGATCTCAAACGACTCGTCGTTCAGAGCCATGAAAAGCAGTCGCACATTCTCGGCCTGCGACAGCTGCGGATCGAATCTCTCGCCCAGACTGTTGAGCACTTCCAACCGGATCTCCTCGTGCGGGTCGGTTATGCATACCGTGAGCAGTTTGTCAAGAACCTCGCTCACGGCTTTCAGGGAGTTTAGGCTTTTTTGGAGGCAGATCGGGTCCGAGAGATATATTTTCGACGAGGTCAGAGCTGCCCTCAGCCGCACCTCAGGACTGTCATGGTCAATGTAGTGGATGACCGAGTAGCGAACAAATTCTGTCAGAGAATAGTTTCTGAAGTCAAAATAGCTCAAGGCCTTGAGGGCCTGCAAGATAATCACCACGTCTGGCTCTTCCTGGTAGTGGCTTTTCGGCAGCTCTGTGAGCGACGTGATATCCACCGGCGGCGTGTTGAATTGACCGCCATCCCTGACGTACATGCTGTGGCGGTAGTTGTGTGCAAGACTGGAGTTCATTTGTCGTTTAAAGTCGGGGGCCCCTGGGTGTTTAAACTCGAACCCCGAGAGACACAAGCAGACTGCGTTGATCAACTTCTCGTTAATCATGGGCTCCAAGGACGGGAGATTGTGGATGAATATTTTGAGCAGACTGAGCATGTTGTCGTTGATTGGGGATTTGAGAATCAGTTTCATGAGCTGGTAATTGTTGATGAATTTTGTCAATGGCGGTCCGAGAGAAATGGCCAGTTTGGCTAGGCAGTAGAAACAGTACGGAGCAAGCTCTTTTTTCGTTTTGGGCACTTTTGATGCCAACGCATCCTTGATGCTCTCGAGCACGACACCGTCAAGATAGTTGATGATGTTGTTCTTGGCCTCCACAGAGATATCGCCGATGCTCAGCAAAATAAACGAGCGGTCTTTGCCGATTTTCAGCTGCGAAATGTAGTACAGGAGCACGCGGTGCATGTATTTGTCCACAAACTTGGCCCTGTCGAACCTCGCGAGAATAGGCATGATTTTGGTGACCTCTCTTCTCACGTCGACGGAGCGGTGGTCCTTGATGCCCATGAGGTTCTCATATATATCGTCGATTTTTGAGTGCAACAACGACGAGCCCTGCAGAACAAGCTCTCTGTAGCACAACAGAGACCCGTGAATGAACTCGGAAGGATTGTTGTTCACCACAGGCCCGCTACCGTTGGACGTCGCAAGAGAATTGCGGAAAATCAGCGTCGCCTCCGTGTACAGTTTCGAAAACCAGTAGCTTCTGAGCTCCAGGTCTCGCTCGTACACTATATTCAAGCAGTGACGCAGACAGATGGCTGAGTCTTCTCTGAGCAGGCTTTTTGAGTCCCGCAAGCCGATCCAGATATTCGATAGCACCTCCTTGATGTACGGATAGAGCATTGCAGAGGCGTTTTCTGCCAGAGAGCTGATAATCAGGATGGCTGCGTGTTTTTTGTTTTCCACTTTTTCGGCAACGAGCCATTCGATCGACCGCTTGACCTCAAACTCCACGAAATCACCCGTGAGCGAGCCCCCTGGAATGGCCAGCTTGCCGAGCGTCTTGGTGGCCTGCCTCATGACGGCAAGGTCGTTCGACGTGATCAGCCGACGGAGGTAGTTAGCGTACCGGGCGATCATATTGGAGTTCTCTTCGGTGGTAGACGAAGCTCCAATACGCGGCAGCGAGCTGCTAATCAGCTCCACAAGCGCGTTAATCGCCTCAATGCCGCCCAGCTGCTGCGAGACGCTCGAACTGTTGATAAGATCGAATATGCGTTTGTTGATGTAGTTGTTGTAGACACTTAATTGTTCGGCCGTGATGGCTTCGCGCGACGCGGCCACGAACTGGTCGCGCAGCCTGCTGGCAGCGCGTTTCTGCCGGCCGGCGTCTTTCGAGCCAAGCTCGGTGAATATTTCGTCCACATGCCAATTGTCCAGGGCAGCCGACATGGTGAAAATAAAGAGAAATTAGATTAGCACTGCCATGCAAAAAGGAGAACTACCAAAATACGGGTTACGTTATATATCATGCGACTACAAGGCATAGTTTGGCGGTACGCAGTGTGCTGCCATAGTCAAATGCTGCTCAGCAGACGACTAAAACCAGCACACGCGAAATAGTCGTAGATCCAGATACTACCGTGGAACGTTCGTGGAAATTCTGGATAGAGCAAATTTTCCTTATCGCACGACTCGAATTCTCTTTAAATATTCATGTCTCTTCTTAGGACATGGAGCCCGACATGGCATGCATAGGCAAAAAACGGTTTCTGGATGCTGGGGAGACGGCATTCCGCGACACAAAGCGAAGGCTGATCGAAAACTTCACGGACCTCCACATCGGTGTGAGAGGGCCAGGGTATACAAGCAAATCCATGTTTGAGAGCGAGTATCTGAACTCAGCCCCGCGGCATAACCCTGCGAGCGACCGGGTCGTTATTTCGAACATCGACCAATTCCTTCGGGAGAACCCAGACCCTCTGGAGGGCGAGAAGGTAGACCTTTCGAACGTGGACCTGAACAAATTAATCATCCCGAACGTGGCGGATGGCCGGCGCCTGAACGAGCTCAACGAGCTATACGATCGGTATGTGCGCAGCCAGGGTACCCTTGTCAAGTACTATAATCCGGAGATGCTCACTTATTCGCGATATTTGGACTCCAAAGACCTAAAAGGAAAGATTGAGGAGCTAGACAGCAACGACGAAGAGCCACAGGTCGCGCAGGACGAGGACGTCGAAATGGACATCGACTAGCTGTTCTCTGCATCCAAGCTAGACAGTCTTGCCAGCGTGCTGGTGAATTTGTCTCTGACGGCTGGGTCCTCAGTGACCTCAGCGATCACCTCGCGTGCCTGGTTCTCAAGATCGCGGAGCGCTTCGCGGCAGTATTCGAAACTATTGGTGGATCTCATGATATTAAGGGCATGGAGCTTGACTTCGTGCTCCTCGGTGCGCAACTTCAGTATTCTCTGAAGCTCCTTGTTGGTTGGGTTAGTATTAATTGAATGAATGACGGGGAAAGAAAATTTCCCCTCGGTGATATCCTCGCAATAGCCCTTGTTCTTGTTGTAGACGTTGGACATGAGGTTCAAGTAGTCGTCCTTGATCTGGTAGATCACTCCGAGCACGTTGCTCAGCCTGATGAGCTTGTCGCACGGCTGATCCGCCAAGAGGTTCATCAATTTTGCGCTCAGCCTGAACAATCCTCCCGTCTTGTTCATCACCATATTGACATACTCTTGCTCGGACGGACACTCGTTGTTTTCCCGCCAGTGCAGATCGAGGCCCTGGCCGCGGTGCAGATTGACCATTTCGTCCAAAAAGATATTCTGCGCAACAAACCTTCTGTCCTCGTCTTCGATGGCATCCGTCAGCAGTCGCATCGCCACAAAGTACATGTAATTGGCGCAATTGATGGTCTGGGGAACACCAAAAATCATGTGGGAGCACGGCCTGCTGCGCCGAAGCTTCGAGTTGTCCTCGATGTCGTCTATCAGCAGAGACGAAAGGTGCAATGTATCGATCACAGCCTCGATCTTTTCCAGTTTCTCTGCCGGTACATTGAGCACCAGGTTGAAGGTCTTGATTAGCAGGCTGCGCAGGTGCTTCCCCTGTGTCTGGTTTGCAAGATAGGTGTACGGAGTAGTTAATATTTTTTCATTCTCTTCGTTCCAGGAGGGAGACCAGGGAACAAGAAGCATTTAATAAACAAATCAAAGTCGAAGCAGAATTAAAAATTTAAAAAAATAAATCACAGAATGGAACACATGCCTATTCAATGGCTGATGGAAGTGCCGATTGTCACCCGAATGCTTACTATCGGAGTAGTCGCCGTCTCGCTTGTCAACTTCGCCGGCTTCGCATCCGAAAGAGATCTTGTGTACACTTATGAGGACGTGTTCATCCGCGGCCAGTTCTGGCGAATACTAACGTCTCTGCTGTATTTCGGCCCGTTTTCCTTCAACGTCCTCGTCATTTTATACATGTTTGTGGGGTATTCAAAGTACCTGGAAAACTCGTTTCATCGTACAAAAGACTTCATCACGTGTCTTGCCATTCTTAGCTCTGGATTCTTTGTGTTCAGCACCTACGTCCATCCACTTTACAGAATCGGCGAACATCTCATGGACACGATGCTCTACATCTACTCCAGACGCAATCCGACTGACGGACTGCAAATTCTCGGCATCTTCCGCTTCAACGCCATCTACCTGCCCGTGATGTTCACGGTGCCGTCCGTGCTCAGATACCACCCGATGCAGGGAAACATGCGCACGCTGCCGCTCACCTGGTTCTACGAGAACGTGTTCAGCTTCCTGTGGGGCCACATCTACCTGTTCCTCTGCGACACGGCCCCCAAGCTGCACCGCCCTGCCGTTGCCGGTGCACGGGTGTGATTTATCGCAGGGTGGGGCCCGCAAGCGGAAATTGGAACCGCAGCCGAGAAATTTTATAAATCGCCTACCACCCCGACCCAGCACAACCTAGCAATATGTCGTTTCTGGGAGGATCGGAGTGTGCTGCCAACGCCAATCCTCTGGCGCAGTTCTTCAAGCAGTCGCAGCACGACACGTCGCTTGAGCAGGCGCTCCGCAACGGCGCTCACGATACGCGTCAGAGTGCTCAAATCAGAGCACCTGTTGCCATGAAAGAGGCAGAAAGAGCACACATGGAGCAGTTTATGACCCAGGGCGCGCCGTTCAACTTTCAGCCGATGGCGAACGAGCTGCGCATGATCCAGCATGACCGGCAAACGCAGGCCGCCCCTGCTTTGAGTAGCCCGCGTGCGCAGAACCAGGTGCCTTTGCAAGTCCACGGACAAGGGCGGCCGCAAGTTTCCGGGTGGGCTTCGGAGTTTCAGAGCACGGCCGCGTCGCAGGTTACCCACAGTCCGTCTCCAGTTAGCCAGACCTCGATGAGGCCGATGGGGATGGCTCCACGGTTGCAGTTGAGGCCATTCACGACTGCGAACGGGCTAATGCAGACCAGCAGCATGACAAATAGCTTGGTGCAAGAGGACACAAGCCAGCAGGTGGACTGGGAGCAGCAGTTCAAGGAGATGGAGGAGATGGAGGAGGCCACGGCGGAGACGCAGCAGCCAGTGGAGGAGACGGTTTCTGCACAGGAGAGCGCGTTTGACCAAGTGTGGGATAACATCCAGGAGACCTACGCGGACAACATGCTAAGCAACGACGAGTTCCAGGCGCAGTGGGAGAAAGATTTCGAAAAGTACGCACAGACAAGGTTGAATTACGGCGAGTACACTTTCGAGGAGAATAACCAGTTCCGGAACAACCCGGACGCCTACGAGATTGGCATCAAGCTGATGGAGAGCGGTGCGAAACTCAGCGAGGCTGCGCTGGCTTTTGAGGCTGCTGTCGAGCAGAATCCCGGCCACGTCGATGCGTGGCTGCGTCTCGGCCAGGTTCAGACCCAGAACGAGAAAGAGCTTGCTGGAATAGCAGCGCTGGAGAAGTGCCTGGAGCTGTCGCCTCAGAATCTTGTTGCGCTCATGACTCTGGCAATCTCGTATATCAACGAAGGGTACGACAACGCAGCTTTTGCTACGCTGGAGAGATGGATCGAGACCAAGTACCCGGAGGTTGCCGAGCGCGCACGAAGCGCGAACCCGGACATCCAGGCGGACGACCGGTTCTCGCTGAACAAGCGTGTGACACAGTTATTCATCAAGGCCGCGCAGCTGTCTCCCGAGGGGGCCAACATGGACTCCGAGGTCCAGACGGGGCTTGGGGTGCTGTTCTACTCCATGGAGGAGTACAGCAAGACGCTGGACTGTTTCCAGGCGGCCATCGAGCACAATCCAAATGACGCACTGGCCTGGAACCGGCTGGGAGCGTCGCTGGCGAACTCGAACAAGCCTGAGCAGGCGATCGAGGCGTACTCGCGCGCTTTGCAGCTGAACCCAAACTTTGTGAGAGCAAGGTACAACCTGGGTGTTTCCTTCATCAATATGGGGATGTATCGCGACGCTGTGGATCACCTGCTCACAGGACTGAGCATGCACGAGGTGGAGTCGCTTGACGGGTCTTCATCTGTGGCCCGTAGCAACCAGTCGACGAGTTTGATCGAGACGTTAAAGCGTGCGTTCCTGGCGATGGACCGGCGCGACCTGGTTGACAAGGTGAAACCCGGCCTTAACGTGGAGTCGTTCCGGAGAACCTACGATATATAGCTTAATGAGTTACGGAGACGAAAAAAGAAAATAAAAAAATAAAAAAAAAAACTGCAAGTCACCACCGGTATGGATCAGCGCAAGGGGGGAGCGGCGTGTGACATATGCCACCGGCGGAAAATCAAATGCGATATTGGCATCACCGGGACGCCGTGCAGCAAGTGCAAGGAGCTGAAGGTGGAGTCCCAGTGCGTACTCCACAAGCGCAGAAAGAAGGCCGACGGTATGACGTATTTTGTGACGCAGGACAAGTTCCTGAACGTGATCAAGTTCTCGCCCAAGAAGTTCATGCGTTCCGCAGCACAGACGGAGAGCCGCGCAGTCAACATGGTTCTCTATCCCGCGGTGAACGAGCTGGCGTCCAAGTTCTACAAAAATGTCGTGGGCTATGAAACGGAACTGGACGACCTGGATTTGCAGTACATGACACAGCTCGGGTGCTTCAATCTGCCAGACCAGGTCACCTGCTGGAAACTGTTCGACTACTACTTCAAGAGACTGAACAAGTGCACGCTGATCCTGGACTACGGCAGGTTCATCAGAGACTACCAGAATTTGGACGAGTTGCCGTCGCTAGTGCTGGTGCAGGCGCTGCTCTGCATCGGCTCGATTTTTGCAAAGGCAGAGCTCGCGACGGAACACGAGCGTAGCACGTACGAAAAGTACACGGCCGTGTTCTACAAGAGAACCAAGGCGCTTGTGGACGCGTCTGTGGAGCAGGACCCGATCGCGCTCGTTCAAACGTACCTGGTGCTCTCACACATCTCGGAGATGACCAAGTACGCGATGGGGACCAGCGGGCGCACGTGGCTGCGCATGGCGCACCAGGTCGCGCAGGACAACCGGTTCTACCAGGAACAGCCGCGGCTGCCTCAGTACAAGCGCAACATGTACCGCAGGCTGTGGTGGATCATCTACGCACGTGACCGCATGTTTGTGTTCTGGCACAGCGGCGCGTGCCTGGTGTCGAAGGCGGAGACGGCGATCTCGAAGGACTCGCACGAGCTGTTTGCGCTCGACGAGTTCGAGAAGGAGAGCCAGGACTACTTCCGAAGTCTGATCAACATCGGCGAGCTTATCGATATTACGTCATCTAACGACAACTCGGCGGACGGTTTTCTGCTGTGGAGGGACGTGGAACAGTGCGACACGCTCGTGACCAAGTGGTTCGAGAGTCTTCCGGCGCGCCTGGTGTTCAAGCTGGACGATCCGGAGTCGCAGACGTGCCATTCGGTGCTGATCACGATGTACTACTATCTGCTGCTACTGACGATCCACCGGGTGAATCTTTTGCGCGAGTACAAAAAGCTGGCGGCTCAGAACAGGGACAAGGAGTCGCTGCAGAACGTCTCGTCGTGGGGACTGACTTTCCACTGCGCGTTCATGATTTCGCAGATTTCGAGCCAGTGGCTCAAGTCCAATAATTACGCTCCGTGCCCGAATATCTACATGCAGTGCATTTTTTCGAGCTCCTTCACGATGATGTGCCAGCTGCTCAACAAGGACGCGACGATCGCCAAGATGGCAGACGACTGCATCCAGATGAACCTGCTTTCCATGAAAGAATACGGCAAACAGTATCTCCAGGGTCAGATGGCGCACTATGTGGTGAGCCAGGTGTACCACGACAAGAGGAAGCGGCTGAAGCTGCTGCGGTCCTCGTTCGAGGTGGGCGACGCGACAGACACCTTCCTGGACCGTCTAAACGACGAGATCAGCGCGCGCATCGAGCACAAGCTGGAGGCGCGCTCGTTCGAGGGCGCAGACGACCAGCTGGAGAAAGACCGTCGCGAGTTGAAGAACTTCCTGCCGTTCCAGATGTACCAGAAGAACTACGCGCCGTTCATTCCGCGCAAGCGTGCGAAGTACTCGACCGCCAACGACACACAGCCGGTCGCGGACCCTGCCACCAACTCGTTGCAGCACTTCCCGGAGACACAGCCAAGCACGGGCAGCGAGTCTGTGTCGGACTGCTCGCAGGACAGCATCAGCGAGTGGCTTGCACACATCAGCAACCCGACGGAAATGGCCAACGTCAGGGACTCAGACTTCCTCAAACACTTCACGTTCAGCGCCGACCCGACGGCGGAGACGAGCTCGCCTTTCGACCTCGACGGGATGCTCAAGATGCAGGACTTTGGCGACCTAATGCACGTGCCGGTGCCGAACCTCGTCGACGGCAATTACACGGGCGGTGCTGCGACTGTTCCCGACTTCGACCAGCTGCTCCGGAGCCTCTAGCGACGATCGACCTTTTCATTCTATTTTAAAAATAATATAAATATACTACGGTGCGATGTCCAACCCGTACGCGGCCCCCGAGCCATATTCGAAGACCCTCAAGCCGGCGGCCCAGTCGCGGTTCCTGCGATTGGAGCTTGCGGCTCGCTACGTGCGCCACCGGCCGTACCTGCTGCTGCTGCTGCCCCTGCTGCTGTTTTTCCTCCTGCCGCACTACCACAAGAGCCCGCGGGTGGTGATAATCCTGGCGGCGAACGAGGGCGGCGGCGTGCAGAGATGGAAAACGCCCCAGGAGTGGTCGGTGGAGCGGTCGTCGATCGCCAACAAGCGCGAATACGCCGAGAAGCACGGCTACATCCTCTCCATCAAAGACACAGCATTGAAAAGAAGATACAGCCACGAATGGCGCGAGGGCTGGGAAAAGGCGGATATCCTGAAGCAGACCATGCGCCAGTACCCGGACGCCGAATGGTTCTGGTGGCTGGACCTGCACACATTCATCATGGAGCCGCAGATCTCTCTCGAGGAGTACCTGTTCAAGAACCTCGAAAACCGCACCTACAGAGACCTGTCGTACCACAACCCGCTGCATATTTCTGTGGACTCGCCGTACGTGGACGTCGAGCATGCTCCCGTGGACCTGGTGCTGGCCCAGGACTGCGGAGGGTTTAATTTAGGCAGCTTCCTCGTGAGACGCTCTGAATGGACAGAGCTTCTGCTGGACGTCTGGTGGGACCCCGTTTTCTACGAGCAAATGCACATGACCTGGGAGCACAAGGAACAGGACTGTCTGGAGACGCTATACAGAACACAGCCCTGGATCAGAGAACGCGTCGGGTTCGTGCCCCTGCGAGCTATCAACAGCTTTCCGCCGGGAGCCTGTGCGGAACAGAGAGACGATCCGCAGTATTTTTACAGCGAAAAAGACCGCGATTTTCTGGTCAACATGGCAGGCTGCAACTTCGGCGATCGCTCGTGCTGGAACGAGTACGAGCACTACAGGAACTTGCAGAAACAGCTCAGGAAGAGCCGGCGGTGGTCGTGGTTACCCGGCTTCTGATAAAATAAATAGTCGAAAAATAATGTGTAGTTATTTCTGTAGATTATTATTCTCCCATGAATAGTGAATTCTGGAACGAGCAGGGCGGCGACGACGAAATGGCCTTTTTGACGTTCCCAGATAACCCGTCGTTGTCGCGTCCCACACAGCCGCAGGCGGCTGCGCCCCAGCCCGAGAGGCCGGGCGACACTTTCAACACTAGCGAGGAGGCGATGTCTGGGGGGACCGTGTCTTCTTTCTCGCCGCAGGTGTTTGAGAACAACTCTGGCGCTCCAATGGAGCAGCAGCACGCTCTCCCGTCCCAGCCTCCCACGCAGAGCCCGTTCGAAGCGTCTGCGCCGGCACCCACGCCGCCATCTCAGCAGTACCATCAACACCGTCCCGTGCCCTCCCACAACAACAGTCCGAACGCCAACACTCCACAGCAGCGCCAGATGCAGATGCAGATGCAGCAGCAGCACAATTTCATGTGTTTATTAGAAGAGTTTATGAACCGCAACAACACGCCCCTGACTGAGAGATATCCGGTCATTGGGGGCAAGAAAATGAACTTATTCCTGATCTACGCCGTGATGGTGAAGTTTGGCGGGTTCAACAATGTGCTCAGGTCCAAGAAGATTGTGCCTGTGGCCAGCAAGTTTGGCATTCCGCCAGACAACAACCAGCTGCTGCGCGAGTTTGTCCAGATGTACCACAAATGTCTGCTTCCGTTCGAGCTGTATGCCAACACACCGGAGGGGATGAAGGAGCTGTCGATGCGGAAAAAGCAGCTCGAGCAACAGATGCAGTCCAAGCAGGCCACGCCGACCAGTGCCAGCAACCAGACGCCGCCTGTTTTCAACGCTCCGACGCCCGCCTCGGTTCAGGAGACAAAGTTCACTCCAGGGGACCAGCGTGCGAGCGAGCCGTCGCCGGCCCCTGCAGAGTCACGCCACGCGACGCCGCAGCCGGACGCAAATTTTGTCCCCGACTTCATTCGCAATTACGTGCCGCACCAACGGGTGCTCGACAAGGTAGGGGGCCACGATTTGAAGGCGTTGTCTGCATTCGGCGAGCAGGTTGACCATTTGAAGCCTGTGTTCCTGTTTGTGCCAGAGCTCGGCAAGATTGACCTGAATGCGCTCACCTTGTCGCTGTTGTCAAGTATCGACGCCGAGGTGAACCTTGCGCTGAACGTTCTGCTGATCGTTACGTCGGACCCGAGCCTCGTCGTGCCGCTCAGCGAGTGTATGGGCCTGCTTGAGGCGCTTGCTCGCGTTGGCACAGACATTCTGGACATGCTCGTTTCAGGCAATCTGGATAAACGCGGAGGTACGTCCGAGGACGCGCGTCCGGGGTATTTCAAGCCAAACAAAATAGACGAGGTCTTTGAAAAGTACAGCGGCCGGCTGAAGGGAGACAAGGACGTCGAGGTCGTGGTTGACTCGTTCACGTCGAAAGAGGTGGGCGACGAGAGCCAGGACTTGGAGGTCGAGGAGTCCGACGCGGACGTCGTGTTTGAGGAGCCGCCGCGCGTCGACACGCCTGCGTCGGACGTGGACGAGAAGCTGGTGGCGCCATTTTGTCTGCCGTCGTATTTGGAGCTCCTGGAAGCTGCACGCGCAGAGGCGGACGACTTTTCCGGCCGCATCTACGCCAAGGCGTTCCTGGACAGGCGGCTGATGCTGGTGGAGGAGCTCAACACGGTGTCGATGATTTTGCGCAATTTGTCGTTTGTGAGCAACTCGCAGGGCGTCGCGAACAACAACCTCATGGCGGCGAACTCGTCGCTGCTCGACTTTATCTATGCGTTGATAGCATCGCTCGGCACGTCCGAGGGTTTTGTGTTTGCACGGAAAAAGGTGCATTTGATGAAAGACACGCTGATGACCTTGGCCAACCTCTCGCACGCGATCGAGCTGCGCTCGACGAAGGAAGCTTTTCTAGTTCTTGCTCTGTGTCTTGCGTTCGGCGTTCCGCTGGACCCAGAGGACGAGAAAGCCGGGTTCTACGTGCCGAGGTTCGACGCCGGCAAGGGCAAGTACCAGCTGCACGCGATCGACGTGCTGGCCAAGGTGCTGTGCGGGTCGCTGAACAACAAGAAAATGATGTCGTCTGTGCTGGCGCGCGAGAACCTGGACCCGGAGATGAACTCGCTGATGCAGACGTACGACCAGGGCAAGAACGGCGAGCTGGTGGTGCGCACGATGGGATTTTTCGTTTCTGCGCTGCCGCTGCACGTGATCTACGAGGGCATCGAGCGGTTCAACGACAAGCTGCCCTCGTGTCTGGAGCTGCTGCTGGGCAGCGTGCTTGTGGCGGAGGTGATTGAAGACGCGCAGTTCTCGCACAACGTGGCGCTGCGGCTGCTGAGCTCGCCCGAGCTCGTGGGGACCAACCTGTTCAAGCTGGCGTTCATCTTTGCGGCGATCTACGCCAAGACCAACCACGAGAACAAGCTGATGTACATCCACATCTCGGGCAAGAGCATGGAGCTGGTGAACGTGCTGCTGCGCACGGCGATAGCGCACGCGGTCTCGGCGGGGGCCAGGGACGAGCTGCAGACGCTGTTCTCGGTGTCGAAGCTGTTTCCGGCGGACGAGTCCATTCTGGGCGCGCTCATGACGCCGTCGTTGCCGCCGGATATTTCTGTGCAGGCGGTGGAGTCGGCCAAGCTGCTGGTGAGACTACAGGATTCTCTGAATAATTAATTAATTTTTCGCTATTAGCTCCACGACTAGGCGAGAAGTTCTCCGTAGCGGCTCCATAATTAGAGTTTCTGCTCCTGCGGCAGCTGGACCACCTCCACAGAGCTGGCGCCGTCTGACGGGCCACGCCCCGCCAGCCCGCGTAGCAGCACCTTGATGGAGTGGCGGCCCTGCCACAGCGGGAAGAAAATAATGTACATGGCTGCCACCAGCAGCCACATCAAAACCACCACGATGAACCCGGTAAACGAGGCCTTGCTCAGATCGTGGTTGCTGCCGTACAGTCCCAGCGGCAGAACGACGTACACGCCCAGCACGAGCACGATGTTAATCACGGCGGCGGCCCAGATGTGCGAGCGCAGCTTCTTCTGCTCGTGGGCCGGCAGCTCGGCCGCCTGCTCCTCCTCGGGGTCCATGTCGTCCGCCAGGCTGATGCTCGTGCGGAACGTGTTCATGTCGAACGGCTCCGCGTCGGGCCACGCCAGGCTGATGAGCACGATGTACAGCGGTGTCGAAAACAGGGCTGTGCAGTTGCCGATGAAGGTGGCCTTGGTGATGTTGAGGGTGTCCTTGTCGACGACGTGGCTGCCGAAACAGTACGCGCCGGCGATCCAGCACAGGACGCCGGTGAGCGTGCCGAGCGGCGCGCCGACCACGAGCGCCCACTTGGTCATTCTGCTCCAGAAGAGCGTGATCACGACGGTGAAGACGCTCGGGTTGACGATGATGCCGCTGAAGGTGAGCAGCCAGCCGACGGTGACGCCCACGTAGTTGAAAACGACCGACAGCACGGCCATGAACATGCTGAAGCCCACGACGGCGATGTGGGCGGCGCGCACAAGCTGTGCGCCGGAGGCCTTGGGGTTGATGTAGGTTCTGTACACGTCGTAGGTGGTGACGGAGGAGAAGGCGATGAGCTCTGCGCTGCTGGCGCTGGTGACGGACATGAAGAGCATGATGAGGCCTGCGGCGGCGCCGGACTTGCCCATGACGGCGTAGAGGCCGTAGATGACGGGCAGGCCGCTGTTGACCTCCTGGGCCGAGAGCTCGTTCGGGTACGTGGGGGAGTGGGGGTCCGAGAGCAGCGCACGGCACGCCAGGCCGGCCGAGGAGCCGATCACGGTGGGGATGACGGCCCAGCACAGCGCGCCCAGCGTGTAGCCCTGGAACACCTGCGTGGAGCTGGACGCGATGGCGCGCTGCGAGTAGCCCGGGTCGCCGAACACGGAGCTGAGCCCGCCCAGGCACACGGTCCACGTGAGCATGAGCATCGTGCTGTCTCTGTAGCTGAGGTAGCTCTGTCCCGTCGCGGACGGGAACGTGTGCTGGGCCTCCTGCAGCAGGTCGTACATCTTGCCCGGCGACCCGATCAGCGGCGACGAGCAGTAGATCTTGAAGCTGGCGACGAGCAGGATGATGTAGATGATGACCGTGTGGATCCAGTCCGAGATGAACGTGGCCTTGAGGCCGCCGAGCGCCGTGTACACCATGACGCCGAGGGGCAGCAGGAAGCTGGCGGCGACGACGTTCATGCCGGTGGTGGCCGAGAAGCCCTGGGACCCGCCGAGGAGCAGCAGCGACGAGATGAGCACGTTTGTGGCAAAGACGTAGCACAGAAACACCCAGTGGCCGACCGGGCCGAAGCGGACGGAGAAGCACTCGGAAACGGTGTGAGCTGCAGGGGCCCTGGATTTTATTTGCAGGCACACAAACACAAACAGGGTGACCTGGACGGTGCCGCCGATGCCGTAGAGGAAGCCGCCGGAGACGCCGTGGGCGTAGCTCCACGCGCCGGACGAGAGCAGTGTGGCGGGCCACGTCCACGCAGACACCGTGGACGAGGCAATGAGGCCGGAGCCGACGTTTCTGGAGGCCGTGGTGAAGCGCTCGGAGTTCTGTACCTGGCCGAGGTATCTGGACAGCACGCGCGTGATGAGCGACATGAGCAGCGCGAACGCCGCGCCGATGCCCAGCACGAAGCCGTAGCCGTAGCTCTGTTCGAGAATCGCAGTGGTCATTGCGCTGGAGACTGCTGTTGCTCGGATTAAATAGGGCACGCGGGTGGTGCGATAAGATATGCGGGACCTGTATCCTGCGTCGGAAGTAAGCCTGTTTTAGGATTTTCGATGCGCCCGCGAATGAGAGCGCACGATTTCCCTTTCCGGCCCTGCAGCATGCTCATCGCTCGCTGTGCTTATATACGGCTGTTCGTGGCCAGGCTGCGGCGACCATGTCGTGGCAGCAGATAAGAGAAAGGAAAAAAAAATTGCTTGCTGAGGCGATTCCGGCGGCCTGGCGCGACCCGGCGCTCAAGCGCAAGATGCTGGACGCGGGCTACGTGAACGCGAGGGAGTACCTGGACACGGTGCTGCCCGAGGCAGAGAAGCAGATCACACGGCTCGCGCTTGCCGAGCTGGCGTGCAAAATCGCGGCGGGCGAGCTCACGGCGGTCGCCGTTGCGACGGCGTTCTGCCACCGCGCCGCGCTCGCGCACCAGATCCTCAACTGCTGCGTCGAGATCTTCTTTGACGAGGCGCTCGCGCGCGCGCGCCAGCTCGACGAGTACTACGCCGCGCACGGCAAGACCGTGGGCCCGCTGCACGGCGTGCCGGTCTCGCTCAAGGACCAGGTCGACCTGGCGGGCAAGGACTCGTCGATCGGCTACTGCGCGCGGTTTGGCAAGCCCGCGGCCAGGAACGCCGTGCTGGCGGACCTCCTGCTCGCCAAGGGAGCCGTCTTCTACGTGAAGACGACCGTCCCGATCGCCATGATGAGCGCAGAGACGGTCTCGAACCTCATGGGCTACACGCACAACGCCGTCAACGTGAACATGTCGTCGGGCGGGAGCAGCGGCGGCGAGGGCGCGCTGATCGGCGCGGGCGGCTCCGTGCTGGGCTTCGGCACAGACATCGGCGGCAGCATCCGCATCCCGTCTGCGGCGCAGGGCCTGTACGCGCTCAAGCCGTCCACGGGCAGGATCTCGTACATGCACGTGACCAACTCGTACGCGTGGCAGGAGCTTGTTCCGTCGGTCATCGGCCCGATGGGCACGAGCCTGGCGGACGTCCACCTGATGTTCCGGCTGATTGTGGAGGCAGAGCTGTGGAACACAGACCCCAAGGTGCTGGCCATCCCGTACAAGCCTGCGGACAGCTTTGGGGGCAAGCTGCGGTTTGGCTTCTGGACGGACGACGGCGTCAAGACGCCGCAGAAGGCCATCCTGCGGTGCCTGGGCGCTGTCGCGGAAAAACTGCAGGCCGCCGCACACGAGACCAAAAATGTTGCTTTCGACCTGCAACCAAAGTTGCTCGACACCATCGGCAAGGTCTACGGCGCAGACGCGTACGAGGAGATCGCCACGACGCTCGCGCAGACGGGCGAGCCCGACATGGAGCTGGTCAGGAGCCTGGTTGTCAAGGAGGGGATCGACAAGCCGCTGGATGTGACGCAGTGGTGGCAGGTCAGCAGAGAGGTGTACGAGTGCAAGCAGGAGTTCTACGCGGCGTGGAAAGAATGGGGCGTCGACGTGCTGATCTGCCCGATCTGGTGGTCTGCCGGGTTCAAGCCGCACACGTCGTCGGCTCCGCGGTACACGGCGCCGTTCAACATCGCCGACTGCGCGTGCGTGGTGGTGCCGGTGGGCAGAGTGGACTCTGCGCGCGACGGCGACGCGGACTGGGACAAGATGCCCGTGTGCGTGCAGGTCGTGGCCAGACGGTCCGAGGAGGAGAAGGCGCTGTACGCGGCGGGCGTTGTGGACGCGCTGGTCAACGGCTAGGAGGACGGCGCTCCAGTCCAGGTTATAGCTTGCAATTGACAGATTTATATTCGTTTTCGTCGCTCCTCTTATATGCTGCGCTCAAAAAACCGCACGATCTTGCCCGCGGCCTCCTGTCCAACAAGAGGCGCAAGCTCGGCCTCGCTCATCTGCGCCAGCTCGCGGATGTTGCGCACCTTGTTGATGATCAGGTGCACGTTCACAGAGCTGATGCCCGGGATGTTCTGGATCAGCTCGATCGCCGTGTCGTTGAAGTAGGTGTCCTTGTCGAACAGCGGGTTCAGCCCGGCGCTGATCGCCTTGTCCACGTCCGGCTCGTCCTGGCTGAGCTTGAGCTCCCGGAACAGCCGCGCGGTCTCGAACGGCGACGACGTCCACAGGATCTTCAGGCTCGGAAACGCAATCAGCAGCATCATGAGCTTCAGCTGCAGGTCCTGCTGGAAGGACGTGCTGCCCGGGCCGGCGCCCAGCGGCCGCCCGTCGCGGTAGCCTGAGAACGGCTCGAGCGAAAACGACTTTCCCTCCTCGAACTCGATCAGCAGCGTCGGCAGCTCGTAGTACCGGAACATCTGCTCGCACTGCTGGTATAACCGGCCGCTTTTCAGCGAACTGACCAGGTCCGGAATCGACTTGCGCTCGATGCATATTTTGGGCGACAACACGTAGTCGCCGACCGTGAGCATGCAGGGAATAACTTCCATGGCGGCCAGGTAGCACAGAAAAGGCAGCTGCGAACGGAACTCCCGCACATCGACCACGACCTTGTTTTTCGTGTCGAGCGGGTTCGCGCCGGCGATTCTCGTGCTCTGCGCCAGCGTCGGCAGGAACCTAGCGCTCTCGTCCTCGTCGGTTATGAACGTCTTTGGCAGCATCGATTTTTCCCTGATCAGTCGCGTGAAGGCGTCCTTCTCCCGCTTAATGCTGTTCAGATAGCCCTGCTCCTCGATGGAGTCTCCGTAGTACATGAAATAGCACCGGGCAGGGTTTGTGTGCCGCAAAGACTGGAACAGTTCGACCCGCCGGATAAAGGCCAAATTCGGCTCGTACAGAATGATGTACGACGGCATCACTTCCTCTAGCAGGTAGTTACTGGCCTTGGCGTCGAATTTCTCGATGATGACCTGGTCTGCGCGGTCCACGTACTCGAAAGTTATGCCGTGCGAGCGCACCTCCTCGAAATCCGGAGTCTGCTCCGCATGGTCCATAGACTCCCCAACCTCTTCCGGCGGCACAGAGCCCGGGTCCTCCTGCTTGACGTCGTCGTCGCTAAGGTCACCGCCCACCTCGTTTTCCAGCAGATCGACCATCGCCTCGTGGACCGCGTCGTCCACGGTGCCGTCGCCTTCCGTCTTGCTCAGCATGCGGTTATACGACGTCATAACTGCACCGCCGCGCGCACGACGCCGTTTGTTGGGCACAGCCTTGCGACGTACAAACGTCCGCGACACCGCCACGTCGTCGTCCATGTCGCCGCGGGCCTGGTTCGAGACCTTGTTGAGCTCCTTTTGGATTTTCACCGTGTGGCTGCCCGTGCCTTTCTTCCACGCCAGATGCTGCTTCAAAGTCCGCACCATCAGCCTGCGCGCACTGAACCCGGTACGGTTGCCGGCGCGGTACTCTTTATAACTCACCAGAAAATTGCGCAGCTGGTTACAGCAGTGCGCTGTTGAGCACATGATCAGGACCGGCCCGTCCTCAGTGTGGTCACCGTGCTTTTTTTCCTCGTTGATGTCGTCCAGAATCATCGCCAGCTGCTCCCATTTGGGGAGCTCTTCCAGCAAATATGTGGCCTCTGCGTCGTCGTCGTCGCGAACCTTATCGAAAACCCGGGCCTTGCTGCACGATATAACCGTCATGGCCTCGTCCAACAGCAGCCATGGCGCCATAGTCCTGTTGTTGTTCGTTACCGACGGCTTGTTCGCCTCCACGATACTCGATAACTCCTGGTAGAACTGCACAGAGTCCCACGTAAACAGCCGGCCGAGCAGCTCTCGCAGCGTGGCAAAGTCGTACAGCACCTGCTTTGTCGTGGACGAGACCCTGTGCCAGTACGGGTCGAGTGTGGCGCGGATGCTGCGCACAAACTCGTCGTCCAGCGCGTTCTCGATCGTCCAGTACTCGGACGCGATCTCCGGGTTATGTCGCTTTAGCTCGTTTATGCATGCCTCCATACACGCAAGCAGCCCGGTCTGGATTTTCAGCATGTAGTCTGTCATCTGGACGTTGATTTCGGTGACTTTGTTCTCTAGCTTGCGCGACTTGAGCGAGTTGGTTATGTCCACATGGAACCGCGGCCATAGCATAACTTTCTGGAGCCGCAGGTACTTCAGTCGCGTGTACAGCGGCTGGAACCCAGCGCCCATGCTCTCCGGCTCGTCGGAGAGCGCCTTGATAAACCCCCATTTATTTTTCTTCCGGTACAAATTGGCAATAAACCGCTCGCTCGAGTACTCCTTGACGCGCTCCGCATGCAAAATCACGATGCCGGTCACAAGGTCTGGGTTCAGGACGTCTCCGAGAAAGTCCGTCACCAGAACCCGCGTGGTTATGGCCAGGATCCCGCCCTTTTCGTATAACCGGCGTCGCTTGTCCAGCGTGGTAGGGTCCCGGCTCACAGACAGAAACGAGACGGCCTCTTCCTTGCCGTCAAGCCATGCCAGCTCGCGCAACTCCTCGCCGATCTTGTATAGCTCGGCATCGCTCGCGTTCACCAGCAGAACCAGGCTCTTTTTGTCCTCTATCACAGACAGCCCTAGAACGTGCAACAGGTTCGCCACAATGGTCTCAAGCCCCAGACCGCGGCCCAGTATAACCAATCCGTCGTCCTCGACGAGATCCTGGACGATCTGCCGCTGGTAGCCGAGGCTAAGCGTGAGATTGATGGTCCTGTCCTCGCGGCCCGCGAAAGCAGGACGCACCGGCGCAGGCTCGATTTCGCGGACTACCACCGGCACCGTGAGCTCTTCTGTCTCGCGGTCCTCCTGCAGCAGCCTGGTGAGCTCGGATTCGACGTGCTCGTCGTCGGAAACGGCCTCGAAAAGCGGATCAGACATGGAGAGAAAGAAACTATAGCTTCCGCCGATCGACGCAAATATTTTTCTTGCCAATTTTTCGTATTTCGCTTCGTTAGTCATGTCCATCAAGATCAGTGCGAAAATCAAGACGCTGGGCCCGAACGACCCATTTTTCTCGTTCGAGTTCTTCCCGCCCAAGACGGAAAACGGACTGCGCAACCTGTACGCGCGGCTCACCAGAATGGCTCTTCTGGGCCCGCTTTTCGTCACCGTCACTTGGGGGGCAGGCGGCACCACGGCGCACAAGACGCTGGATCTCGCGGTGACGTGCCAGCAGGAGCTTGGTCTGACCACGTGCCTGCATCTCACGTGCACCAACACCTCGAAAGAGGTCATTGACGACGCTCTCGAGCGGGCCAAGGCGGCAGGAATCCGGAACGTGCTGGCTCTCAGGGGCGACCCGCCGAGAGACGGCGTCGATCCCGAGCGCCACGGCCACTTTAAGTACGCCGTCGACCTTGTTCGGTACATTAGAGAGCAGCACGGCGACTATTTCTGCATCGGAGTGGCTGGATATCCGGAGGGCCATGTGGAAGGGGCCGACAACAGCGACCAGGACATGAAAAAGGATTTGCCGTACCTGGTGGAGAAGGTGAACGCCGGGGCGGACTTTCTGGTGACGCAGATGTTCTACGACACGGACAAGTTTGTGCATTTTGTGAAGACGGTGAGGGCGACCGAGGAGATCAAGAACAAGGACCTGATTATAATTCCCGGTCTGATGCCAATCAACGGTTATAGCATCTTCCAGCGTGCGTCGAAACTGAGCCACGCGTCGATTCCGGAGCCGCTACTGGAGAGATTCCCCGAGGATATCCAAAACGATGACGACAAGGTCAAGGAGGTCGGCGTGGACGTGCTGTCCGAGATGGTTTCCAAAATACACAGAGACACCAACGGCGAGATTCGTGGGTTCCACTTTTACACGCTTAACCTGGAGAAGTCGATTGCACAGATTATCAACAAGAACGAGCTTCTTTCGCAGGTGCTGAAGAAGAAAGAGGAGGAGGAGCTCGAGGAGGAGACGGTTTCGGACGAGGACGTTGACGAGGCGACGACGACGGCGAAAAGGGCGGCGTTCGCCGACAGGTTCCGCCAGGTGAATAACCAGGTTATAGTGGACGCTCCGATGAGACGGTCGGGAGCTCGAAACTCGATGTCGCAGGTCAAGACAATAGTCTCGATCTCGTCGGGCAAGGGCACGCTGGGCAAGGACGCCACGTGGGACGATTTCCCGAACGGACGGTTTGGCGACTCGCGGTCGCCCGCATACGGCGAGATCGACGGTTACGGCCCGTCGCTGAAAATAACCTCCACCAAAGCGTACGAGCTCTGGGGGTACCCAGAGAGCCTCAAAGACATCTCGAAAATCTTCACCAACTACCTTAGCGGCAAGATCAACGCGCTGCCGTGGTCGGAGCTGGGACTAAACCCGGAAACGGCGCTGATCCAGGAGGAGCTGATCCGGCTGAACGAGCTGAACCGGTTCACGGTTTCGTCGCAGCCTGCCACGAACTGCAGCAAGTCGAGCGACAAGATCTTCGGATGGGGCCCTAAGAACGGCTACGTCTACCAGAAGGCGTTTGTGGAGATGTTCATTTCGAAAAAAGACTGGGAGGCGCTGCTGCCTAAACTGAGTGCCAACGAATACATTACGTACTATGCTTCCGATAGCAGCGGGGGCTACGCGTCGAATCTGCCCGGCCAGAAGAGCAACTGTGTTACGTGGGGGGTTTTCCCCGACAGAGAGATTGTGCAAACGACCATCATTGAGGAGGAATCGTTCCGTGCGTGGAGCGAGGAGGCGTTCGACATCTGGCGAGAATGGCAGATGCTGTACGCGCCCGGGTCTGTGTCGCACACGCTGATCTCGCAGGTGCTGGAGCAGTACCTGCTGGTGAGCGTGATCCACCACGACTATCCGAACGAGCAGGCATTGTGGGAGCTGTTGCTGGAGGAGTAAAACCCGAAATGTATAATTTACCCGGTGTAATTTATTTCACGTTTGAAATTCTGCAGCTCGCGACGGTAGAGGTCGTGGTTCATGTGGGGGAGTTCGCCGCCGAGAAAGCGGCATGTGGAGGATGTGAGCTGGAATGCCGAGCCAAACACCACTGTGGCGCCTTTTTGCACGAGCAATTTCGACCCGAGTCTGACTGGGTACAGGTCCGGGTTGCTCCGTAAGAATGCGAGAGGCTCGATCTCGTGTGCGTAGCAGAGATTTCCGTGCGCGTCCTGGAGCGTGAGCCGGTACGTGGGGGAGGCTGCCTGCGCGGGCCAGTGCTCGTGCGCGTCGCCGTCGACGTCTGCGGACCGGATGACCTTCTGCTTGCGCGGGCGCGCCTTGGTCTGGCGGTCGTAGAAGCCCTCGTTCGCGTCGATCAGCTCGGCCAGGCGCTCGATGTACGATATCGCCGACCGCGACACGTCTCTGACGGCGACGATCTGGAACAGCGTGTCGGCGGCGAGCGCAGACACGTAGGGGGGCGCGGGCTGTGCGGCCGGCACAAACGGGGTCAGCAGGTGTTTGACGGCATCGCACCGGGTTTTCGTCAGGTCCAGGGACCGGAGAGCCTCCATCGGGAAGGGTCTTATCACGAAATTTTTTCAGCGTAAATCATCAGCCGATCGCACGCGCATAGTGGAGAGACATTTCGGAAAAAAAAATCGCAGAGCGTGCATGACAGCTGCACCGCCGCGCGTTGTTCTGCACGGAGACAATCCACAGGTTGCCGCTCCGGATGGGAATCGACTGACCAGGCGTCACTCGTGCGGCTCGGGACGCCCAGATCGGTGGGGAAACTCCACCCTGGTTAAATACACTCCGTCTTGGTCCCCTTACACATTTCCCATGAAAACCCTCACCAACGTTATTCTCAACAACAAGTACCAGTTTGAGAAGCGGGTTGGCTCCGGCTCGTACGGAGTGGTGTACTCGGCACGCCACCTGTTCACGGGCAAAATGTACGCCATCAAGGTCATCCTCAAGAACCAGTCTGTCCACGGCAACAAGAAGCTGCTGGAGCAGATGGAGGCCCAGATCCTGGACATGGCGCTAGCGAACGGCGGCGCGCTCGCGGCCAACCTCCTCAGCCTGCACATGATCGAGCAGAACGGCACAAACTGCAAGATCCTCAAGGAGATCAGTCTGCAGCTCAAGGTACACAAGCACCCCAACATCCTGTCGCTGTACAAGGTGTACGACCTCAAGCCGGCGATCTTCGTCGTGATGGACTACTACCCGGACGGCGACCTGTTCAACACGATTGTGGAGCAGCAGCGCTACAAAAACGACCCGTTCCTCATCAAGAGCGTGTTTCTGCAGCTTGTCGACGCCATCACGTACTGCCACTCGAAAAACGTCTACCACTGCGACATCAAGCCGGAGAACATCCTCGTCGCCGACAACGGCACCAGGATGATCCTCGCCGACTTCGGCCTCGCGCTCCAGGATCACGAGATCGAGTCCAACATCTGCTGCGGCTCCAGCTACTACATGTCGCCCGAGCGCATCCAGAACTTCTGCCAGGGCTTCGACTCCAAGGACGCGCACTCGATCCACGTGGAGCGCCTGCTGCAGCCGTCCTCCGAGGGCCTGCGCGAGAACGTGCGCTTCCCGACCAGCGCCGGCGACGTGTGGTCGCTGGCCATCATCCTAATCAACCTCGTCACCATCAGAAACCCTTGGCTGCGGGCGTCGCTCCAGGACACCACGTTCAAGGCGTTCGTGAAGGACCCCACCGTGCTGCAGCGCATCCTGCCCATCTCCACAGAGCTCTTCCACATCCTCTGCAAGTACCTCCGGCTCAACCCGTGGGAGCGCGGCGACCTGTTCGAGTTCCGCCAGGACGTGCTCACGTGCTCGCGCTTCGCCGACTCCGGCCCGCTCTCCGTCGACTCCAGAATCGACCCGGCAGACCAGTGGAGGTACTCGTGTCAGGTGCCTGTCGATCACGTGCAGCTCGACAAGGTCCGCAGCAGGGAGCGCGCCGTGCCCGAGGAGCACGAGACAGACCACATAATAGACCTCCCGCTGCCCACGCGCCGTGGGCTGTGTGGCAACTGCGCTGACTGTGGCTACGGCGCGCGTACCCCGCGGCGTCGAGCCGTCTTCGACGGCCTGCTGCACAGCAGCGCATCAGACGAGCCGTACTCCAGCACCGAGAACGACAACATCCGCGTCATGATCTACGGCGTTGACTCCGACGCGTCGAGCGTCTCGAGTCTCAGCATGGCGAGCCAGATTGCCGTCAACGGCTGCTCCTACGCCAACCTCCAGTACTGAACTATAGACTTACGTAATGCATCCGCCTCCCACCCACACACCACCACCACATCTCTGCACCGTAGCTTTCTGGAAACTACTTTTCACTTTGCACTTTCCACGTCATGGACATCGGAGTCGGCTATGGTGCTCAGCGCCCTCGGCTTGGCAGGCAACTAGCCCGTGCCCGCAACAGGACAAAGCTGGGTGCGGCGCTGCTTCTGCTGTGCGTTCTGTGGCTTTTGTTCGGCCGCAAAAAACCTGTGGCCCAGGAGCCCGCCCAGGAGCCCAACGACGTCCAGAGTCTGATCCAGGAGCGGGAGATCCGCCGCGAAAACATCCGGTACCTCAATTTCGGCAGGCCGTTCGTCAACCCGGCCACTCTGGCGCTGATCAACTACGACAACGGCGGCAACATGGTGATGAAAAAAGACTCCGACTACGTGCGTCTGGTGTCCGAGCGGCCCAATTCCGTCGGCTATGTGTTTTCGCGGCTGCCGGTGTCGCTGCAGGACGCCGACTCGTTTGAGGCGATCGTCGACTTCAAGATCCACGGCCAGCAGACGCGGATCTCGCTGATCGGCGACGGCATGGCGTTCTGGCTCACGAGCCAGCCGCTGAGCCAGGGCGACATGTTTGGCATGCAGAACGACTACCACGGGCTCGCGGTGATTGTGGACACGTTCAAGAACACGCCGGGCAAGATGCGCGGCAACAGGGGCGCCAACAGCTTCCCCCGGGTCTCGATCCAGAGCAACAACGGGTTTGCGGGCAAGTACAACAAGGACGACGACGGGACGACGACGGAGCTCGGCAGCTGCGCGCTGCACAGGGCGTACAACACGCCAGTCGATGTGCCCTCGCGAATGCGGGTGCGGTATATTCGCTCGTCTGGCTATTTCAGCGTCGAGTTCGATCTTCTGGGCAACGACAACTGGAAAACCTGTTTCAGCACGACCGACCTCGCTGCGTCGCTCGTCCCCGAGACGCCTTACGTGGGGGTCAGTGCTGAGACGGGCGAGCTGTTCCACAACGTGGACCTGTACGGCATCGAGGTGAACTCGCTCAAGGATGCCTCGGGGCGTCCTGTGCAGTCGATCGACGCGCTGATCGACCGACTCGACGACAAAATCGACGCCGAGACAAAGCAGCACGAGGCCAAGAGACGGCACCGCCGCTTCAACAAGCCCAAGAAGAACGCCCGCCGCCGCAGCGCGAGCCGGCTCAGGCGGGCAGAGCAGCGCGCCAAGCAGCTCAACAAGGAGCTGTACAACGACGAGCGGGGAGCCATCGGCTACTTCTTCAACCTTCTGTGGCGTCTGTTCAAGTACGCTCTGTACACAGCCATGTTTGTTGTCCTGGCGTACATCGGCCTTCTCGGCTATCGCGTTTACCGCGACAAGCGCAAGAGACGCAACCAGCGGGGACTACTGTAATAGACGTAAAATAAAAAATTTGGCATTATTTATTTTCCATGCTGTATTCGATCTACATCACGTCGCGGTCCGGCTCGCTATTGTACCAAAAGGACTTCAAAACGGTAAACTCGCCGATCACAAAGCAGAGGTCCAATGACTATCTCGTCATTGCGAGCACGCTGCACGGAGTGCACGCCATAGCGTCGAAACTGACGCCGCCGGACGCCGTCCACAATTACCAGAAGGCCAAGACGCTGGCCAACTCGAACCGCACGGGGCTGCGTGAGGTGTCCACGTCGCAGTTCAAGATCTTCATGAACCAGACCGTCACCGGCATCAAGATCATTGTGTTTGCGTCGCCGAACATGGAGGAGACCAAATTCGCCGCCATCTACGACAAGATCTACGAACACTACTGCAATTACGTTCTCAAGAACCCCTTCTACCAACTGGACATGCCCATCAGATGCCAGCTGTTCGACACGCACCTGAACTCCGTGGTGGCCGGCTGCAATGTGTAGCGTCGGCGTCGCGTCGGTAAAAAAATACTAATCAAATTATTAATTACTTCTATTTCTCCCATGCGTGACATTATCGTCTTCTCTGGGTCGTCCAATCCGGAGCTCACAGATCGGATCTGCCGCAATCTTGGCCTGCCACCTGGCAAGGTTGAGCTCAAGAAGTTTGCCAATGGCGAAACGTCGGTGCACTTCGGCGACTCCGTGCGAGAGAAGGACGTTTTCATTGTCCAGTCGGGCGCAGGCCACGTTAACGACCTGTTTATGCAGCTGCTGATCATGATCTCTGCGTGCAAGATGGCCTCTGCTAAAAAGATCACCGTCGTGTGTCCGCTCTTCTTCTACTCGCGCCAGGTCGAGTCCCAGGCCAGCAAACGGGGTGTTCCAAGAGGAGCCCAGCACAGAGGGTCTAAAGTGCCCGACAGCGTGCCGCAGTCCCCGAAACTGCCGTCGCGGGCCAACGTTCGTGACCCGAGCCCGAAAAGCGTGCTCAGTCAGCGCGCCGTGAGCACCCACTCGTCGCTCAAGACTCTGCACACCAACGAGGCCTCGATCGCCAATCCGACGGGGTATCGGTCCTGGATCGCCCAGAGCGGCACCTTGATTGCAAACCTGCTCACCTCCGCGGGAGCTAACCATATCATCACCATGGACCTGCACGACGCCCAGTTTCAGGGCTTTTTCGACATCCCCGTGGACAATTTGCTGTCCAAGCCGTTATTCCAGCACTATATTACAAACTACGTGCCAAACTACAAAGACTGCGTGATAGTGTCGCCGGACGCTGGTGGAGCGAAGCGCGCGGCCGCCCTAGCGGACACGCTGTGCATGCCGTTCGCCCTGATCCACAAAGAGCGCCGTCAGAAGGTCGACACCGCGCAGGCGCAATCGGAGCTGATGGTGCACTCCAACCCGTCCACATCGAGTTTGAACAGCGTCAGTTTTGCCACGCCCGGGTTTCCGGGTCGCCGCTCACCCTCCAGCGCATCCAATGGCCAGCCTGCGGCTGACCAGCAGTACGTCGCCACGACGATGCTCGTCGGAGACGTCCAGGACAAAGTCTGTGTGGTGGTCGACGACCTGGCAGACACTTGCAACACAATCACGCGCGCGGCCAGTCTGCTCAAGGATCAGGGCGCCAAATACGTGTATGCACTGATCACGCACGGCATCTTCAGCGGAGACGCGATGCGCAAGCTCAAAGAATCCCAAATTGACAAAATCATCACCACCAACTCGGTGGACCAGGCCGCACACGTGGCCGAGTTGGACGCCAAAGAGATGGTCATTCTGGACGTGTCAAGGATCTTGTCCGAGGCGATCCGCAGAATAAATAATGGAGAGTCCGTGTCGATGCTGTACGACCACGGGTGGTGAATCAGCCCATCTTCTTGGCCATCTCGCTCTGTTTTCTGCGCTCGGCCTCAATTCTCTCGAGGTCCTTCTCTGTAATTAGATGATGTGTATGGTCGCCCTTGATAGAGCTGTGACACCAGTCAATTCCGTTGAAAAAGGCATCGTTTTGTAGCCCGTCCATGGTGATCCGTTTGTCGACCGCCACCATGAGCATGGCGCCAATGAGCGGCCGCGAGGCCGCCGGCAGCAGTTTCAAAAGTCGGCCAGAGCCCGACGAAGCCTTGCCCTCGTCGCCTGGCTCGCCAATAAACGCCCGAAACGAGGAGTCTGTCGTCTTTGGAATCTTCCACGGGAACCGTCTCAAAACCATGCAGCAAAACATAATGGCCAACGACCACACGTCGGCCGGCCGCGGGTCGTACGAGCCCATCGACAGACACTCCGGAGCCAGGTATGGATCTGACCCGACAACGCCCCGAACCGGGATGATATTCTGGTCCGGGTCGCTGTCGGGCATTCTGAACCTTGAGGCCGAGCCAAAGTCAACCAGCTTCAAGATCCCCTCCTCGTTCACCACGCAGTTGTCTAGCTTCAAGTCGCGATGCGCAATTCCCTGGCTGTGAAGATAGAGCACGCCTTCGGCCATCTGCTTGAAATAGCAATATATCTCGTCTTTCAACATCACTCCACCCATCACAATTGTAAAGAAGTCATACGCGCAATACTCCATCACCATCACGTACAGCGTGTGCTCGTTGAGCAGCTCATAAACACGGATAATGTTCTCGTGATCCAGGTCCACGAGCAGGTTGTACTCGTTGATCACTTTTTTTCGGTACTCGTAGTCCGACTCGCGCGACGTCCGCGGCCGGAATTTCTTGATCGCAAACACCTGGCCGTCCGAAGGCCGGCGCACGATCAGGACCGAGCCGCCCGCTCCTTCGCCCAGCACGCTTTTCTCGACGGCAGCGTCCGGAATCTCACCATAGTGGGCAACCAGCTTGCGCACGGCCCCCTCATGATGTCCGTCCGGCTGGGGCGGCAATAACGGCTCCGCCCTCGGCTGTTCCTTGTGGTGATGGTGGTGGTTGCCGATTTTGAGCTTGTTGAGCTTGTGCTGGATCACCTGCTGCAAGTGTTCCTGCTGCTCCTTGGCCTTGGCCGAGCGCTGGATCGGTTTCAGGAACCGCTTGAGCGACAGGTGCCGCACCGACGACGAATCGGTGCTCTCCGCGGTAGAGGCATTGCTGCTCTTGCTCACTCGTGGCGTGAGGTTGGACGAGGTTGGCGTCAGCACCGATGGAGTGTTGTTCATGGACGCTCCGCGGCTCGGAATTTTCGGGCTCGACCGATCAGAGCCCTTCCGGAAAAGCTTCGCCAGCACATGGCTTCCGTTGCCCGTTCCAACGTTGCTGGAGTGCGACTGGAGCGAGGACGACGATTCGTTGCGTCTCATGCTTACATTCGAGACCGCGACCTGGTTCTGAGGCAGGTCCGTCGGTTTCGGCATGGTTTTGGGCGTTCTATACGGACTTTGCGAAAGAAGCAACGGGACAAAACAATGAGAAGCGTTATGAGGAAAATTATAAAAAATATAGAAAACCTGGCGCCGATCGACGCGTCGAGGCTAGCCCCAGTCCCAGAACCGTTTCGAGTCTCGGCGAGGCGTGGAGCCGTTCTCCGTCTTCAAAAACGGCACCTTCTCGCTGCTGGCCGGGTCGCCCGAGTCGTTTTCGTCGCCAATGTCCATCGCGTCGCTCACCGCGCTCTCGCCAATAACAGTCTTGCTGACTCCGCGCACGCTCACGACGTTCTCGATGATCCCGCTGTTGCTCCTGGTGGAGTGACTTGACGCCATCGGCAGGTTGACAGTCTGCTCGGTATCTTCCGAGGCTGCCGACGGCAGTGGCGACGTTTGCTGCTGGACGTCCGACAAGTCGACCGACGACCGCTTGCTCTTCTGGCTCGGAATGGTGAACCGCTTCTGCACGACCTTCTGCTGTGTGAGCGAGACTTTGCGCACTACCGGCTTGTGGTGGCCTTCGGCAGACACATCGCGGTTTTCCTCGGCAGACCCGTAGTTCGGCGGCGGATCCAGCTGCGGCTGCTTTTTGATCGTCACGTGAGCGTTGTTCGTCTGCAGCGGGTTGACGGCTAGGTTCGACGGCTTGATGCCGTTGGCGATCGTCGAGTTGATCTGTGTGTTGTGTGCTGGCTCGCCCGCCGGCGACTTGACTCTCAGCGTGCTGTTCTCGCGCGCGGTCAGGGTGTCCTGGCTATCGCGCTTCGGGTAGTAAGCGGGCGCCGGAGGAGACGACTGCCTGGTCGGCGAGCTCTGTGCGCTGGCTCTCGACGTGTACAGGCTGTGCAAGTACGACGAGACGTTTTTCTTGGCCAGCGGGCCGGGGATGCTGCGTCGGATGTTTTTGTTCACGTCGACGTAGACGTCGCTTTCGTCGACGATCTCCTCGCCAATCAGCTCCTCGATCACGTCCTCCAGCGTCAGAACCCCCACGGCGCCCGTGTCCATGCCGGGCGTCGTGCTTACAATCACCATGTGCGACTTTCCTTCCTGGAAGTAGTTCAAAATATTCAGACACGAGGTGTCCAACGACGTCTCCGGCAGCGTGGCCAGCGGGAACGACGAAACGGGCAGCGCGTCCTCCGGGTCGTAGCTGATCAGAATCCGCACCAGCAGCATGCCAACGAAGTTGGTTGGCTCGCCAGGCAGATGGATCGGGATCCGCGAGAACCCGGCGTTGAAAATCTCCTCCACCACCTCCTCGTCCAGAATGCGGTCCGAGGGCAGCGTATACACCTTGTCGATCGGGGTCATGATCGCACACACCGGCTTCTCCTTCAGGTCCAGCACTGCGCTGATGATGGTGACCTCGTCCTGGTTGAGCCGCTCGACGCCCATGGTCTTGTGCAGCGTGACAAGCGTCTTGAGACCGGACTTGCGGTACGCGGTGCCGTGGTCCTGGCCCAGAATGTAGTCCAGCAGCAGCGCAATCGGGTACGCCACCGGGTACATCAGGTACATCAGCACGAGCACGAAGGGCGCAAAGTACGCTCCAAGCTGCAGGCCGTAGCGGACACACACGGACTGCGGGATGATCTCGCCGAAAATCACGATCGACGCGGTGGCAGAGAAAACGGCCGCAAACCCGCCGCCCAGAAACCGGTCAAGCATCACCGGCAGCGTCTCGTTGGTGATCACGTTGGACAGCAGCAGCGTCACAAGCACCCAGTGCTTGCCGCGGCCAATCAGCTTCAGCACCTCGTGCGCCCACTTGCGCTCGTTAGGCGTCCCGCTATCGGCGATCACCTTTAGGTACAGCTCGTCCTGGCCCATGAGCCCCAGCGTGAGGCCGGCAAAAACGCCGCCGAGCAGAACCAACGAGATCGACGCAGCCATGTACATGTAGAACTCGCCATCAGACAGCGGCTCGTGGTGTTTGCCGGCCGTGTGGACGATTCCTCTGGCCACTAGCCCCTTCACGGGAAGCGGCAGGGCGTTGGAGAGATTGGGCAGCAACGATACAAGGGCCAGGAGGCTCTTGTACAGATGGTGCGTCGGGGGAAGCTTGCTGGTGTGCGATCGCGGAAGATGTTTGGACATGCAGTGCGCAAAGAATAAATAACACCTGCTAGCGAATCAAAATAATGTCTCTTTTTTGCACATATTAGGATTAGTACACGGTATTATTTCTGCGCCACATGGCCCGTGGCGAATTTTATTCTTATTTGCTTAAATACAGTTTCAGCTTCCCTACAAGCAAAAATAAGCTCTCCGTCCTCACTGCTGCTTGCACTCAGCCGGCTGCTGCGCCTTGGCAGTGCCGGCCTGGCCGGAGCTCTCTTCCTCCGAGTCGTCGTCTGCGTCGGTCTCGTCCGCCTCGGAGTCCTCCTCGTCCTCCTCGTAGTCCTCTTCGTATTCCTCCTCCTCGCCGTCGTCGTACTCATACTCCAACGCCTGTCCCGTGAACCAGTCAATCGCTCTAGGAAGCAGCTTGTCCTTGAACAGCTCGCCGATCTCGTAGTCCAGCTGCAGGCGCTGCTCGAGGTCCTCCTCCTCTTGCTCTTCCTCCTCGTCCTCGTCTTGGTCTTCGTCCTCCTTTTTGCTCTTTGGCGGCTGTGGCGGGTTGAAGAAGTTGAAGAACGAGTCCACGGCCGTCAGCTTCTCGATCGTCCTCACCTGTTTCGTGTGCTTGTTTCTCTGTTTCCGCTTCTCCACCGTGATCGTGAGGTTGTGGTCGTTGTCCTTCCATTTGATGTCGCAGCCCTCCGCGTGGTCGTACACAAAGTCCCGCGAGTAGCCGAGCTCCTTCTGGTAGTAGTATGTCTTGACAAGCTCCCTGTTGGTGAAGTAGTCGTTCTCCTCAAACTCGAACACCAGCCTGAACCCGAGAGCGTCGAAATACTCCAGTCTTATGTCGATCAGGTGGTTCAAGGCCTCCGAGTCGCGGTCCGTGATCAGCTCGGCGATCGGACCCAGGTTCTCCATGGCTGTGAGCCAGAAACTTGGCACGCCCTTGACGTCCTTCAGACTCTCGTCGATCTCCGTCTTGGTCTCGTCGGCATCGTCCTCCTCGTCCTCTTCCTCGCCCATCAGCGCCTGGCCCTCCTCGATCTCCTCCGGAGCAGGCTCGACGAGGCCCGTGACGAGCTTCTTTCTCTTTTCGAATATCGGCCGGTGCTTCTCGTGGTACTTTTTCTCGAGGTTCAACAGCTCCATCTGAAATTCCGCTTCCAGCTTGAACTGTTTCTGTTGCAAGGCCTTCAGCCCATACAGCCGGTTTTTGATCTTCGGAGGAAGTGCCTTCACGTAGCCCGAGTCCGTGCCGACCAGCGTGTTCAGCTTGCCCTCGATCATAGACAGGATGGCAGGGTTGGCCAGCAGCTTCTTGCGCAACTCGTCGTCCTCCTTGATCGTGGATGGGATTGTAGGCAAAGGTGCGTTTTTCAGGTATGATCCACTCACAGAGGCCGGCGTGTTGTGCGGGGTAGGTGCCTGGGCGATGTTGCCCTTCTTGATAGGCTCAGACATCGCTTTCTAATCTGTAACGGTTTGCTTGCTGTATAGGCGAACTCGACTGTTTTTCGACTCTTCTTTCTCTGGAAAAACGGTACGGCGACTAGTCCTACAGGGATCTCTGAAACGCGTCTGTGTCCTTTTATCGCTAGTCGGTGCTTCTATGTTATCACACCGGGTACAACTGATTTAACACTCCACTTGACAATTTTTTTTTGCGTGGCCAAAATTGCGCCTTCTAAAGAAAGATTCTCGCGGTGTTAAGAGGTGTTCTGTATAAAAAAAAAGTGCCCAGATCTGGCCTGCTACCACGCGCTGCCTAGTACACAACCTCGCACCAGCTCCCTGCTGTCTGCTCCAGAAGGTGCTCAAGCACCCGGCCCCGCTGGAACTGCGCACTCGGGTCCAGATGTGTGTCGAACCGCTCGTTCAGCAGTCTATACGCCTGCCGAAACTCGGCCGCCAGATCCTCTTCCTGCTGCTGCTCCATGCAGTGTGCTATCGTGCGCACCGTCTGTCTGTGCACGACGCGGCCGTGCAAAGCCAGCTCTGTGATCTCCAACAGGAACAGCGAGTCGGGCGCTCTGCGGCCAACTTTCAGTAACTGCTGCATCAGATACATGTTGGGCGCAGCGTTGTGGTTCACGAGGTCCTTCAGTATCCGGCGCTGTAGCCTCGTCATCGCGGATTTTGAGTCCACGTCCCATCCGGCCATATTTCGCGCGGACAACGAGTAGTTCAGCATGCGTCCCATAAACGTGGGAGACGCGTCGTACTGCTGCTTGTATATCCCGTACACGGAGTCAAGCGTGACTATGCCTTTCAAGGAGTCCAGCAGCTTGACAAACTCGCCGAGACCCAGCTTCAGTCCCGACTGGTGCATGTCGTGCAAAAAGTGTACTCCAAAAGTGTCTTTGCGCAAAGCACGCGGACAGCCGCACAGATACCCTATGAAGACCTCCAGGTCCTGCGTTTGCATGTACAACGGCGCTGGCCGGGGCAGCGCGAAGTACGCCTTCTGCAGCCGCGAAATGCCGACCTTGTCCCTTCGCAGCTCTTTGAAGAACTTCAGATACGCCGGCGACGAGAGCGGGTCGACGGCCAGAGCATTGTTCAGCTTCGCCTCGTACCTCTGTCTGCGCGCATTGTAGTATTCGTGGCTCACCATTGAGAAGTCTGTACCAGACACATCTGCACGATCAGGTGGTCTCTCGAACTGGGTCAGATACCGGTCTGTCGCTCTTTCAAAAGTGTAGGGTTTTTCGGAGACGGGTCTACTGAGCATCAGCTGCTTGAGATCGCCGTACGGCACCGATTTGCGCAAAAGCTCGTCCAGCCGCTTCCTGATCCGCAGCCGCGCCCCAGCCGTTTCGACCGCGGCATTTGACGGCCCATTGAGCCACGACAGTTTCACCTGTCGCATCTGCGACACGCTGCGCAAAGGCTGCGGTGACAGCGTCCGCCGTAGACGCTGCAAGCGCAACGGACTCGACAGCATCGAAACAGCTCTATGCGGGGAAATAAATCGTATATTTTTTTTCGCGTCCGGTGTACGGATGCCCCCGTCACATGCGGACCTCGTAGCTTTTCGCTCTGGACAGGTATGTGACGCTCTTGACTGTGGCATAGTTCATGGTGGGCTCGTGCACTTTGAAGAACTGGACTTTGTGGCCTCCCACAGAATACGAGTCGATCGAGAAGCTGAGCGAGATCGGCGGTTTTGCAGCCACAGCGTCGGCAGCGCTGTTGGGCACGGCAAACTGCAGTCTGTGCTTCTGGCCGCCGTTCATCTTCTTGATGCTCCATTGCACCACGTTTTCCTCTTCGACAAGTCGGCACTTGCCTATTTCCGTGTTTGCCCGCAGTTTCGACGTTCCCGGCGGCACAGGGATCCGGAGAACAACGTTGGTGGCAGCGACGGTTGACGGATATGCAGACTCCAAGTCGACCGTGTACGACGACTCGGAGTCGCCGCTGTAGGCTTCTCTTGTGGTGAAGACGCTGAACGGTGGGTTCTCCACGTCTGTGCGGTAGCTCAGCAGCTCAAACTTGCCGTCAGGAGGAACAAACTTAATAATTCTGTGCTCGTCGAAGTCTTTGAGGCTGACGCACTGGTGGAACGTGCAGTCGCTGGATTTGAGTTCCTCGTACGCGTCGCCCTGGTTTTCGTGGACGAGGCCAAAAAGACACGTTGGCACCCCGGAGAGCCGGCAGTCCATCAAGATACGGCCCTCGACAAACGACCGCAGCACAAAGCCGTTGGCCGTGGTGAGCAGGTTGAAGTCCTCGATGACGTCGATCTGGACCGAGTTTTTCTTGTATTTGGGGGCCTGCGGCCGCCAGGGGTGCGGAGCGGCGGCGGCATCGAGCGGAGCGTTGATGATCTGCGGGAGTTTGCCCGCGGACTTGCGTCTGATGGTGCCTGCTTTGGCTAGCAGGCCCGAGGCGGTGTGGTTTTTAAATCTGCCGGTTTCGGCGACCGGCGCGGACAGGTACGGCCGCAATGTGGACAGGTCCATGTTGGAGACATGGCCGGACTCTATGGACTCGTCCAGGACCTCGTAAACGAGCGGAAAGTTGGCCTTGACGTCGTCCTCGGTCACGTTGTCCAGCTCGAAAAGCCGTTTCAGCAGGTCCACAAAGCGGTGCAGGTACTCGAGAACAACGGAAGCGTCCACGTTGGAGCGCGTGACGGCGACAATCCACAGCGCACCGTGACGGATGTGCAGAAACGAGGTGGAGCCCAGGGTCAGCACGGGGGACTTGATATCGGAGCATTTGGAGATGACCTGGATGCGGAACACCTCGCAGACGTTGCGGCGGACGCCGTCGCGGAACAGCCGCGAGATCAGCACCTCGCCCTTGCCGTTGTACACAAAGAATGCGGTGATCATGGTAAGTACATCCGTGCACCTGGAAAGGAGAGCGCACTAAAGTAAAAATATACTGGTTTGAGCTGCGAGCCAGATCGGGCACCCTCGCACCCGGCACCAGAGAATAAATGTGTTTTTTCTGGAAAATGAGCTGCAATCGGCCATGGCACGGGGCAACCAGAGAGAGCTCGCAAGACAGAAGAACCTGAAGAAGCAGCAGGAGCAGGCAAAGGGGCGCAAGAAGGAGGGCGATCCGAAGAAGCGGATGGAGCGCGACGCGGAGATTCTGCGCGCGAAGCAGAAGGCGGCCGAGGAGCGCAGACAGGCCGAGGCCGCGAAAAAATAGAGGAAATGCTCACTACGTAGACCCAATAGACGAGTTGTTTTCTATTTAGCTTCGATCTCGAACTGCTGTGTGGCCTGGGCGGTTTTCTCCACGTCGTAGAGGAACTCGAAGTAGGACTTGTGGAAGTGGTGCAGACGCACGAAACCGTCTTCTCCTCCAGATGCGTAGCACGTTCCTTTAGGATGCACAGCCACGTAGTTCAGCGGGCCGAAGTGGCCCTTTACACGGCCTATTTCCTCCTCGAATATCTTGTGGTAGAATCTCGACTCGAACTTACCCTCCGACAGCGACGTCGTGGTGACCTCTCTGGCGTCCTGACCTCCTCCCAGAATCACAAACTCCTTGACCGGCGTGATGCATGCGGAGTTCATCGGCACGTCCGCAGTGTACCGCTTCAGCAGCGACAGACGGTCAACGTCGTACAGACACGCGGTCTTGTCCTTCGACGAGACGATGAAGTACGTCCTGTCGGGCGAGAACTGCAGGTCCGTCAGCAGCATCTCCTGGTTTCTCGTGCTGCCTAGCAGCTCGCCCGTCTTGGCGTCGTACTTGCTCACTTTTCCGTCCGCATGGGCAGCCAGAATGTAGAATGCTCCGTACGACCAGCCGGCCACGGTAAACCGCGAGGCAGGACCGTCCTCGTTCACGATTTCCAGCTTCGGAGTGGATGGTTGCGCGTTCTGTGTGTGATCGATGTCGAAAATCTTGATTTTACCCGTCTGGCCCATCACCTGGTCGGTAACCATCAACACCTGGCTCCCGTCCGGGCTGAACTCGACCCTTTTAACCGGCGACTCCAGCGTCCATGTGTGAATACACTGCCCGTTCTCCGCCTTCCACAGCTTGGCAGTAAAGTCGGCGCTGCCAGTCACAGCGTAGTCTGTCTCGGGATCGATGTCGATCGACCAGATGGTACCGTTGTGTCCAACAAAAGTCCCCAGTCTCTCTCCGTTCGACGAGTACCAGACGGACGCCTCCTTACCTTTCGAAACGGAGAAAAGAAGGTCTCCCTCCCTGTTGAACTTCACTTGGGTCAACGAACGGTCGTGACCCTTTAACATCAGAGGTCTCATCATGGTTGGTGAAATATTTATTTTCCTGAAATTTTTTACCCACTAATGAAAAGGTCGTGCGTGCGCAATCTACTTCTGCGTAGCATCTCGTCTGGCCCTCTGCAGCGTCCCCAGCACCTGCCAAGCCTCAGCCGATGTCTCGTCGACGTCTGTGTGTCCCCAAATTACCATCGTTTTTCTGCTCGCGCACAAGTCCCGTGTTTGGGCAGAGATGCTGCCCCCGTCCACGGCAGCGCAGATGACGCTGGCCGCGAGCCTCTTTTTCGTGTTGGCGTTGCAACTTGTCACCTTGAGTTCTCGCTGAGCCACGTGGCTGGCGGTGGCCTCCGAAATCTCAATCTGCCAGTTCTCGTATCGCTGTGTGTTCCTTCGTTTCTCCAAATGCCCCTGAATGATCCCAAAATAGTCCCTTTGCGCGTGGACCAGAAGAATCACACAGCTAACTCCCATCAGCGCTGACTCAACAAACACGCAGACCCGGTCCTCCACATAGTCGGTCACACAGCCGGTCAATTCGTTCGGTATCTGCGCTTGTGGCTCCACCATAACGCGGAGCTTGCCTTGGTGCTCCATTATCTCGTCTTCGATCTTCAGACGCGTGAGTCTCTCGCTGTTCAGCTTTTCCTGAATCACAGAGTACTCCGCTTGGGCAGTTGTGTAGTCCGTCTCGATGAAAAGCTCCACTCTCGCGCTCACCGCTTTCAACTTCGAGACCAGCTCGTTTTTCTGCGTCTCCAGCTCCAGCATCTGCTCGTCCAGCGTTCCTTTGTAGTTTTTCATACTGTCAATATCAGACCTGTGCTGCTCAATTGTGGAGTCCAATTGTTTCAACAACTCCTCTTTTTTCGACAATTCATCATTGGCTCGCTCCAGATCAGATCTCAGTTCAAGAACCACACGCCGCGGCTCACTTAGATCCTGCTCCTTCCGTTTATTCTTCTCTCTTATTTCAGCGTCCACCTCCGACACCACATCGCTGAGTTTGCGCTTGTTATCTGCCTGCAACCGTCGCAACTCCTCCTCGAGCTCCGTATTCTGTACCTCTAATTTCCGAAGCTCCTGTGCCCGCACACGGTCCTCCTCCTCGTCCTGTAGTGTGGCCTGCATCATCTCGTGTATCTGTCGCTCTACTTCTCGCACTTTTTCGCGCGACGTCTCGTCGAGCTCCTTTTTTTTCACTTCCAAAATTCTCTTGTTGTGTCGCACCTCGTTGTCTATGCTTTTGTTCTTTATCACGAGAGTTTTATCAAGATTTTCGTAATTCGCCTTTAGATCGCTTATCAGGCTCTGTATCTTGCGCTTCTCGCGGATGATCTGGTTCTTCTCGTTTGTAAGCTCCTGCATCTGGGCCATCACGACATTGATCTTCTGTATAAGCTGTGTGGTTTGCTGTTTCTCCAGAATCAGATCCTGATCAACATATGCCTCCAGGATATCAATGTATTCTTTGGGCGTTCTGTACTCAGCGGGAATAGGCTCCACTCTGGCTGAGGACGGCATGGGAAGCATGCTTCTTGAACTGTTCCCTCCACTAGTCTGTCGCAGCGACCCCGAGGGTGTCACGTTTCGTCGCGGAATAAGAGACTTGCGACGACTGCTAACGTATCCGTTGCTCATTATGAAGGAAAAACCTGGCCAACAAGATAAATCAGCTGTACTTTCTTCTTGTTATGTATCAATATTTATTATTTACATTTTATGCGAGGCTGTGGAGGCTGGTGATGATCCAACTAAAATCTATTCAGCACTAATAGCTTCAAAGAGCAATACGAAGCGAAAACACATTACATCCCAGACGTGATCCTTCTCGGAGCAGAGACTTTTCTCACGCCAACGTTGCCTATCACTTTCTCGTTGGAGCTTGACAGGCGAGAACCGCCTCCTCTTACCTTTCCATCCTTGGATCCTAAAGAGGCTCTCTGCTTAGATATAGTCAGAATACCCGACTCGTTGGATGCCGAATGCGTAGGAGATGACGAGATTGTAGTGGTCGTGGTGGTAGTCGTGGAGACGCGGCGGAAATAAGGAGACCCTTGCGGACTGGTTTTTTTCGTCTTTTCAGAGATCTCGTACTCAGAACCGTAATATTCCTCGTCCTGTCTCGTACTCTTGCGCTGCGGACTGGAGAGTTCATGCGCAATAGACTCGTACGTAGCCTCCTCGTCGGAGTTGGCGTACGGATGGTTCTCCTTCGTGGAAGAGCGGTACTTACGAGGCTGCCCGGGGCTATCCATGGGAACAGCCTTCTGAGCGATCTTGAGCGTTCCAGAGACTTTCCGTCTGCGAACAGGCGTCATCACGTGGCGGCGCAACTCTGTGTCAACCACAAGAGCCTGCCTTTCCTCGATAACTGTGTACGAGACCAAAGAATGCAGGCCTCCAATGGCTTCATCTGGCTGGTCGTCGAGCACCATGGTGTACCGCCAGTCTCTGAACTGGTTCTGGTGTAGATACAGCCAGTGCTGCTGGGGCCCAACAACCATTCCCGGTCTGATCATTCTCATGTATGCGATACACTCGTTAGCTGTGAAACCGTGTGTGTAGATCAAATGTGCGCCGATCAGACACCCTGTTCTGCCCAGGCCGGCCTTGCAGTGAACGGCAATCTTGCCTCCTTTCTGGATCACGGTTTCTGCTGCTCCAATAAATTTCTGCACGTACTCCATCGTAGGACAGGTTCCGTCCTCGAAGATCATGTCGATGTGTTTTATACCTCTCTTTTCAAACTCGTTCTTATCGTACAGATGAGAGTTCAGTCTCACCACGAGCTGGACGTTGTTGTTGACGAAGTATTCCAACACCTTGCGGAAAGGCTCGTTGAGAGGAGCTCCTGGTCGAGACTGCTTGGGCGATGCAAATGCGATGAAGTCTTTGGATATGACGTTGAAGTCTCCCTGGTCCACTCTCTCATACTGCTCGTACTCTTCCAAATTGAAGGAGGTGATGTCGAGCATGCCGCGCTCCTTGGCCCGCCAGACCCCGTACACCACGTCCTGGATGGTGAGCTCGAAGTCGGCATTGGAGTAGCCAGCGTCTCTAAAGCCGCAGAACGGAGGTTCCTGCTGGGCTATTGGCTGGAGCACCTGGTGCGGCGACCAGTTCTGGACAAGCACCATGTAGCAACACAGGAGACAAGCGGCATTAGTTCTTTGTTTTGCGCCGGTGGAGGAGTAGAACACAACGGCCTTACTTTTGTTGGCACTGTCGTTCAGAATGTTGTGCAAAGTCACAGCGAACCTATACAGATGGCCCAGATGCAAAGGGCCAAAGTCCAGGTGGAACGCGTTGTACGGCAGAGCGTCCTCGACGGTGAAGAATACGAGGTCATCTGTGTTCTGAGGATGGTAGTCGTAGCTGCCGAGATACACTCTGCCTTTGAGAAATTCTATAGCATCGATGGCAATTTTGCGTGCCATGTTCGTATAATGCAAATGGGGCTAGTAATGGCGGGTCTTGTGACCGAAGGGAGGAAGAAACTTTTATTTATTGTAAACAGGGGCGGTGTTTATTTTTTGCTACATGAGGAATCGCCGGTCTTGTCGACTGCAAATAATTTAGGGCCGCTGTCGGCGCATGGCGTCTGTGTCGACGGTTTCTCCGGGATTTATTTGATTTAATTTCAGCGAGTTATTTATTATGTCACTTCGCTCGTTTGGCTCGTTCGGCCAGTCCCACGGACTCGGCACTAATGGCTACGAGGTCTCGCTCAACTACATCACGGGCGTGCCCGACCCGAATCTGCTCTCTTCCGCAAACCTGAAGCTCGTGTTCAAGGCCCTTCTGAAGAGAGACGATACGACAAGAGAAAAGGCCGTTGGCGATCTGTACTCGATCGTCGACTCCAACGGCGCCGAGCTCCGGGACGAGCTCGTGCTCATGTCGTGGTGCCAGCTGTACGCAAAGCTCTCAACGGACACTTCGAAGAAGGTTAGACTCACCGCGCACCAGATCCAGTCGAAGCTGGTGGCGCTTCTCGGCAAGAAATACTTCAAGTATCTGCGCGACACTGTGGGGATCTGGATGAGCGGGTGTTTTGAGAACGACCGTGTTGTTTCCAAGGGCACCGTAGCGTCTATTTCCGCTGCCTTCGGAGACTCTCCAGAGAAAACCAGCAATCTGTGGAAAATCTTTGCCCAACAGTTGCTTACCTACTGCCACCAGCTGCTGCTTTTCGAGACCATAGACACGCTTTCCGACGAGAGGTTTGTCGGCAAGGAAGAGAGCGAGATCAAGTATCTGCGCACGGTGCACGCCGGGGTGCAGATGCTGATCAGTCTGGTCACCAGACAGAACAACGGCGAGGTACAGCTCGACGAGACGCTTCTATCTGAGCTGCTTGAGTCCGACCAGTTCGTCTCGCTTTTCGAGTCCAAAGACCTCCAGATCAAAAGGGGCATGTACACGCTGCTCCAGCGACTGCTGCAGACAGAGCTGGACGACGCGCTGTTCAAACACCTTGCCAAGGCTGCGATTAAGGGCCTCAATCTGGAGAAAAAAAATTCGGCTCTCTACTCCGGCATAATAATTCCTGTGCTCGAGGCCCTTGTCGCGCTCCTCAAAAAAGACTCCCAGACGGTCGTTCGCATCAGAAAAGCCACCCAGCGTATTCTTGATCTGCTGCGGCTGGGCTCTCTGAGCTCAGATCCGCACTACTACTCGGTGGTGGCCACGTTGCTGCCGCTGCTGCCCCAGGACGACCCAATCCAAAACTCGTTACTGGAAATCCTGGAGAACGACATCAAATCCGAGAAACTCTCTGCCTTTGCTCAGCACGCCTGGACCTGCTACCTAGGCTACTGCGAAAGAGTCTCGTGTGGTGTCGACCGCGTTCTCAAGGTGCTGGTCCCGGCGCTGGATTCGCGCAAACTCCCCGCCAACGTGATCTCTGGGATGGCCGGCGCCGCGAGCATTGCCGACGACAACGGCGACGTGCTGCTGGACCTCAACTCAGAGATCCTCAACGCTCTGCCGGGCCGGGCCATCGAGTTTGTGGACCTCGGTCTGGTCGTGAAAAACGAGGCTGTGCTCGTCGACAACTATGTTCGCCTGCTGCTCCACGTCGGCTCCGATCTGCTCGACGAGCTGGTCTCCAACGCGGTTGAGTCGCTCACAGATCTGCAGGACGAGTACGTGCCGCCCTCGCTGGCAATTTGCGTCGTTGAGAGCGTTGTGCGGCTGAACTGTGTGCAGTTCCGCGCTCAGATCGAGTCGTTCGTCGGCGACGCGTCGAAAGTCGTCGCGCCGCAGTTCCTCGAGCCTGTCTTTGCCCTGCTGGTGGACATAGCGAAGTCCAAGCTCAACGTGGATATTTACGACGCCGTCAACGACGTCGCTGACAAGCTCGGCAGCGACGAAATGGAGCTGTTTTTGAGGTACCTCGCCGACATTCCCGGCTTCGATCCTGCGAGATGCGGCAGGGTGAGCACCTACATCCACCAAAAATCCGACTCCGCCGCACCCGACGCGGACGACTACGTGTTCCAGTTCCTCACTCCAGACGTGCTCCGGAACATGTTTAGAAAGCTCTCTGAGGCAGACACAGAGGTTTTCCTGCAAAAGTGCAACCGGCACTACCAGAACGACGTTTTTCTTGCGTTTGCAGACGAAAAGTTCCTGGCCGCGCTCTGGAAACGTCTGGGCAGTGCCGAGACCGACTCGTTACTGGACAAGCTGGAGCAGAACCTTGACGACCCGCGGTTTGAGCAGCTGTACATCTCGTCGCTCGAGAAGGGCGTCGTCGAGGCCGACAGAACGGCGCTTCTGGAGAGACTTGCAACCAAGCCCCAGATCGTCTCGAAAGTGCTCCCGGAAAATGTGGTGGACGAGCTGGCCGAGCTGGCCGAGAACGTTGACCACCGGCTCGCCGTCTCAAACAAGCTGGGACTGGGAGTATATTTATTTCCGCCAGGTGAGCTGACTGCCGCAGACCGGTTTGCAACGTACCTGGAGAAGATCGAATTTTATTTTGAGCTGGCTTCCAAAACAGGCGTTTTGAGCGGCGACCTGGCTTTCCAGCTGGCTCTTGTCGGCGAGGCTGCCCTGGACTACGTGTTCCTGGGCCTTTTGGAGGACGAAAACGAAGCTCTCGACTTCCACCTGCGCCTTTCTGCCGAGCTGAAGTTCGGTGCCAGTCTTTTCGAGCAGTTCGTCAAGGACGACCTTTCTGGCGTTCTGAGACATCTTCGGTCCTCTGCTGCTGTGCGCTTCTACGCTGCGCGTGTTCTGGTTACGGTATTCACGAAACTGTTCGAAACGATGCAGTCGTCGGTATTCAACAGCTACAATTTGACTAGAGTGTCCGACCCCGTGAAACTGGCCATCCTAGCCACCAGTGCCAACAGATTCCTCGCCGCCGCCGCATTCGACCGCGTGCGCAACCAGGCGTGTGCCGACCTTTTGCGCATTCGCGGACAAACCATCACCTCCGACGGTCTGCAGGGACTAGTCCTGCTGAACATGCTGATAGACCTCGATCTGGACTATGTTGGGGAAAACGTCCAGCTCTTCCCTGCGCAGAGATTCGGTATGATGCTGAACGGACTCGCCAGCTGGCCAGAGTCGGAGGACGCGTATGAGCCGTCGTTTGTGCCGGTCAGAGTCGCACTGTGTCAATTTGCTGAAATCTACATCAAAAAAATATACCACGTCTGCGACACCAACTACCCGTCGGATTTCGGCGAGAAGGTGTTTGCGCTGGGAGCCACGCTGTGCTCCGAGTCGTTTAGCATCCTCAGCTCGGGAGACGCTGATCCCACCCTGGCATACTTTTCACTCAAGTTGTTAGGCGTGCTTCACGAGCACCAGGCTGATTGGGACGAGGAAGATATCTATGCAGATCTGGTGGAGCTGCTGTTTGCTCCTGCGCCCGGCCAGGCCGGCATGCTTGTGCTGTCTCTGCTGACGCGCGTTTTCAGCGACCAGGTGCCAACAACAGCTTACAAGTCGCGCTTTGACGACCTGCTCCTGCTGCTCTCGTCCTCCAACGCGCAGGTGCAGAAGCTGGCCGTTTTCCTGTTGCACAAAGTGATTCCGGAGCTGCAAGACGCGCTCGTCGTGGAGGCGACGCTGAACCAGGACGAGGAAATCAAGCTCCCGACGCCGTTGCTCGAAAACATCGTGCTGCTACCAGACGAAAGCGAAATTGCAACCAATAAGTACTTGTGGAGCTGGTACCTGATTTTCGACCACTTCAGAAACGTCACACAGAAAATCCGCCAGGACTACATCCTGGAGCTCGGCGAAGACCGCGTGGGCCAGTTCCTGGACTTCTTGTTCGACATGGACCTCAAGCCGACCGAGGACAACCGCCGCGCGCTGGTGGAGTACTCCGTCGTCGACAGCGATGGCGACGACCTGCTGTACCATCTGATGTATCTGTTCTGCAAGCACATTGGCGGGAACACTGCGCAGACGTGGTTCCAGTCGATCAGGAACAAGCAGCACAAGTCGCAGGTCGAGACGTTTATTGTCAAGAACGTGAGTCCGCTGCTGATTGACGAGACGTTGGCGGGGCTCGAGAAAAAGGGCAGCATCGAGGACCCTGAGTTCAGTATCCGGCTGAACAGAACCACGAACGAGGTCCGCTGCGTGTACCAGATCGACGAGCAGAAGCTGGAGATGTCGATTGTGTTGCCGAAAAACTACCCGTTGTCGGCGATCAGCGTGAACGGAACAGCGAGGATCGGAGTGGACGAGAAAAAGTGGAAATCGTGGATCCTTTCGTGCCAGTACGTGATCAACTTCCAGAATGGCACAATTCTAGACGCCATCCAGCACTTCAAGAACAACGTCAAAGCCAACTTCGACAACTACGACGACTGCGCCGTGTGCTACTCGATCGTCCATGCCATCGACCATTCGACGCCAAACAAGGTGTGTCAGACGTGCAAACACAACTTCCACTCGGCCTGCTTGTACAGATGGTTCAAGAGCTCTGGCTCGTCTACGTGTCCCCTGTGTCGGTCGAAGTTCCAGTTCAAAAAACACAGCTAGTCATACAAACTGCTCCTCGAGCAGCTTCTCCATCTCGTCCACCGTGAACGGAACGTACAGAATCTCTGCGCCGGCGGAGTTTTTCGTGAGCGTGCACATCTTGTGCTCCACAAACTCTCCCAGAACCGTGCGGAAAGATATTTCGTTAGAGGTAATAAATTCCGACAGACACTGCTGGTAGAACTCCTTGAGCAGCAGACTGTACCGCGTGCTGCCCTTTGTGGCGCCTCGCTTGTCGAGATCGTCGTGTTTCACGCTCAGGTCGATTTTCTCCAGCTGCTGCAGAATCAGCAGCCGGTAGAGGTTCTTGGCGTTCGCCGTGAGCGAGCTCAAAACGTACTTGACGCCCTGTGTGCCAACAAACTTGTTGCTCTTGCCCAGCCCGAGCGGGTCCTTGAACCCGTTCTCGATTTTGTACGACTTGTATGTGGTGATGTTATGCCAGATGAAATTAAAGTTGTAATGCATGCTGGAGTTCCAGAAAATAGGCATGTTCAGGTTGTCCATGGTGCACAGAAAATGCACCTGCTCGATCGCGGCGATCTCGCTCAGAATCTGCTGCATTCTGTCCGTGCGCAGCGCCTCGCCGTCGATGTTGTTCACCAGCAGGACGCACCTAAGGCCGCTGTTCTGTGCGAAGCTCTCCTTGATGTTGGACAGTGTTTCGTGAATGTGTGGTGCTATGGGGTTCCTAACCCCGAGAACGGTCTCCTGCAGCATCGACAGCAGTGTCTTGGGACGGAAGTCGGGGTTGTACCCGTTGACGACAAGACACTTTGCGCCGGACACCGCGGGCAGAAAATGCTGCTGCAAAAATTCGAGCACTAAAAGACGTTTCGAGCCAACACCGTAGAAAACCAAGTTGAAGCCCTGCTGCAGCTCGAACGTCCATTGTGGGAACTGCAGCCGGTAGTAGTTGTTCAGATTTGCTATCTGGCGCTCACCAGACATCTCCAGGATTTTGTTGTATTTTTCATACTCCTCGTAAGTAAGCTCTGGAGCCAGCGCCATGGACGCCGTCCCGGGCTTTTTGTTTTTCAGCTTTTGCTGTTCAAAATAGCCCTCGTGGCCGTCGTAGAAAAGCGACTTCTCCTCGTCCGCGAAGTTCAGCAGCAGGTCCTCGGTCCGGTCGATGTTGGGAACTTCCATCAGCTTGACCGTGCTCATTTTTAGCGGTTTTAGATCGGCCTCCTCTAGCGGCGCAGCGGTCGGCTTCGGCGTCCTGGGCGCGCGCGGAGCGGTCTGCGCAGCTTTGCGTGGCCGCCGTACTCGCTTTGCGCCAAATTCCTCGTCGGAAACGCCGTCATCAGCGTCGTCCATAGGATCGTCCTCGTCCCCGTCCTCTGTCTCCTCAAACTCGCTGACGGACTCCTCGCCACTTTCGTGCTCGCTCTCTTCCAGCTCCAACGGCGCCAGTCCGTCCTTCTTGCTCTCGGCGATTATTCGGTCCGCCAGAGCCATCTCCTCGGCGTCGATCTCGTCCTCGTCGTCCTGCAGAGACTCCAGCTTGAGTCGCGTGGCCCGCTCCACCGCCGCTCGATTGAGCTCCGCCATCGACCGCTTCGCCGGACTGCGCAGCTTTGCCAGCCGCAGCTCCTCGTCCTCGAGCCGCTTCTTGCGCGGCGACCGCAGGCCAGCTCTTCCAGAAAACGGCGAACTCATTAAATGAATAATATTTTTGAAAAATTAAATCAGGTACAGTGGTAGCACAAAATGCGACGAGCTTTTTGGACGCACTTTTGCCGTATCAGGCGTGTCATCTGAACGCTTTCAAAAGCACTAACGGCAGAGAGTGAACCAGCACCATTTCACGCAACATGGCATATTCAATGACTGTGTAGGATCTCCCACCCTTCTCCTACTTGGCTAAATATTTAATAATAGGTAATTCTTAAATGCTGATTTTCGTCCACTTGTCAATTGTTTCACCTCCTCCAAAGCACCAGACACGGCCCAAATGTCGCCATCTGCATTAGCTGCCCCCTCGCCCCTCTCTTAGGATGCAACTGCCTTCCACCATCGCCATTCTGCTTCCTGCACCTCTGCACCACAATTCGTTATCTAGCGGCTCTAAATCTTACCCGCTAAAAAATTCGTTCCTCCAGCACTTTGATCCACTATGTCGTCCAAGTCCCCTGACGAGTCGTCGCCGCTGACTGCAGCGTCTTCCGGGCCTTTGTACACGCAGGAGCCCGAGGGAATCAAGCTTCTGCCCGCAGACACCACATTCTCCAAAGAGACTCGGTACGTGCTCGCCAACTCGATTCCGGTGCTCCTGACATTCGTGTTCCAGTATCTCTTCCAGATAATGATCCCGATCTACTTCTCGAGCAGGCTCGGGGAGACGTATCTCTCAGCGTGCTCCTTATCGCTCACTACGTTCTACGTCACCGGACCGGTGATAGTGAACGGATTTTCCACCTCCCTGGATACTTTGTGCTCAACAGCATTTGGAGCAGGCAGCTACTCGAAAATGGGCCTGTACTACCAACGCTGCACTGTGATACTGATGCTGATATTGATTCCTAGTGGCATATTCTGGTTAAATGCCGGACCTGTGATCTATATGGTCGCTCGAGACGAAAACCTGGCCCGCTTGTGTGCACAGTATCTCCGTATAATGCCGTTTGCCATTCCTGCCATTGTGACGTTTGAGTGTTCCAAAAGATACCTCCAGTCGCAGAACAAGTTTGGGGCCCCCACCAGAATAATATTCCTCGCTGTGCCCGTCAGCGTCGCACTGAACCATCTGCTGATTCCCGAAATCGGGTTTCTGGCGCCTCCGCTTGCATTTGTGCTGACCTACTGGCTCATCGCCAGTTCTTTGTGTCTTTACATCTGCTTCGTCGACGGCTACCAATGCTGGCACTATAATACCACTTTCCGCCAGCTCACCTCCGAATGGGCCCCATTCTTCTCCCTGGGCCTTCCCGGCGTGCTTATGATCTTGTCGGAGGCGTTTGCGTTCCAGGTGATCACGTTTCTCTCGGCGAAGTTCAACTCGTTGGAGCTGGCCTCGCAGTCGATCGTCTCGACCGTCGCGTCGTTCGGCTTTCAGATCCCGTTCTCGGTCGGGATCTGCTGCTCTACACGGCTGGCCAACATCATCGGCGCCAAGTCCGAAAACTACAAGATTGCCGTTACTGTGTCGCTGTTTGCGGCCTGCTTCCTCAGTCTCTTCAATTTCTGCTGGATGGCGCTCTTCAGAACCCGTCTCACAAAACTGTTCACCGACGACCCGGATCTCATCGCCAGCGCCAGCAAACTGTTCCTCGTGGTGGCCTTTAACCAGTTTCTGGACTGCATTAATGTTATCTGCGCGGCAATTCTACGTAGCCAGGGCAGACAGCGGATCGGATCGCTGCTGAGCATGATATGCTACTACCTCATAGCCACGCCTTTCGAGGTGCTTATGGCGTTCTACTGGAAGATGAACGTCTTTGGACTGTGGCTGGGTCTCGCCGTGGGAGTGGGAGCACTCTCGCTGAGCGAACTGGCGATTGTGCTCAAATCCGATTGGGAAGCGATAATCATAAAAAACACGGACATAGTTTGATAGTAGACAAAATAGCAACATAACATTTGGGGTATCATTTATTCGATGTAGGATCCGAACACGGAAAGCGCGCCAAACGTCAGCGCAGAGCCGAACGCAAGGCCGGCCAGGAACGGCTTGGCCTGGACTTTCTTGGTTTTCTTCACTGGCTCCTGCTCTTGGATCTCGTAGACGGTGTCAGCGGTGTCCGAGATCGGTCTCTTTCTGCACGCACGCTCCTCCAAGTCGGGCTCAATCTTAATTTCGGGCTCGTTCTCGGGCTCAAACGCCATTTCCACAGGCTCCGCAATGACTTCCTTGAGAAAGGCTTCTTCCTCTGGCGCAGAGTCCGAATTTTGCTCGTTGTTGCTGAACAAGTTACAGCTTCCCTCACACACAAACTCGACTATGTGGTCAGAGTCAGGGTCCTCGCTAGGCGTCTCCTCGCTGTCAGAATCCGATAAACCATGGGCCCAGAAATCTGTCTCGCGCTCCACACATTCGCACTCCACCTCGCCCCCTGAGTCTGAATCCTCTTCAAAGAAGTCCTCAGAGTCTGGGCCAAAGTACGTGGACTCGCTGACAGGGGGTTCGAAGGTCTTGCTGAACATGTCGCGCAGCGCGTCCAAATGCTCGTCGTTGAGTCCTCCAAACGCGGCGGCGTCCTTCGTTAAATCGGTAAATGTCCAATCCCAGAGGTCCTGTTCAGGCTTCTCACCAGCTACTCTCAGATACTCATTGCGGTTGAGCCGAACAGCACGCAATTTCATTCGGTAGTCTGTCACCACTTGGAACTGCACTTTGGTGCATCTAAATATATCGAATGGATCATTCGCCCGGCACTTGCCAAGAACAACAAGCCCAATGATATCGCCATTGCGCAGCATAACGCGGGTCCCATTCTTTTTCAATCTCATAGCATCTGGGGTTCCATAGCGTAGCAAGCAAGACCCGTGCTGGGAAACGTCCTTGATATAGATCGCCAGTTTTTCGTCATCGCTGACGGGTGTCACATATCCCAAAATGTGATTGGCGCTCACAGCAGCGTCATTTACTAGAAAATTGTCCTGCCTTTCCTGTCTTTCCGACTTCTCGCCCTTGTGGCTAGCTCTCCCGATTATTAGAGAGGGGGATAGCGACACCCCAGCCTCATTGAAAATTGGCAGGGGTAAGTCGATCTCGCGATAAGGAAATGTGTCGCCGGGATTCACAAACTCAAAAGACTTTGCTTCTGGCTCAGCAACCAAATTCACAGACATGGTTAAAAAAGGGTCGTAATTTGAAGGCAAATATAGTTTCCGATAAGGACAATCTAATATTTACGGCTGTGCAGAGAGGTGGTCAATCTTTTTTAGATGTGGCCTGCGAGTATGACTCGACAGCTTGTATGAAGAAGGGGAAATTGGTGTGGTCCTGCGTGGCTGCAAACAACGGACGGTTTTCGAAATTGTAGATGGGTGCCCCGCTCAGAGACTGCAGCATTCCGCGTCTTCTGGCAAACTTAATGATTAGTTCTGGGGCATCCAGCACAGCCAGCTCCTTGTCTACATACGACTCTATGTCAGAGACGTCGCCATTGAATAGCACAAAGTTCCTGACCGTCTTGGCCACTCTCTGCTCTCCATCTTCCTCACAAACCAACGTAACCGTAAGCCCGTTCCCTGCAGAATAGGTCTCTGAGATCTGGGCCGACTCCAGCTGCGAGCTCGCGGGTGCCGGTTGTAACTTTGCAAGTCCGCCATCGTCGCCCGATGGTCTATCCGGCGGCTCATGATGTATCTCACTGTTCTCTATCGTTATGGTCTCGGGGTTATTCACTCTTACCAGCTTGATCCAGGTCTCTTCAAGAGACTCCGTGTCGCTCAGAACTGATATCTCTGTCTGGATCATTGAGCCTAGTCTGTCCAAATTTTTCCAGGGATTGCCGCTTCTTTCATAGAGCGTGACGGACTTCATGCCAGAGAACAGTGCCCATGAGACCAGCCTGGCGGACTCTGCGCACACTCTCATAACCTCTGAGGCCTTGTGCGTGTGGTGGGCGGCTGCCCACTCAGCTCTGTCAGATAGCACCTGGGAGATCTCCTTTTTGTCGGGAACCACAATCCTTTTTTCGGCAGTCAGGTAAGGGGTGGGCAGTTCTTTGGGTGGGGGGACAACCAAGGGATCCAACTCGTATATGACCATCAAATGTTTAGGAACCCGTTTGCCTGCCAGTGCCTGTCTGACCATCAATTCGCTCTTTGGGATGCTCGTCGCCAGCGAGTGTGCTAGTGCATGGTTGCCGATCGTGGTACGTAATTGTAATATCCTCCTGATTCTCGATTGTGATGGAGGCTCATTGGACATCTGAGAGACGGCAGTACTAGGCTCCAATGGCTTGTCCACTGACGAGGGAAAAATCCCTAAAGTGTAGACAAACCACCAAAAGTACGCATCAAGGACTAGCAGGGTCCATTGGACCCAGCTCCACAGAACAAGTAATAGCCCATATAGGAGGTGGAGTCTCTTGAGCGATTGCCGCCGTAATCTGAAATGGAGCAATCCCCATGTGTTCGCGTTTGCTAGTAGCTCCATGTTCGACCCAGCCACAATCACATCCTCAAGTTTCATGGGGGCAGGATTATGGCCCGCTCCGCCAAATATCTTGAAAGTGAAGAAACGCGTGTCTGAGGGCCGGATGCTAGGCTTGATGATAGACGACTGGCTCGAGACAGCCGACAAAAGCTCTTCAGGCACTTCTTCGGACATGGCTCTAGGAAATTGCCGAAAGAGATAGGCCAAACAATTGTTTTTCCCTCTTATGCCCCTTAAAAAGGACTCATCAATTTCCCCTTGGTTAAAAGAGGCGGCGCACGACCTGAAAATTAGTATATAATTCAGCAGCTGGCCAGGACATTTATTGTATGAGTTCATGCGGAGACCCGTGCAAGCCGCAGGCCTGTGCAATTCAAGGTGAGTAGACTAAGGGTCGACCGGGACTAACACCACAGACTGCCTCAAAGCGAACAATTACAACGAGTCGAGATGCACTAAACTGATAGACCAGTTGTACGAGTGTTGCACGAAATTCTACGAAGAAAATGGCACCGATGCAAGATCGCCCTGCTGTCCGATCCCTCGACTGCTCGCAATGAAAGTGAGGCAGCGCACGCAGGAAAAATTGGACGCAGAGCTGGTGAGATGAATGTATGTTTTGGACCACGCGAAGCCGGTAAAGCCTGGCTTCGCTTGAATGGCGGTGTAAACACTCTGATCTTAGGCTGACCCGAGCACAAAATATGAACTGACAACCATATCCTGTGACTCTAATGGGCGCCTTTGAGTTAAGACATTTTTTAGAAAAACAACTTTTTATGCGAAAATTTTCCATTTATACCCCTATATTATTTATTTTTGGTATATTCGTGAGCGTCCGGTATTAATGATTTCAGGCGAGATTCTCCAGGAACCCACAGGTTGATCGTGGTGGGCGTGGTTTCCATGCGGACGTTCTCCTCGAATTTTTCTATGGCCTCGTCGATGCTCACCGGATCGATGCCTTGGTCTATCAATTGTTGTCTTAGTAGCGCTATGTGCATTTGCATCTTGCCCTGGATCATCATGTGCTTCTTGGAGTTTTCCACCGAGGCAAGCGTGATCTTCTTCTTGTAGTTCTGCATCTGGATGAGCATCTCCTTTTGATTCTTGCGGAGCAGCGCGAGCTGTCTCTCATTCTCCTTCAACTTCTCCAGCAGCTCGTACAGCAGGATGCCCAGAGTGACGCTGATGGTGAGCGACGCAAACCCGATCCCAAACCCGATCCCGAGATTTTTCAGCTTTTGCGAGCTAGAGATCTGGGTCTCTGGCGGTGCCGTGGCGGGCCGTCGCAGCTCGTCCAGCGTCTTGGGCGGTTCTGCCGGGTTCCTGAAGAACGAGGGAGGATGATTGACAGAGTAGAACCGCAGGTTGCGCGTGCTGACGGCTTTAAACATGTGGCCTGAATCTCCCACGTCTACAGAATTTTCCTTAGCAACACCGACCGGGATTGAAAAGGCTAGACGGCTTGAAAACTACACCTCGCACCACATACTATATTTTATTAGCTCGTACCAGATACTGTGCAATTAGTGTCTTCTAGACTCAGCAATGATCTTGTTCATCTCCTCGACCTTGGCCTTGGCTCTCTTCTGAGTACCGAGTCTCTTCTTTGCGAGCTTCTTGGCTCTCTTCTCACCAGCGTTTCTGATGAGTTCGATGACTCTTCTTTCGTATGGGGCGAGGCCAGCAACTTCTCTGACGAGAGATCTCACGAAAGCGGTTCTCTTGGAAAGAGCGCCCTTTCTGTAGGAAATCTTTGGAGCAACCTCCTTGGCCTCAACCTTGTGACCTTTGTTCAAACCAGCAGCGATACCTGGTGGTTAGTGTGGAACTGAGCGCGAGGGACAGCAGAACGCGATTGGCGGAGAGTCGTTGTGTGCCGTTGGCATAATCCTCGTCCTTGATGTGAGAAGCTGTCTGTGATTACCTCAAGGTTGATCATCCTATCCGTGGGGTCGATGTGTACGGTTCATATTCAAGTTCACGTGGCCTATGTGGCCGTGAAACGTCTCTCTCCTCGAATCAACGTCCCTGTGTCTCTCCTGTCTGTCTAATTATACATACCAGACTTAGCCATTTCGATGTGTAAAGTGTATTCTTTCAATTTCTGTGAAAATTTTCATATTCAGTACCCAAGTCTGCCATTCTACAACCCGGTCTCCCACCAATTTCACCCACCCCTGAAACTCTACCCCCTACACCACTGTCCGTGACTGTGAAAATTTGTCTGTCAGAATAGTGATACTTCCCGTGCACGGGTGTCTATGTACATACGATCTATTTCACGACAACGTCGCTGAGGTCCACCTTGTAGTGCTCTAGCTCTTTCAGAAGCTCCTCAAAAGGTGCGCTCTTGCGTCTGTTGTTGAATGCGGCAAATCTGAGGTTTCCCGGTGTGTGCAGCTTCACCACAGGGTACAGTTTCTGTAAAAGCTTTCTTCTCCCAACCACCAAAGAAACCGGCTCTCCGTTGTACGTTCCTTTGAAGAAAACCTTAATCTCGTTGCCATCTGCGTCACTCAAGACCTCGTAGTTCTTCACACTAGCTTTCTTAGCGCGTTCCTGGGCCTTCAAGACATCGTATCTGAGTCTCCACCCGAAGGGACCTAGTTCCTTGATTCTAGCTCTCTTATCCTTTGTGAGATAGTTATCCAGACCTCCCTCCTTTGTGATTGTTCTCAGAACGCGCGCAGTCAGCTTCAAGGGCACCAACTTGTTCAGCGACTCAGACCATAGTTTCTTTTTCACCACGTTTGGGAGCCATGTTCTGCGTGCCCTGTTTTTATGTTCAGAGACCTTGTTTCCAAAAACAATGAACTGACCACCAAATAGGCCACGGTTGCTTCGTTTGAAAATACGAGACTCTCCGTATGGGTAGGGCGGATATTTGGGTGCTTCTGCAGGTATTCTCAAATTTCTTGGCTTCAAATCACCCACTTTGTACTCGACTTTTTTCTTCAGCTGGCGATTAACCACGTGTCTATAGTTGCGGCCCAGGGTGGTTGCCGTAGTCGAAAAAGCCCGCACCCCGTGGATAACATCTTTGAGCGCCAGAATCATGTTCAACACAAACACTTTTTCGCTAGCAACAAATTACTGTATTTTTTACTTGACTTAGTCTCCGTGTAAAGATGTACTTTAGCTCTATAGGCATTACCAAAAGCCACCCTTCTTGAACCACTTGCCCTTCGCTTCGCTGATCTCGGCCTTTGTGTCCGCGAGCTCTTGCGTTACCGACGCAAGCTGTTCCTCCAACATCCGATTTTCCTCCATAACCTGGAGATTTCTTTCCATGGTCTTTTGAATTTCCATATTCATGCTGTTGGAAATCTCGCCGGTAAAGTCGACATTGGTGTCGCTTTGGGTCTCCAGCCTTCGAAGCCTCTCTGTAAGCTCGTCAATTTGTTCCTGAAGTTGCCTATTCTCGTCCTGCAACTGAGCAATCTCCATTTTCCCTTGTACCATTTCGTTAGCGATTTCTACGTGCTCCCGATTAAGTGTAGCGTATTCTGCCTCAATATGCCTTATGTCTCGCAAAAGCTGGCCATTTCTTGTCTTGAGCTGCGAAATTTCGGTCTCCATCTCTCCTTCAAGCTTGTGGATTTCGGCAAACTCGGCCTCATACCGTTTCAGGTTCACAGGGAGAATATCAATGGCCATTGAATCGGCCACAAAGTCCTCGAGTCTGTACGTATCAATAGAGATTTCCCTGTTTGAGTACCCGTCTGCCAGTGTTCTTGGTGCGCTATCATCACCGCTATTGTCAACGTAATAGAAAAATAATTTGTCTTTCAAAAATGGTAGCAAGTCATCGAAACTCAGTTCCAAGAGCTGTTTCTGGTTTTTCATCATCAGGTTGAGAGCAAACTTGAGAAGAGACTCAATGCCTTCGGCAATAACAATATCATATATGCGCAACACCATTTCCAGTGGGAACTTGTAGCCAAAAACGGTCAAAAACCATTGGGTAGCATACATCGAGGACCGCACACCTTCTCGTTTCAAATGCAAGTACAGCTCGGGCAGGTTGTCTTCCATGAGTCTGTCAAATTGGTACAGTTTCAAGTGAAGCCCGGGCATTTGAGGCACAAACAGCTGCTTGAAGTCGTACGTGTTCATGAGTTTCACCAGCATGCAGAATGCCTCGCTGGCTTCCATATTCATCAGCAAGGGAACAGTAATGAATGCCATTCCCTGAGTGTAGCCAACCTCCTTATCATATATGCTGTAGACCTTGATGATCTCGTACAGGTCAACGATCTTTGTTCTGACAGCGCTATTAGTCACAAAACTCGTTCTTGCAAGATCTCTTTTGATCAGTTTTTGGTATTGGCTCTCACAGTTGCGGTTAGCACGGAAGGATTCCTCCAGCTCCATAGACTTGGAATTACAGATCACCTGCCACACGAGTCCGCGGAGCTCGCGCGGTATTCCCTTCGTGATATTGGCAATTAGCTCCTCTGATCTGTTTTCGAGAACCGAACTGTAGTCATTGATCACTTCAGACCAAAATTCCCAGTCTATTCTCTTGACCAGCTCGTCGTCGTTCGTGTACTCAATTCCCGTCTTGATTTCATTAAAAGTCCTCTTTATTCCGTTCGCACCTTGACTCAGCAGCTCGCGGTCTTTAGTAGACTGAGAATTGAGATCTTCAACGTTCTCCCAGTACCGTGAAAATGCCAAACTTTGATTCTGTGGGCCGGCAAGCTCGCTCATGACTTCGTTAAAGGTGCCGTTGGACTCCTCCGAGCCCTTCATGTTAAACGCAAACCATTTCCGCAACGTCTTGACAGGCCTCTTCATTGAATAATCCAAGTTCTGTCTTTCCTCGCCGTTATGTTCTTGTGGAATATTGTCGTCAGAAGGTATCACAACCGGCTCTTCGTCGCGATGCGCAGGTTCCGGAAGCTCGCGAGGAGGGATTTCTGGGCCAGTTGATTTATTCTCAGCAGCAGGCTCCTCCGTTGGAACCTCCGAGGATAAGCTGTCGGCTTCTGGATTCAAGGCGGAACTTTGTGGATCGACTTTAACTGAGCTATCCGTTTTTTCGATTGTGGCAGATTTGCCTGTGGAGAGACTAGATTGGTCGTTTTCAATCGGGGAAGACAGGTGCTCCTCCGGCTCGTGTTCTTTATCTGGAATAGGAGCGAATTCCGGCTCAGCATCGGTATCTTTGGCTTCATTGCTCGAAAGAGCGACGCCCGAAGCATCGATGAACTCGTCGTGAGATTCGGTCACCGAGTCCTGTTTCGAATCATTCACAGATCCGCCATCATCATCGCGGCCATTGTCCTCCGGCTCCAAACCCTCCGTCCCGGCCTCAGCACTGACTTCCTGGGATTCTTGCAATTCCTTTGTCTCATTCTCCTCTTCGTGCACATTCTCTGGGGTGCCTGTCTCCACGTCGTTCACAGGATTTTCGGCGTCCTCGCTGCCTGACATCTTTTGCTTTGTGTTCTTCTTGCGTGCCGTAGAAAGCAGAAACCACGCTCCAAATAAATTGCAAAGAAAACACCTACTTATTTATCTATTTATCCTACACTGCGGTGCACGGGTTTCTTTTGTCTCATAAAAAATCAATTCGTAAGTAGCCTACCTAGTCCCGCCATCAACCACAATGATCGCGTCCATATCGCTGTAGATCTCGCTCACCGGGATATCGGGAGCTGGAAATTCCAAACCCCCACTGGACGAAAGCACTGGATGCTCGTCAAAAAAGAAGAGCGGGTCGTCTTCGGAAGCAGACGACTCTGAGGAAATAAAGTCATCGAAATTGTCAAAATCAGGAGAATTGCATCGGTCGGTAGAGGACAGCGAGCAAACACCGTCGCTCGCCATCGATACGGAGCGGCTCTCAACGCCTTTGACCACGCCGCTCCGGATTCCAGACTCGGCAAGCATGGTCTCCATCTTGGGTACATCGCAGTTGGGGAAATGACATCGAATAAGGTTCCTGTCGTCCAGGTGCTCGATAACGGTCACGCCTATGATCTCCTTCAGACGCTTGATGTCACTCAAAATTAGCATCCGGTGCTCGAACTCGTTCACAAGATAGGCATTTTCAAATTCCTGCATAATCTCGTCGTCCAAGAGGAATTTCTTGGGCAGGGCACGGTCCTGGCACTTGAGGCTGAACTCGACAACACAGCCATCGGTCTCGCTCTCGGCTCTGGCAAGCTGCATATTGTGCTCCACGAAGGACTGGTTGGCGTTCTGGGAGCCGTTGGAGTCTCTTCCCATCAGCTTGCTCTGCAGCTCGTGGCCCTTGAGAAATGAGGCGCGGAGTCCCTGGGAGAGATTGTGTGCTGCCTGTGACGTTAGGGTCTGGCCGTAGGTGGAATACATTCTCGCGTTGTGGCGTGTGAAGTTGGAATAAAGTGAAGATGGCGCATAGTTGCACCCGGCACGGAATGTGATTCTAAAAGGCTGCACCTGGTATATAATATTTCTGGTGACAGACGACACAGAGGATCTTGAGACCGCGCGGAGATGCACCGGTGCCCGGCGCGAGGTCGAATAGTAGCGCTGGGCCCCGCCAAAAGCGCCAAACTGGACGCCGCGGGCTCTGCGGTTGGCCAGAGGATGACTCTTTGTCGGAATTCGAACGGGCACGCGTTCGAGCTGTACTTCCAGCTGTCGCTGCCGCTGATTAGCAATCAGCTGCTCGGCAACGTCGTCGAGCGTCTGGCGGATGTTCCGCGCAGACCTTCGAGTAGCCGAGATCAGCTCTCTTATCTTGTTTGCAACCATAAGCAGGAATGTTTTTCGCCACTCGGATTTTGCGCTGCAGAGATACAGCACCGTGCGGCGCCACAGCTGTGGCTGGGGAAAATGGCGTAGTGGCTCCCCCACAATTTAAATCAAACCTATCTGAAATACATCATCTAATACAAGAACATATAGCTTTGAAGATTTGCACGGCAATCTTCTGGTTCTGCGGCGTGTTGAGCTGCTCGAACACGGACTGCTGGTGACCGTTTTGCTGCTGGTGCGGCTGTTGATACTGCGGTTGTTGTTGGTACTGCGGTTGCTGCTGGTACGGCTGTCCGCCTTGCAACGGGACGTGGTCGTCGTCGGGAACGTTCTGGTGCTCATTCATGGCGCCGATGCCGTTCGGATTGATGTCGTTCCAGGAGGCCGGGATCCGTGCGCCAGCAAGCTCAATGATTAACACCCCAGTGTTCTTTGGATTAATGTAATTTTTCAGGCCGGCCTCGTTGCAAAGCTGCTCGACCGCAGGCTTCAGCTTGGCGATGCCGTTTTTCGAGTGCAGCCCTTTGCCGACAATGCACTCCAGATGGTGCTCGTTCCTCTGGATCCCGTTAATGATGCGCTGTTTGAGGATATACTGGGCCTCTCTCACATACAGACCGTGCAGGTCGATGTCGTTGCAGTCGGAATCGAGGTTGTTCTCTCTAAACACGTACTCTGCGGCCTGCCGGTTGTAGTTTTCGGCTTCCTGTGCGTACCTCTGGGCCTGTTCCGAGTACCGCTTTGCGGCAGCGCCGTCTCCTTGCTTGTATGCGCGCCGCGACTCGCTCGAGAATTGCTGTTTCTGCTGGAAAGCCTGGTCGGCCTTCTTTCTCAGGATCTCGTACTGTTTGTCCGTGGCATGGTTGTAATCCTTCTCGTCTGGGTGTTAGTGTGGAGAAGGCCTACTCACTCGAAAGGAACGCTCCACGGCTCATAACCTCGGTCATGGTGCTGGCTGTGGTGCTGGCTGCGGTTCCTGAAATTCATTTGGAGTCGGCCAGCGACGCGACGACAGGGCTGTTAGCCCCTTGCGTGTGTCACGTGTGTAGTTTTTTTTTTTCCAGTTTTTTTCACCGATTTCAACTTTCTCAAAAATATTCTCATCCAACTACACAATGGCTGCTCCGTATGTTGATCGCTGACGAGCAAGGATCTGGACGGTTCTTGTTGTGACATGACACTCACGCCTGCGGCGTGGTCTTGAGATTATTACAAGCGACGCGGCAGGCCCGCGCTCCTCGTACTTATCTCACCGTCAAACGCACTGTAATCCGGCACCGGATACAGCTGACACCCTGTTCATGTCCTCGGACATGGTGCTGCTGCGTATTGCGCGAAGCGATTGCAGCGAAAATGATGCCAAAGAGAGCCAGGCTTGGCCTCCTCTCTCTGGAGACATTACATGCTGGGAATGTTCCTCGGGGACAGTTCCCGGCGGGGAATGTGGCAGATTGCGTTTCACACGTGCAACCTCCAGAGGCCTTACTCTGGATTCCCACTACTAACCTTTAGAATTCCTAAACCAGAATCTCAGATCAAGAAGACCAAGCAGGCTGCCAAGACTGCTGAGCAGGTCGCTGCCGAGAAGAAGGCAAGAAAGGCCGTATGTATAAGCTCCGAGACTTCCCATCAGCTGATGAAAACCTTTATTGAAACGGCTAGCTGAGGCAATGAAGCTTGTTAGTTAACCATCTTTCGGGACTGATTTGGGAAGCCGCGAAAATTTTTTATCCTTACTAACTATTTTAGGCCAACAAGGAGAAGAGAGCTGCTATCTTCAAGAGAACCGAGGCGTACACCAAGGAATACGCCGACGCCGAGAGAGCTCTGATTGCTGCCAAGAGAGAGGCCAAGGCTAACGGCTCCTACTACGTTGAGGCCGAGCCAAAGCTTGTCTTTGTCGTCAGAATCAAGGGTATCAACAAGATTGCTCCAAAGCCAAGAAAGGTGCTGCAACTGCTGAGACTGACCCAGATCAACGCCGGTGTGTTTGTCAAGGTCACCAAGGCCACCTCTGAGCTCATCAAGCTGGTCGAGCCATACGTTGCTTACGGTTACCCATCGCTCTCCACCATCAGACAGCTCATCTACAAGAGAGGCTACGGTAAGGTCAACAAGCAGAGAATTCCTCTGTCCGACAACGCCATCATTGAAGCCTCGCTCGGCAAGTACGGAATCATCTCCATTGAGGACCTGATCCACGAGATCTACACCGTTGGTCCTAACTTCAAGCAGGCCAACAACTTCCTGTGGCCATTCAAGCTGTCCAACCCATCTGGCGGCTGGGGCGTGAGAAGAAAGTTCCAGCACTTCATCCAGGGCGGATCGACCGGTAACAGAGAGCACTACATCAACGAGCTGGTCAAGAAGATGAACTAGGCGGATTGTGTACTCATAATAATACGACGAAAAAAAATTATATCTATTTCTCAATTTTTTATTTTTTCTGGCACACCCAGTCGTTGAGGCCGTATCTATTTCTGAGAATTTCAATCGCGTAGAACTGCAGTCTCACCACAAAGATCGTGCCGTGCTGGTCGTACTCCTGCGAGGCGTCCGATCGAAGCAGCGTGCCGAAATTGTAGTCCTGCACCTTGTCCTCGAACTTCTTGAGGAAGTTCCTCCACCGGGCCTTGCCGGCAGCGGACTTCATGTCGTCCTCGCTGACCTTCGCCACACCCTCAGGGGACGCAAACTCCGGGAAGTCCTTGAGCACTTCCTCGACGATCTCGTCGTCGTACTTGGTCAGCTTGAGCTTGCTGCCGGGGATCGACTGCAGCAGGTTCCAGTACGTTTCCATCTGCTGCACTGCCTTGACGGCAAACTGCTTTTCGATGTCCTCGAGGTTGTCTGCTGTTTCGGCGTCAAAGGTGTTGAGCGACATGCTGGCGAGATCGATTGATTATTCCTATTTTTTTTATTTTTCTGCCAATATTTGTGCAAATCAGTAGAATTTGAAATTGGTAGCAGCTTAGCAGAACAGACTACCAAATGCGCTATATAAGACCCAGCACGCCGGCCTTGCTCAACCAAACAATGGACTCAGAGAAAAGCATCAGCATTGTCGAGCTCGAACAGCAAGAGACCTCGCCCAACTGGCTACACCGCACACTAGCCACCTTCAGGCCCGCCGCCGTCACCGACGGCGTCGACGCGCCCCTGAAACACCAGCTCGGCTCGTTCCAGATGCAGATGATCTCGCTGGGCGGGTCTATTGGCACCGGCCTGTTTCTCGGCTCCGCCCAGTCGCTCAGAGACGGCGGGCCCGGCGGCATCCTGATCTGCTACTCGCTCATCTCCGTGATGGTGTTCTGCATGGTGCACTCGCTGGCCGAGCTCGCGTGCAACTTTCCTGTGCCCGGCGCGTTCTCGTACTACTCCACCACGTTCATCGACCCGAGCTGGGGCTTCGCCATCAGCTGGAACTACGTGATGCAGTGGCTGGTGCTGCTGCCGCTCGAGCTCAGCGCCGCGTCCATCACGTTCAAGTTCTGGGACGGGTTTCCGATCGGCGACGGCTACCTGATCACGGCGTTCTTCGTCATGATGGTCCTGATCAACATGCTGCCCGTGAGGATCTACGGCCTAGCCGAGGTGCTGTTTTCGGTGACCAAGATCGTTGCTATTTTCGGCTTTCTGGTCACGGGGCTGGTGATCCTGTTCGGCGGAGTGCCCCACCACGCAGCCATCCTCGACCGCTACTGGAAAGACCCGGGGCCGTTCACGCCAGCAGGGTTCAAGGGCATTGTCGCCGTGTTTGTCACCGCCGCCTTCAGCTTTAGCGGCACAGAGCTGTGCGGCCTGTGCGCAGCAGAAACACCAAACCCGGTCAAGTCGATCCCCAAGGCGTCCAAACAGGTGTTCTGGCGGATTCTGTTCTTCTACATCAGCTCGCTCACCCTGGTCGGGCTGCTGGTGCCGTACAACGAGCCGCGGCTCGTGGCCCGCGGCGAGGGGGGCGCCAACAGCTCGCCGTTCGTGATTGCGATCCGCAACGCGGGAATCCCCGTGCTCCCGTCGATCATGAACGTGGCGATCCTGATTTCCATCCTGTCGGTGGGGAACTCGGCGATCTACGCCACGTCGCGCACGCTGGTGTCGCTGGCCAAGGCAGGCATGGCGCCGCGCTGCTTCGGCTTTGTTGACCAGGGCGGCCGGCCGATGGTGGCCATCGGCGTGACGCTGGCGTTCGGGTGTCTGAGCTACGTGTCGCTGGTCGGCAACGGCGCACAGATCCTGTTTTCGTGGCTGCTCGCGCTGTCCGGGCTCAGCTCGCTGCTGACGTGGTGCTCGATCGGGTTCTCGCTGATCCGCTTCCGCAGCGGCCTTGCCGCGCACGGGCAGAGCACACGTGACCTGTGCTACGTGTCGCGCACGGGTCTGTGGGGCGCGTACGTGTGTTTTGGCTTCGGCGTGGTGGTGCTGGCGGCGCAGCTGTGGATCGCCGTGCTGCCCGTTGAGGGCGCCGCGAGCGCAGAGAAGTTCTTCAAGGTGTATCTGGGGGCGTTCGTGGTTGCGCTTTTTTTCGCCGGGCACAAGCTGTACGTGTACGTGCGCACGGGCGCGCTGGGCTTTGGCGTGGACCCGGCGCAGATGGACATGTTTACAGGCCGCCTCGTTGCAGACGGCGGCAAGAAGTGTGGCTCGGGAAGTAGCATTTAATACAGAATCTAGTGTTTGTCCTCGTGCGGCACAAACTGCACCGACACGGTCTTGAGGTTGTCGTGGTTGAGCTTGAGCTGTTTTTTGAGGCTCTCGCCGATGTGGCTCATCTGCTCGAGCGTGAGGTGGTTGGTGTAGTCCTTCTGGTTGGCCGAGACGTCGACGATCACGTTGAGGTTGGTGCCCGACGGCAGCACGGACAGCTTTTTCACCTTGAGGTTGCCGTTTTCGCGCGCAAGCTGCGCGTCGGTGAGCTCGCGCAGGCTCTGGTAGCGCGGGTCCGACGCCGGCAGCGCCTTGTCGATGAGCTCCTTGAACGACTGGAACATCCCGGAAATGCCCACCTTCATCACCAGCACCGACACTATCAGGCCGCCCACGGAATCTAGCCAGTAGATGTTGAGGAAGTAGCCCGACGAGATGGTGAGCACCGCCACAACCGACGTGAGCGAGTCGACGCGGTGGTGCCACGCGTTGGCAATCAGCACCTTGGAGTTGAGCCGCACGCCCACGTTGCGGGTCGCGCGGAACAGCCACTCCTTGACGGCGATGGACGCCAGCGCCAACCACGCGGCGTTGATGTCTGCGGTCTGGACGGTCTGTGTCGCCGCGTCGTGCGCGTGCCCTGCGTCGTGCGTGTGGCTGTGGCTGTGCGAGTGGACGGGCAAGTACGCCAGCACGTCCATGACGCTGTGCGGCAAGACCGGCGTCAGGATGTCGATCAGAGAGCCCCAGCCGATCTGGAGCCCCGCGTACAGCAGAATCGCCGACACGAAAAACGAGCCGAGCGTCTCCACCTTGCCGAAGCCAAACGGATACAGCTCGCTCGGGGTCCTGTTGCTGTACTTGACGGTGGACAGCGTGAGCACGTCGGAGACGAGGTCGCCGACGGCGTGGACGGCGTCGGCAACGAGAGCCTGCGAGTGGAAGTACAGCCCGCCGGCAAACTTGGACACGGCCATGGCGACGTTAACTCCGAGTCCTACCCAGGTGATCTTGACGCCCTCGTTGGCCCAGTCCTTGGTGTCGTAGAGCTTCGACGCGTCGGCGCCGTGCGAGTGCGCGTGCGGGGCCGCGTGCGAGTGCGAGTGGCCGCCGAGATGCGATATCGGGAGGTGCGGGTTGAAAAAGTCCTTCACTTTGGACCAGCCGGACTGGGGTGGAACACGGGGTGTTGGCGGCGGGCTGCCGGAGTGCTGGTGCTCGTGGAGAGCGCGTGTGCTCGTGCTGAGCGGCGCGCGGGTCCAGACGGGCTGCAGGAGCACAGGGCGGCGGCGCGCGGCGGACGAGACACGGGCGTACATGAGGGATGGATGTGCAGTGTTACGATTTGCCATACTTTTTTATTTTTCAGAGCGACTCGGGAGCCGGCGGGTCGGCGCGCCGATCGACGCGCATCAGCTCGGCCACCTTGGCGCGCAGCACGCGGCGGTCCTCCTCGAAGTTGACGCGACAGCCCTCCATGCGGCGCAGCGCGTGGCGGATCCCCGCAAGGTCGTTCTCCAGAATGTCCGAGATGCTCAGCTTGAACGTGTAGCAGTTGCGCAGGATCCACAGGATACTGCGGTACTCTGGTGGCAGCACGGTCAGCTGCGAGTTCGACCAGTACACAAACTCCACGAGCTGCGCCAGCGTCGGCTTTCTGTCGACCTGCGCCAGGTGGTGGCGCGTCGACTTGAAGCGCATGTCCACGTCGCAGATCGGGCACAGGAACCCGCTGATCTCCGCCTCGTCCTCGTCGCGCAGCCCGAGACACCCAAAGTGGAACCACTGCTCGCACGCCTCGCACTCGATCATGATGCCGTTCTCGTGGCGCATGCGGCACACGCAGTAGCTGGCGCTGTCGGGCGGCTCGGCAAACACCTGCTCGTCGAACCGCTGCCACTCTTCGAAGTAGCTGCGCAGCTTTTTCACCTTTCCGAGCCCGAAATAGAGCACCAGCTGCTCGTACCACACGTCCACCTGGTGCTCGTAGAACTGCAGCGTCTGGTGCTCGGCCGCGAGCGCCGGGTACCGCGCGACCTTGTGCGTGATCTCCTGGAGCAGCGGCCGCGAGAGCTGGAAGCTGGCGTCGAAGTAGCGCAGGTTCGAGTCGATCATGCGCAGCAGCTCGTCCGGCTGCGCGAGCTCGCCGAACCGCAGCTGCACCGTCTGCGCGATCTGCTCCAGCTGCGCGTACACGGCCGCGTACTCGTCCAGCACCCGGGCGACCTGCTGGCGCACGTCGTGGTCGAGCGGCAGGGTCTCGTACTGCTCGTACAGCTCGCGCAGCCGCGCCACATCGTCGATGCTGCCGAGCAGCTCGCGGTTCGCGGCCACCGCCTGCTCGTGCGCCTGCTGCAGCTTCTCGTAAGTTTCTCTGTCGCCGGTCGCCGCCACGTCCTCGCCCTCCTCCAGCAGCTGCGCCAGCTCGCGCGTGCCGGCAGAAGAGTAGTCCAGCTCGCGCACCTTGCGCAGCCACTTGCTGCGCCGCAAAACGCGGTCCAGCAGCAGATACGAGTTCAGCCTGACGCCAAGCGAGCCGCCCAGCAGATGCAGGCTCTCGAGCTCCTTGTCGTCCGGGCGGTGCAGCAGCTGCTGCACCATGTCGTTGTACTTGGCCAGCTCGCCGCAGTACTCGAGCAGCTGGTCCATCTCAGGCGTCGAGACGGGCAGCTGCGGGATCTGCCGCAGCAGAGCGTCCAGGTCGGCGAGCTCGTTCCAGGAGTCTGGGTCGGCGTGGGCGTCGCCCCGGCGCTGCCGCATCCGCGTAGACACCTTGAACTGCAGGAACCTGGCCGCGCGCGCCGCCCAGTCCTCGGTCTCGCGGTAGTACTGTTTGAGCTGCCGGTACGCGTCGTAGGCGGGCAAGTCCTGCGGCGCGAGCGTTTCGGGCCGCTGGAAGATGGCGTCGCCCTCGGCGAGCAGCGGACGCAGCAGTTTCGTGGACGGCTTGTCGTAGCCGGCGATCAGCGCGTCGTACTGCGCGAGCCACTGCGCGCCGGTGACCAGCTTCGTGCGCAGCGACCGCTGCGCCACACGCACAGCCTCGTCCGACAGCTGCACGCAGAGCTCGGCTCGGAGCTCGTGGCTGTCGCGCGGCGTCGCCAGGAACCGCGCCACAGACATGGTGAGCGTTTCCGGGCGGCGTCGGTCGCTCACCACGACGTAGGACGGGAACGCATCTGCCAGGTCGGCCTCCGTCACGGTGGCGCCCGCCGCGCCCGCCGTAGACACTTCCTTGATGTGGCTGGCACGCACGGCCTCGCGCAGCTGCGTCTCGCGCGCCACAGCCGTCTCCAGCACGGGCTCCAGCGCCGCCAGCACGGCGCGGTCGTCGCAGTTCGCCGCCACATTCGTCAGCAGCCGGAACGTGGAGAACGCCGGCGGCAGCTGCTGCCGTTGCAGCCAGTCTGCCCCCGGAAGCGCGCTTTCCAGCCAAACGCGGCTCGCAAACCGCACGCTCTCGCTCGCGCTCGTGCCGAGCGAGAAGCACATAGAATACGTCCCCGGGTACTTGAGGACGATCTCGCCCGCGAACTGGACGGTTGCAAAAAATCGCACGCCGTGTGCGCGCAGCTGAGCGGGCGTCACGAGCAAGGACTCGTCGAAACACTCGCCCGGCTCGATGAAGCGACGCAGCGGCGCGTGCTTGAGCGCAGCACGCGCCACAGGCCGCGTTGCCCGGATCGCCTCGAACTTTGCGCGCTCGCTCGGCGGAATAAAGTACCATATTTTCGGTGCGCCAGCGCGGTGGAAATCTGCGCGTTGCAGAAAATGGTCCTCGAGACACCAGGTCTCGCAGCCGTACCGCGACGCCACGCGCACCTGTGGCGCAAGCAGCGACGTCTCCTCGCTCAGATACTGCAGCAGCGAGCCCTCGCACACCGCCAGATACCGCAGGTTCCAGGGTTCTGGCTCCGCGCACGGAGCAGGCGTGTGGATGGCGTAGAAGGCGTCGAAATCGGACTCCCAGAACCCGGTCTCGGTCGCTGGCTCTGCTGCGCTCGCCAGCGCGTCAAACTCGCGCAAGTCGGCAAAGGATTCGACCTCTGCGTCGTCCTCGTCGACGCTGCTTTCAGACCAGTGGTAAAAATCGTACGACGGAAGAGTGTGCGCGTCGGGCACTGTGAGGCCGGCTTTTTGCACTGTGGAGCCGTCGAAACGCGGCTCAAAGCCCAGCCGCAGCAGCTGGTCGCGCGAACGCACCGGCCGGGTGCCCGCGTTCGCTATACGCTGCTGTCTCTTGGTCTGTCGGCGGACGCCCAGTTTGCCCCGTATCTCGATATCTGGGGTTTTAGCCGGCACAGTAATTTTCACGGCGCCGTACTGCTCGCCCTCCGCGCTGAGCGACTCGATGTAGGCGATCGGGGCGGCAAACTCCTGGGACGACGGCCTGTGCACGGGGACGGCGTCGGCCAGCTGGGGCTGCTCGCCGCGGTCCGGGACGTTTTGCAGAAAATAGCACGGCTCTGTGTGGCGATAGCGGCTGGTCTTGGGCGCTCCGGCGGTCTCGCTGCGCACGGCAGGCCCGGGTGAAGGTAGCGGCGGGAGGTCGTTCTCGGGCTTGATGCCAAACGAGGGTTTTGGTGGGCGCTCCTCGGCCAAGGGGTTTGCCGTTGCCGCGGAAAGGGCGGCCACCGGCCTCAGGACGTCTGGAATCGACGCGGTCAGTACCGAGAGCGAGGGAAGCGTGATCTTGGTCTCGACAGACCCGGTCTCGGAGACCTTTGCCGTGAGGGGCGGCAGCGAAAAGTCGTCCCCGAGCGCGGCGAGCGACGGCAGCGTGATCCGCGGCGGCATCTGCTGGCTGACGGGGGGGCCTGTGGCAGAAGACTCCTGTAGCATTGGATTAGTGAAATATGCACCAGTATTTTTATTAATTTTTTTTCCCCTGCTAAATAATACATGCGTCGATCGACCGTACAACTTATGCTGGCTACACGGGAATCGGGAGCAGCGAGTGGCTCCGCACAGGCCGCAGGCTCGCGCTGCCGGGCATAGTGACCTCGTGGAAGCTGGTGTGCTCTTTCATGCCGTCCTCGATGGACCTCTTGATGAGAGTGTCCCAGTCGGTGGTGAGCACGTAGTAGCACTCTGCAAGCGACACAAAGCACAACGCGCACATCATGCCGATCCAGAGGCCAATGAGCCCCATGTGCAGGTGGAAGCCGCACGCAAACGCGATCGGCAGCGCGAAAACGTAGTAGCTCACGAGATTGAGCCAGCCGCTGATGTACTGGCGGCCCTGGCCACGCAGCACGCCGCCGCTGACACAGGCGATGGCGTCGTTCACCTGGTACGCGGCGCCGATGATCAGGACCTTGCTGGCAAGCTCGACGACCTCGGGGTCGCTCGAGAAGCAGGAGACGACTGCCTTGCGGAAACGCACGAGCAGCGCGGCGTTGACCGCGCCAAAGAGCACCGACATCCACGTGGCCGCGTGCGCAGACTTGACGGCGGCGTCCTTGGACGCCGAGCCGATGAACCAGGCCACTCTGGTCGACGCGGCGACAGAGACGGCGAGCGGGATCTGGTAGATGGTCGAGCCGGTCGTGGTCATGATGGACTGCGACGCGAGCGCGGCGGTGCCGAACTTGGACGACGCAAACGTGATGATCTCGAACGCGAACCACTCGGCCTCGATCATGATCACGCCGGGGCCCGCGAGCTGCAGAGTGCGGCTCCAGTTGCGGAAGACGTCCCGCGAGAAGCCGCACCAGCACTGGTAGCCGTTGACAAACGCCGCGTAGCAGAAGAGCATCGACGCCATGCACCAGTTGGTGATCACGACGGCGGTGGGGGCCCCCAGGAACCCGATCCCGTACGTCTTGTTCCACACCAGCTGGTAGTTCAGAACGATGTTGAGCGGCGCGCACAGCACGAGCACAAGCGTCGACGCGTGGAAAATGCCCTGCGCCTGGAGGTACTGCTTGAGCACCTCGAACACGATGTAGCCCGGCACGCCGTACAGCAGTCGTTTCAGGTACGACGAGGCCAGCTCGCTCAGCCGCTCGTCCTGGACGATTTTGAGCAGCAGCGGCCGCGACCCCCAGTGCAGAAACGCGTACATCGGCACGTACAGCAGCAGCAGCAGCACAAGACACCGCAGGCTGTGCATGCCCACCGCCCGGTAGTCTTTTCTGCCATATGCCTGCGGACACAGCGTCGACAGCGACGACGCGATTCCCTGGATGATGGCGTACGCGGACACGTTGCACAGCAAGTTCGACAGCGACACGGCGGCCAGCTCCTGCGAGCCGAGGTTGCCCACGCTGAAAACCGACGCAACCGTGAGCGAGAACTGGAGCAAGAACGTGATCACCAGCGGGACCGCGCTCACCGCAAGCAGGCCGAGCTCCTGCCAGGTCGACGTCTCGACCTCCAGGATGATGCCTGCGTCGGTCGTCTTGGTGGGGATGAGGTTGAGCGAGTTGAGTTGCGACATGGACGACTTCATCGACGCCCTCCGGCTCTGGATGTAGTGCTCCTCGTCGATCGAGCCGTACTGATGGAACGACTCGTCGGCCAGCAGCGAGACGTCGTCGGCGTCGGCGTACGAGCGCGTGGAGGGCCGCCTGGCCGCCCTGACAGAGTTCATGAGAAGGGATATATATTTATTTGCTTGTTTACGGTGTGTCTTTTGGGAAAAGCAGTCTGGGTTTCCGGGCGGTGCACGGTGCGTATTTTTGGTTATCGGCGGCCATTTCCTCGAGATCTTTCGAGACTGCACGCAACCGAGCGCGACATCGCTGCTGAGTACGCCAGAACAGAAGATCGCGGGCGTGTGGCGTAGTTGGTAGCGCGTCTGCCTTGCAAGCAGAAGGTCATCGGTTCGACTCCGGTCTCGTCCACTCTTTATTTTTTTGCTGACCTCGCAAATTCGCGTCATTGGCTGCGGGGGTCCATCCCGCGCGGGATGGGGGTCTCGGAGCTGCCCCCGCGCGGGTGGCCCCACCTCGACTGAAAAATAGTCAGGCTCGACTTTCTTAGCATCCTTACGTATGTGGAGAACCTCCTACAGAGCATTTCCCGCCGGCAGGCGGCCGTCCCCACGGCTCTCCCGCGCGCTCGCGTCGTCTGCTAGGCGCTTCCCGCGCAGACCTCTCGCTGCGGCAGCGCTGGCCGGCCTCGGAGCCCTCCTCGTGTGCACCCAGCTGCCCGGCAGACAGCTCGCCAGCGAGTCGCCCGCGTCCAAGCGCATCGTGCCCGTTGCCGAGTTCGTCAAGCACAACCGGCCCGACGACTGCTGGGTGGCCATCCGGGGCCAGGTCTACGACATGACCGAGTTCCTGCCCCAGCACCCGGGCGGCCAGTCGCCCATCATCCGGTACTCCGGCCACGACGCCACCGAGCTGTACGAGCAGCTGCATCCCAAGGGCACGATCGAGAAGAACCTGCCCCGGGACAAGCACCTCGGGCAGCTGGACGGGCCCGCGCCGACGCTGGAGGTGGCCGAGGACGAGTCCGAGGAAGAGCGGCTCGAGAACGTGGCCAACATGCCGAACGTCAACGAGGTGATGAACCTGCACGACTTCGAGTACATTGCGAAGAAAATCCTGCCGAAGGGCGCGTGGGCGTACTACTCGTCCGGCGCCGACGACGAGGTGAGCATGCGCGAAAACCACTACGCGTACCAGCGGATATACTTCCGGCCGCGCGTGCTGGTGGACGTGAGCACGGTGGACACCAGCACGACGCTGCTGGGCACGCCGACGTCGGTGCCGTTCTACGTGAGCGCGACGGCGCTCGCGAAGCTGGGCCACCCGGACGGCGAGTGCTCCATCGCGCGCGGCGCGGGCAAGGAGGGCGTGATCCAGATGATCTCGACGCTGTCGTCGAACTCGCTCGAGGAGATCGTCGCGGCGCGCGTCCCCGGCGCGACGCAGTGGTTCCAGCTGTACGTGAACGAGGACCGCAACGTGGCGTTTGAGATGGTGCGCAAGGCGGAGCAGCTCGGCATCAAGGCCATCTTCGTCACCGTGGACGCCCCGAGCCTCGGCAACAGAGAGAAGGACGCCCGCGTGAAGTTCGAGGGCGAGTCGGAGGTGCAGAAGAGCAACGACGTCGTCCGCAGCAAGGGCGCCTCGCGCGCGCTGTCGTCGTTCATCGACACGCGGCTCACGTGGGACGACGTGAAGAAAATCAAGCAGATCACCACGCTGCCCGTGCTGATCAAGGGCGTGCAGCGCGTCGAGGACGTGGTGCAGGCGGTGGACGACGGGTTCGACGGCGTCGTGCTGTCGAACCACGGCGGGCGCCAGCTGGACACCGCGCCGCCGCCCGTCGAGCTGCTGGCGGAGGTGGTGCCCGAGCTGAAGCGGCGCAACAAGCTGCGGCCCGGCTTCGAGATCTTCGTCGACGGCGGCGTGCGCCGCGGCACCGACATCCTCAAGGCGCTGGCCCTCGGCGGCCAGAACGTGCGTGTGGGCGTCGGTCTCGGGCGGCCGATCCTGTACGCCAACTCCGCATACGGCGAGAACGGCGTGCGCAAGGCCATCCAGCTGCTCAAGGACGAGCTCGAGATGGACATGCGGCTGCTGGGCGTGCGCAACCTGCGCGAGCTCGACGAGACCTTTGTCGACACGAGGCGCCTGCTTGGCCGCGACGCCCCCGACGAGCTGTACAACCAGCTGTACAGCCCGCTCAAGACGGTCAAATTTAGAAACGAATAGAATCTCATGTATTGAGCTCTGTCTTCTCAAACTGGTGTAGCGCGTCGACCAGCCGCTGTGTTTTCAGCCAGTAGTGTCTTTTCTGCCGGTCTGCGGCCGCCAGCTCGGCGCCCAGCGTCCGGCGAAGCCGCTCGAGCTTCGCGCGGTACAGTTCCAGCTGCGCGGCGTACTGCTCGAGCGCTGGCGCCGGCAGCGCGGCCGTGTCGACCTGCGGCCTGGCCGCGTGCGCCTGCGCGAGCTGCTCGTGCGACTGCGCGATCTTGCGCTCCAGCGTGGCACACCGGCCGCGCAGGCGAGGCGGCGCTGCGTTTTTGTACGCCGCAAGGTCCGCTCCGAGCGGGTCGGCCGCGACAGGCGGCTTGTGGCGCCGCTCGTGCTCGTACAGCTCGCCGACGGTGGCGAACACGCTGCTGCAGCGCAGACACGCAAACGGCGTCCTGCAGTGGAGCACGAGGTGGTTCAGCAGCGCGGACTGCGAGTCGCAGCGCTGGCCGCACAGGTTCCAGCGGCACCGCAGCCCGGCACCGGCGTGGCTCGCTACGTGCACGCACAGCTCTGCCGGCGCGGAGAGCGCGGCGTCGCAGTCGGTCCAGAGGCAAAAAAAACGGGCTCTCTCGGTGGACATGGGAGGATGTGTGAGGAAAAATTTGTCGAAAATAAATAATCAAAATTAATCAACCATGTCGTCGCTCCAGCTCAGAATATTGCGCACGCTGGGCGAGAAGCAGCAGATCGCCGACACGGCGGCCGAGTTTGCGGACGTCGACACGGCGGCCATGCAGGCCGCGCTGATGTCGCTCGCGGCCAGAAACATGGTGGAGTACAAGACGCACGAGAGCGACAAGTGGACGCTGACGGCAGAGGCCAGGGACATTGTGGCGCACGGGTCGCACGAGTACCGGCTGCTGCAGAAGGTGGCGGAGGCGCTGGACGGGCTCAGGATCTCGGACGTCGACAGCGTGATGGGCAGCAACGGGAAGGTGGCCCAGGGCAGAGCGTTCAAGAACGGGTGGATCGCCAAGGACGGCGACAAGCTGGTCGCGAAGGTCGCTGCGGGCAGCCAGGTGCAGGACGCGACCGCGGAGCAGCTGAAGGAGATCGAGCAAACCGGCGCGCTGGCCAACAAGAAGGACCTGGCCGAGCTGAAGAAGAGAAAGCTCGTCACGCAGTCCAAGGTGTTCACGTACAGCGTCTGGAAGGGCGCCGAGTTTGCTCTGGAGATCAAGCAGCTGGAAACGGACATCACCAGCGACATGGTGGTGAGCGGCTCGTGGAGCAAGGCCGAGTTCAAGCCGTACAACTTCGACTCGCAGGGCGTGATGCCGTCTGCTGGAGCGCTGCATCCGCTCAACAAGGTCCGGGAGGAGTTCAGACAGATCTTCTTCAGCATGGGATTCTCGGAGATGCCGTCCAACCAGTACGTCGAAAGCGGGTTCTGGAATTTCGATACGCTGTTTGTGCCGCAACAGCATCCTGCCAGAGACTTGCAGGACACGTTTTATCTGAAGGACCCTGCCACGGCCAAGGAGCCACAGGACAGAGAGTACTGGGAGAACGTCAAGAGGGTGCACCAGGACGGCGCGTACGGGTCGATCGGGTACAGATACCCGTGGAAGGGCGAGGAGTCGCTGCGGACGGTTCTGAGAACACACACCACGGCGATCTCGTCGCAGATGCTCAAGAAGCTGGCTGCCGATCCAAGGCCGACCAGGCTGTTCTCGATCGACAGGGTGTTCCGTAACGAGGCTGTCGACGCGACGCATCTCGCCGAGTTCCACCAGGTCGAGGGTGTCTTTGCCGACTACAATCTGACGCTCGGAGACCTGATCGGCTTCATGCAGCAGTTCTTCGACAAGATGGGTGTTCACGACCTCAGGTTCAAGCCGACGTACAACCCCTACACAGAGCCGTCGCTCGAGATCTACGCCTGGCACAACGGGCTGGGCAAGTGGGTCGAGATCGGCAACTCCGGCATGTTCAGACCGGAGATGCTCGAGGCCATGGGTCTGCCCAAGGACATGAGGGTTCTGGGCTGGGGCCTGTCGCTGGAGAGGCCTACGATGATCAAGTATGCTGTCAGCAACATTAGAGAGCTGTTGGGACACAAGGTTGATCTGGACTTCATTGAGAACAACCCGGCAGCCAGGCTCGATGAGGCTATTTTCTGAGTAATAAATGAAGTAAAAAATAAATTAGATAAAATAAAATAAAATGATAATAAACAAAATACACCATGTCCATTTTCTGCTCCCTGGGCATGTTCATCCTCGACGAAATCCATTTCGCCGACGGAACGTCCCTCTACAACGTTCTTGGGGGAGGCGGCGTGTTTGCCATGGCGGGCTCGCGGATCGTCCTCGGAAGCCGGCGGAGCAGGCTCTGTGGTGGCATTATAGATATCGGCAGCGACTGTCCAGAGGAAGTACTGCGAGAGCTGCAGAGCTGGGATCTGGGCGCAGTCTTTCGCTACGACAATACGCGGCTGTGCACGCGCGGATGGAACAAGTACGGCCTCAACGACTGGCGTGAGTTCAAGTACACGACGCCCAAACGGAGAATTGAGGTGGACGACTTAAAGCACCACGAGCACCTGATCCGGTCGCGGTCGTTCCATCTGCTCTGCTCGCCCGGCTCGCTGCGCGAAATGCTCGAATCCATCATCGCTGCGAGACCAGACAGACCGCTAATCGTCTACGAAGCCATTCCTGACCGGTGTCGGCCAGAGCATTTGGACGCCCTGAACGCCGCCCTTGAACACGTTGACGTCTTCTCGCCCAACGCGGCGGAGGCTGCTGCATTTTTTGGCGAGCCGGAGCCCACCGATAGAGAAAACTGTGAAAGGGTAGCCCGCATGCACAAGGCCCGCGTGCTGCTGGTGCGGTGCGGCGCCTTGGGGTCGCTTCTGTACGCCAGCGGCCAGACCAAGTGGTTTCCCGCGTACCACGACGACCCTGCCCGCAGCGACTACAAGGTGGTGGACCCGACAGGCTGCGGGAACACGTTTGTCGGGGCGTTTGCTACGCAGCTGGCTCTGAGCGGCGACCTCGAGCAGGCGTGCGTAGCGGCAACGGTAGCAAGCGGGCTGGCGATCGAGCAGTACGGCCCGCCGCGGCTGGAGGCCCCAGACCGCTGGAACGGCACGTCCTTCGAGCAGCGCGTCCAAACCTACCGCCGCCGACTGGTAGCTCCATAAATTATCTTTATTAGAAACCTGTACTAACCTTAAGCTGGCCCCGAGTCAGGCCGCGTACTTCTTCTCCAGGTCGGCAAAGGCGCCGGCTATGGTGTTCGCAATGAAGTCGCAGTGCTCCTTGGTGAACGTGTACGCCGGCGCGACGGTCACGTGATCGCCGACGCAGACGAGCTCGGAGTTGTTGACGAGCTTGCTCTCGATGGTGCCCGTGACGCCCATGACGGTCATGCCTCGCTCGAAGCAGAGGCTGCCGAGCTGCGTGCCGACCTTCTCCTTCGGGTCGAACGGCTCCTTGGTGGCCTTGTCCTTGACGGCCTCGACCGACAGGAAGTTTCCTGCTCCGCGCACGTCGCCGGCGTACTTGGCGTCCTTGAGCTTGAGCTTGAGCTGTTCCTTGAGGTATGCGCCGTTGACCCTGACGTTCTCGATCAGGTTGTCTCTGTAGATCTTCTTCTGGACAGCCAGGCCGACTCTGCAGTTGAAGTCGTGCGAGTGGTAGGTCTGGGCGCCGAGAATGCTTCCAGAGCCCTCGGCAAAGACTTTCTTAACGCCCGGCGAGATCAGCACACCAGCAAGCGTGACGAAGCCCGAGCCGATGGTCTTGCCGACCGAGCAGAGGTCTGGCCCGCCCGAAGAGAGGCCGAACTCGGGCGACTTGTACGTGAAGGGGTAGCCGCATCTTCCCAGGCCGCACATGACCTCGTCCAGCATGAACAGCGCGCCGTACTTGTGGCAGATCTCTCTGCAGCCGTCCAGGTAGCCCTTGGTAGGCACGGAGGTGCCGAACGTCGAGCCGCCGACGGTCTCGATGATCATTCCGGCGATCGTGCTAGGGTCGTTGTCGATGAAGGTCTGCTCCAGCTCGTCCAGCAGCTCCTGGGTGTACTCCTCCTCGGTCTGGCCTGGTTTCTGGTTTCTGTAGGGGTAGACTGGAGACACCTTTGGCGTCTTGGACTCGTCGATCAGAATGTCGGCAAACTGGTACTTTCTGGAGCCGTCTCCGATGGCGAGCGTTCCGGTGGTGAAGCCGTGGTACGACTGCTTTCTGCCGATGAATTTGCATCTCTTGTAGTCCTTGAGCTCGTTGTGGTACTGCTTGATGATCTTCATGGCGTTCTCGTTGGCCTCGCTGCCCGAGCTGGTCCACAGGGCAGACGCAAAGTCGCCGCCGGACTTCTCGCAGAGGAACTTGCCCAGGTCCTCGGCCGCGTAGTTGGCGTAGTACGCACCGAAGGTGTACACGGACTCCTTGGCGAACTGGCCCATGGCCTCGGTGATCTCCGGGTCCTGGTGAGGGAGCGAGTTGACGGCTGCTCCTGAAACAGCGTCGAACACCACCTTCTGCTCCTTGGTGTGCGGGTTTTCCAGAACGAGGTACATGCCGTCGCCCTTGGCGCCGACACAGAGCAGGCCCTTGTCGTTGATTTGTTTTTGGAACACGTAAGAGGTTTCTTTGTTGTCAACAGTCATTGTGGATACGGGACGCAGCGAGAGGTATTTATAACGAGCCTGGCGGTTGTGGGATCCCGCTGATAAGTCGGCAATTGCCGAATCGGGAAGTCAGGCGCGGACGCTTATCGCGGCGCGCATTGGGCAGCTTGCGGCTGTGGGCCGTTGGGCGGCAGCGAGCGGTTGCGAAGCCTTTCAGTGCCGATGAGTAGCACTTGAGCCGACGCAAGCGGCGCACTGCGAGCATGCTGAGCGCAAAAAAGCAACGATCTGTTGGACAAAAAATATGGACGAGTTGGGAGTCGAACCCAAGACCTTTCGCATGCTAAGCGAACGCGCTACCAACTACGCCACACGCCCTAGTCTGCAAGGAACGGCGTGGCGATGCTTCATGTGTACAAAAAACATGGCTGAAATAGAAAACTACGTTCAAAACATAGCACATTTGCCTGTATTTAATTTCCGTACATTTAAATATTGGGGACTGTCTGCCTGGACTTGCTGCTGTTTACTTCTGGCTGACGACGGGACTGCCAATTGGTGTTTGCGGCTCTCGCATGATCAGCGGCGCATCGCTCACCTCCTTTCAGTCTCAGCGTTCGTAGTCCCCTGGCCAATCATATTTCCGTTATTGTAAGCAACCACCAGAAACGTAAATCTGAGACCGCAAATGCCAGCCAGCTCCCTAATTACGTGCGTAAAAACGTTCCCACGCGCGAAAGTCTCTAATTGAAAATTTTTTTTTAATATTATCCAAACACTCTCCAACCGGTACTTATTCCTCCCTTCTCAGCTGTTTTCGGCCAATTTGCATTCAGTAGTGCCGGAGTGTTGCATATTCCCTAATTAGCATGAGTCAGAAAAATACCCGTATCGCCATCGTCTCGGACGACAAGTGCAAGCCCAAAAAATGCAGACAAGAGTGCAGAAAGAGCTGTCCCGTGGTGAAGACGGGAAAGCTGTGTATCGAGGTGGCTCCGACC